GAGTCATACGCGTAGAAGGCCGGAACGACTGCAACAGTTGTGGACTTGTTCTTTAGTGCCGTTAGTAAAAGAGGTACAACTTGATTGTTATTTCTATTTTTGGCTGGTGATTGTTCGATTCGTGTCTCTACAAGATTTAGTACAACGAAGATGATTTGTGATAGACTCATGAGGGCTTTCGTAAATATATGAGCGGCTATTGACACACTTTTTTCACAAAGGCCCAGTGTTTTAAGTAAAGTATTCAGCGTGGTGTGAGGCTGGAAAAAATGAATCTTTTTATTAGTGATTAAAAGTGATATAATAAGATTTCATCTGTAAATGTTTCAGTAATTTATGACAGCATTTAACGGTTGTGTCCTGTAGTCGCACAAGTATAGAATTATATAAGCACTTGGTAAGCAACTTGACACTGACAGTGAAATTACATTGATTAACTTTTTCCCATTTCATTTTGAACAGAGTGTTAAATTAAAATTAATTGCATCAATTAAGTGGAGAATACGTCAAAAATTCAAGCAGCGATAATAATAACAAATAAATTACTGGCATGCTGACAGTATGAATCTCGTTCTTTTTGCTATTGTGCACACACATATATGCATATAAATTACATTAAACAAAGTTGCAATAACAATGGACTTAAAGAAAAAAGTTGTTAATAGAAAATTTGTGCAAACAAATAACGATACAATCGTAATACCGTTGCACATTGTGCGATAATCGCGTCTAACTAATTGCTAATAATGTAAGAGTGAAATAATATTTGCTATAAACAGCGTCAGATCTAAATAAACAAACAAACATATATGTATGTGTGTACTATATTGCATATGATATCAGCTGCGGATCTCTATTATGTTCTCGTTTCTTGTTTGCGTTTTGTTTTCAGAACAATTAGTTGTTCGTCTATTATATGTGACTCACTAGTCTGTTTTTCGATTGTTTACAGAAGCAAACCGGTATTATTTATTTTACCTCACCCCAATCCTTAGTGTTCTCAACTATTGTTTAAGGAAAGGGTGTAATTAATCTATTGATGATCAACGATAATGATAAATAATAATAGACTTATTTGCAAATACTTCGTTAAAACAGAAACTATTTTTTTTGATAGAACATCCTGTAAATTGCTTTATATACTGGCATTTCATATCCATCTAAATATGATTGTTAACCACAAGCTAAACAGTAGGAACAGAAGAACAATATATACATAGTTGGCCGAATCGTATTAGTTACAAATTAATTAATTAAGCTCATTTACAAAGAACACCAAAAAGGCTTAGTTTATAATCTACAATTTACAATCCAACTCAGTTGAATTGAACCTGTTTTTGAATTAAGAATTACAACTAATTCCCTTGAAGTGGTGTTGATGTTTCTAACCTAAAATAGCTCCGGGCTGACAGTTAGTAAAACAATTGACATTAAGTAAATGTTTGCAAAAGAATTCATAAATATTACAATTAACATACATACATTAAAATCTCATACGAAGAAAGCTTCAGGATCACTCAAGCACAGTGTTATACCATAAATGTTAATACGACAAATTGAAATTGAAAATTTTTTACAACTTACGAGTTACCGTTAATATCAAACTGACATATTTCAACTGAACTGAGGTTGAGTTGTAAACTAATTAATAATGTTTATTTAGAGAACATTTACCCTGAATAGGCTACATTAATTTTGCCATAAAGTTTGTAATACTCAGAAAAAAATGTTGATGACCTTATAAAATATATATACTTAAGTCCGTAAATGATCAGCATGACGAGCACAGTCAATTTAGTATCCGTCTGTTTGTGTGTATATACGCGAACTTGTCACTCAGTTTTTGAGGTATCAATCTCAAATTTTGTCCACATCCTTTGCTATCCAAAAAGCTGCTCATTTGCAATCGCCGATATCGGATAGCTATAGCATATAGCTCTCATACAAACTGACTGATCAAAATCAAGTTGTTATATCAAAAAAATTTTTATTTGTGAAGGGTATTCTAGCTTCGGTTAACGTTTTTTTCTAGTTATTTTTTAAAGTAAATTGGTTTGATGGCATTTAATTTGTTGATAGTTTAGTTCCAACTAAATAATAGAGCAAATGTGTTCAAAAACATACTTATGAGTACATACATACATGCATTTGTATATATTGTATACAATATACGCAATTTAACTAAGAATCATCAGCGAAGATTACACCGGAACCGGTGGCTAGAACTTTGTATATAACATAGTACATAGTAGCTATAAATAAGAATAACAATCGAGTTCATAGCCAGGCCCCTCTAATTACAACCAAAGCGGTAGTTTATGAGAAAATTGTTTTAGGGGGGTCCTTAAAAGAAGTCAAACGATTTTTTTCTCTCCCCTTAATCGTTTAGTATAACGTATGTACATATACTTATAAGTTTAGTAGTAAGGGAAAAGTCAAATTTTTAAATGGACATAAACAAAAATTAAATTTATATTAATATATTTTAGACATTGTATTAATAATATGTATGTTGCATTTTCATACAATAAATGAAAAATTTAGTTATATTTTTTAATCTAATTCGCAAAATCGATAAAATATTACATGTGAATCACTTCTAACAGAAAACATTTACAAAAGTTAATTAATAGTAATCAGTTAGTAATTTTTTCTTTGCTAATCAATAATTGTTGGAATCCTGTTCAGTGGGGAGGAAACAAATATGTTTTCAGTTCTTCTAGAGAAAATTGCACCATGTATAACACGGCGTAGTCCTCTCAAAACTTTCGGTGATATTTTACTTGATATTTTTATATTAAGATATTGGTTTACATTCAAAGAATATGGACCACCCTTATGTGTATACATACATACTCACATCATTCAATTGTTCTAGAAGCTCAAAATAAGTCGCTAGCATCATCATTTATAATCCAACTAATCGGTGGTCAATCGTGTACAAGTAGGTGTGTATGTATGTGTAAGTTTGTGTATGGTATGGTTGACTGCATAATAAGCCGGCGGCGGCGTATTGCATAAATTGTTTGTAATAATTACCGCATAACTGTCGTAACTTGCATTTTAAATTATGCAAAATATTTAAATGCACTTGATGTTAGCGCATATGTACTTTATTAGGTAAAGGTTTACAGCTAAGTGCGGCGAGCAATAAAATTGGCCGGCCATTGCGCAGAAGCAAACATTTATAATCGTTTTTATATGAAACGTTCTGTTGTGATGTTGTACAGAATAGTACAGTATTCTGTCGTCACGACTTTTGCACGTGATTACAAACAAGCAAATGTTACAGCACAAACCCTCGTATACATATATGTACATATGTATGTATGTATGTAAGTATGCGCAGCGGTATGTGTGTGTGTTTGTGTAGATGCGCTGTGTTGTGGCGCTGTTTTATTGCATTATTTGCCGGTGGTTACTTAGGAATGCGAGACATGTGGTTTGCGGCTGAAATGAGCTGGGATTTCCGACAATTTCAAAACTATTTACAAACAATAATGTTGGGCTTGTAAACCGCGCTCATCTTGATTTTACATTTAATGCCAATTTAATTGACATTAATGGCTTAAACAAAGATTTCAACGTATCAACGGTATGTACTCGTATGTTTGCTTAGATTTGTGTACATGAAACTTGCTCCCGTATTTAAGTATATTCTATTTAAATTTGACTCGCTAGATTCGAGCAAAATTTTATGGCCATATTAGTTTATATTCATTTGTATTTATGTATTTAGTAATCAGTACTTTATTGCAGTCAATAAACCCTTAAATAACTATTTATATTTGCACTTAAAAAAAATTCTCCTTCTCCATATAAACGTACCATAGAGTAATTAGTTACTCATACGCACTGTCACCCTTCAAATATCACAAAATCAGCAGCTGTTCGCAATCTGTCATATCTGTAATGACTAGTTTTTAACCCTGAACAGTGTATATTAAGTTTACCACGAAGTTTGTAATACCCAGAAGGAAACGTCGAAGACTCTATAAAATATGTATACATAAATGTCAGCGTGACGAGCTGAGTCGACTTAGCAATGTCCGTCTATCTGTCTGTCTAAATATACGCGAACTACTCCTTCAGTTTTCAAATTAAAACTTCCTTTTCTCTCCAAGAAACTGCTCATTTTTCGGAACTGCCTATAGACCAATATTGCATATAGCTGCCATACAAACTGAACGATCGGAATCCAATGCTTGTATGGAAAACTTTTGTATTTGACGAGATATCTTCATGAAATTTGACATAGATTTTGTCTTTTTTATTTGTGAAGTGTAATAGTTAACGTTACTATACATTTTTTGATAGAATATGTTACTTGAAATAACATTACGGTCAACAGCGAGTCTAAACTGAGATTTCTGAAACGATTTTTTCTGCCACAAATCACAGGCATGAGCTTAGAACAGTTATATCAATATGGACCTATCACTTGCTATTCGAGGTAACTAAATTTTCTTAGTGTAGTATCGCGAGGCATCGAAGTTATACGAGCAATATATGATAATGGCATATATGGAATAAGCGATTCGTAAGATAAAACCATTTACCGTCAACAAGGTCCTGAAAATCTAAATGAACAATGCTAAAATGGCCGAAGAAGACATCATTTATAGATGGATTCATTGGATGTTATAACATAGCGGTAAAAATGTGCCATTCTATATGCGAAAAAAAAAAGCCGAAGCTAATAACGTCTTAAAAGTCTCAAATAATTAAAATAAAGGTTTGCATTTAAGATTATTTATTATTGACACAAAAGTGTCAATAGAGCCAATATGAAAGTTTAAGTTTAGTCCTTATACAGCAAGTTTACGGTAGAAGTTAGCGCCTCTGTTCACAACTCATTCGTCTACTTAGCAGAAGGAACGATTTATTCACATTGTCGATCGTAAGGAATGATTTTATGACAAAGTGAAGCGTAGTGTATTCCAAACATGGCCGAGACAAAATCTAAAAATATAGCAAAGGCAAAGAAACTACCACCTATATAAGTTTGTCTTTCAAGTGGCACTCTAAAAGCTCTGAATATATTTCTGGCAAGAAATAATTCACCTCAGAGCTAAAAATCTATAAAAGATATAATATTATTATATAAGAACATACAGATGCATCATATTGTATATAACTTTCGTCGAATTATAGAGGCTCAAAGCCAATTCTCACTTAATCTGATCATTTTAAATTTAAAATATATGTTTATTAACTAAACAAACTAAAATTCTTTCTAAGCACTAATTTACATTTTCCCCTCCTTTGCTTAGCATTTTTCTGCGGCCTTTGATTTAAGTTTCTTTTCTGACTTCTTTTCCGACTTCTTATCAGGTTTCTTTTCCGATTTCTTTTCGGCCTTCTTCACAGGTTTCTTTTCAGTCTTCTTTTCAGCCTTCTTTTCAGCCTTCTTTTCAGCCTTCTTTTCGGGCTTCTTTTCCGCTTTGCCCTTTTTAGCTGGTTTCGCTTGTTTTTTCTTATCCTTCGATGCTTTCGTGGGTTTAGAACGACGAGGTTTATAATATCTGATATAAATTTAGAAATAAATTCCACGATCAGCATAGACTTTGTATTCTATCAATCACAGGCAAACTCACCTCTCCGACCTGGGTATCGCCTTGTGACACATACAAGCATTCATCAAATGAAATACGCCCGAACAAACGCTTAAGGCACCAGCAATCACCAAAAGGAATTGTGCATAAAACCCACAAAAAGATATAATTACCATTATAAGACTTGAGCCAGTCAAAATGCACAGGACACCTATTATAAAGTTGAACATAACACCCTGCAGTGGGAAAGAAATAGCGAATGCGTGTATATGAAAAATTTTTCATTGAACTTGTTCGGTCACAGCAGTTAACGATGTACATTACCAGCGGATCAATGCCCAACGTATGCAGTCTAGGCGTAAGTAGGTAATAGTACAAATCCGGTATGAAAGCGGGAAAAATGAATAGCAAGAATATGTAAACGGGTCCACTAACTTCATTGCCAAGCACACAACTAGCAGTGAATGTACAATATAAAACTAAGCCAATCGCTAATCCTTCCAAGATCTAAAGCAAAAGCGGAAAATCGTGTGAATGCAGATGTTTTGAAGCTTTAATAATTTCATTATTGTCTTACAACATTTAGTAGAAAGAAAAATTTACACTTCTTGCGTTTCTTTCTATTCTGATCGATCCTTGTTGTTTTCATTATAAGTTACAGTTATCTTTTGCAAATGCCGATGAAATGTAAAAAAAACTCAAAGGACGATTATGAATTGTTTAAAAGAATTACTTTTCGACTTTTTTAGCCGCTTTGACATTTCTATACTTCTAGGCATTCTCTTAATTTTACATATGTATGTCAAACCGTGATACATGCTTGAATCGTTTTATAAGCATAAAAACATAATACCCGGTAGAAATTGCATTCAGTTATGTTCTGGGCGAAGCTATATGATTTATATGAAAAGCTTTTCAGAGGAATCGACAGCGTTATCTCCAATATTTCTGGATTCATTGCATGAGCAGATTTACATGAGCACTTTAGCGTACAATATACAGTGCGTTCAAAAAGAACGTTTTTACTTTGCGCGATCAGTTCGCGGAAAAATAAAACTAATTTTTGGATAAATCACAATGTACAAAGGCAACCGATTTGCTGAGGGCAAGTGCTACAAAATACTTTGAACTTATTGGTTTCAGCCTAAACTGAATGAAACTGATGTTCTTTTGAAGACCCTTTAATACAACTAAGTAGAGACTGAGTCACGATCACCTCTGTGTTACGGTCTAAATCACTTCAATATATATAGACTACACTAGGAACACTAATTAATTAAAGGCAATATTCTTCCCGATTTTTCCACATAGTATAATATGAAATGCTCCCATATTTTATAAACATTAGTCTCCAATATTTTCTTTACAAATTTTTACTAAATAAAACTTCGCCTTCATCGAGATTTGCATTGATAAACCATATGAATACCAGATGTACTAAACCAGCAATAAGCTCAATTATACCGACAGCTAATACTGTCGACTGTATCGGATTTCCACATCCCGTAACCGAGAGAAAGGCAAACAAACAGGCCAGTAAGAAAAGACAGCCCGTCACAATGTTATAGCAACCGCCCTAGAGAAAGAGAAATTAATAAAATAAAATAAGAGTTACAACCTAATCTAAATAACTGCAACTCACCAGTGCTGCATAGAAGGGCTCTGATATTAGTATGCCCATGAGGCAGTACAATATATCCGGTATAATGGGAATAAAGACTAAAATACCGGACCACCACATGTATGTAGAGATCTCACGCGCTCCTATGCAGTCGGAGTCGGTCATGTCGTATATGAGAGCACAAGCTACAATTTCTAGAATCTGCCGAGAAGCGAGACAGATTAATTTTTGTTTGGAACTCATAAATTACGAGTAATACCCACGAAGCACACAACATAAAATACCGTCGAGATGATGCAGCGTTGCAAATGCGTTAGCTTTAACGGCATTTTATAAAACACAAACAAATATATTATTAAGCCTAAAAGTTTTCTTACTCGCAAAAATATAATTTCTTCAACTGTCAGTGTTTTTGTTTTGTTTCAGAAACCCAGCGACACATATACTTGTACATATATATATGTATGTATGTATGTGATTGGAAACAAATTATAAAACTTGAGTAAATTCTCAGTAATGTATTTTTGTATGTTGATTGTAATATGTTACCGAAAAAATATATATTATCCGTTAAATGATTGGAAATTAGATAGTTTCAATGGAAATATTACCTGTTTGCGTTAGATTTTTCTGAAAAGTCACTTTCGCCGGAAATAGTGACCAATTATCGAACATCATCTCTGTTTGCACATATAAGTGCCTCTCTATGGCTAACTCACTTTTTGAACGAAAGTAGTAGTAAAAGCTCTCCTCTATTCAAACAGCCAAGTAACACGGAACATCACTAAAAGCTGCGTTCAAAAACACGAGAGGTGGCAGGTGGCAATGTATTTCACTTGCCGGCCACAGGAATCTGAAGGGCAACGAGCAAGCCGGCGAATTATTTTATATTGAAGTATCTGAGGCACTGTGGTTGGTTTAGCGACAGAACACATGCACCAACAATTTTATACAGTCCTTGGTCGGATTAAAATCCGTATACATTTTAATTAGTTAGACTCGACTATGAAGTGAACGATATCTGAGGCAATGGCAAAATAGTTTGCACTTAGAACTATCGAAAGATAACTACCTATGTTCCGTAGTGGTCGTTTGAGGACATATTGTTAAAAAGGACCATCAATATAACAATTTTGTTCGTGATCGGTATCAGCTCTAATTCAATTCTAGTTGTAATATTACTAGGCTCAGTTTTGTACAAAACAGCTGACTTTGTTTGACTGTACTGAAGCTCATCTTCTAAACTCAGACTGCTTCGAAAAGTATATTTGTTCACTACTGCTAAAATTTTTCGCTGAGATCGCAAGTCTAAAGCTGCGGAAATGGAATATAAAAACAAGCTTGCTTTCATATATTCACACCTTTGGTGAACGGTTCAAGTCGTTAGATTCTTATCTGATCCCTTAAAAATTCACTGCTTATTTTAACGTACTTAATTTATATTTATCCCCCATAAGTAATTATTAGATATGACGTCAATTATGCAAACTAAAACGCATCTTTATTCAAAACAGTGTCTCCAGTGCATTGTGCCCTTTATGGCCAATGAAATACTCGTCTTTAAATTAAGCAGCGTTACAATTAAGTGATGCAATCATGTTTCACCCAATTTCGAACGTTCTCAGTCGGAAAACAATCCCGCTTAATTGATTTGTGTTGAGGAGTTTTATAAGCAACTCATGAATAATAATGATGTAATAAGCATTGTAGGTGCTTTTATGTGAGAATACCGCAATTTCTTATCTTTCTCAGCTGCATTTTATATTTTTAATTTTATTAAAAACAACAACAATAATAATTGTGTTATGTGAAAGCTTCCCAATAATTGCTTTAATTAAATGATAGTGTTACAATAATTAAACTTAATTAACTGCATATTATTTGCGGCGCAGTAGAAAATCGCACTTAATTAGAAATTTCAGGAATGTGATTTTTCTGGAAAACAAAGTTGATAACAAGCTGTTTTATAAATACATTTATAAAGTATTCAAGGCAAATAATCGAAACTTAAACTAATATTTATAAATATATGGAATATTATAGATAACTACGAATTCTTAGCAGACCCTTTTATATTAAACTAATTAGCATTGAAATTAAGATGCTAAGAATCGATTATATGCCTCTGCAATAATGGGAAAATTAAAGCTTAATTACAGATCAAATTTGATCCGGACTAGTCCATTAAAACCGCTCGCAAATCGAATCGTTAAATACTTTTATCGTAGATTGAAACAACCTTTTTTATGTTCATGTATTCGGACTAAATTTGAGCTTAAGTGTATTGGAAAACTAGACTAGGAGACTGAGTTGGACCGATATTTATTTTTGGCAAAATGAAAATTTATTTAGATTTATAATTTTCCAACAATAAGTGGTAAACGATAATGGTACGAAGATGGTAAGTCTGGTTGGTTATAGGGATCATGTACTTAAAACATCACTGTAATGAAAGAATATTTTGGTTAGATGATAAGTTCTGAAACATGAAAAACTATCAACCATCAATGTCGATAGGTTTATTTGAACCACGGAATCAATAATTTTTTTAGTTTAGTATATCGAATTTGACAATTATTTGTATTTTTTATATTATATTATAACGAGTTATTGTAGAGAACTCAAAACTTTAGTAAAGCCACGTATTATATTTAGATTGGACAAATCTTTCAGTGATAATAATCCACTATTATCTTACTCCGAAAAAGTTAAAAAAAATTGTTCTCGGAAATTATTTATTCGACATCAGTCTCAAAACAAAACCGTTACGAGGCTATTATTGAACCCGTTACTAAAGGAATTTTCCAAAAAGAGACCTACTTCTGATCATACCTGAGCCAGTCTCTCTAGACTCGCATTAATAAATCGATAGCAAATAATGAACAATCTCCTTCTCAAATTCAAATATAGATGGAATAAGCACTACCTCCAGGGCGCTCATAAAGATATTCAGATTAAACCCATACTACGAACAAGGCCTATTGACTTCAGCCTATTGATTTTCCTTCACCGCTATATTATGATCAAGAAAACCCTAAGTGTAGGATTTTTGTAAGAAGTGGTTATTATTATGGTTCATCTTTTACGATGAATATAAGAATAATCGCGAAATATTATAAGATCACGTATGTATTTTTAATTCCATTTTTTATGATGCAATTTGGATGAATTCTTAACTCAGGCAATACCAAAGGTAATTGGTAAAAGAAAGAACTGATGATTTTGCCGTTTCACACAAAAGTTTCTAAATAAAGAACGACGGCTTCAGACCAAGAAAGCGCGCAAAATTTTAAGCCTCATTGCGCTGAAGACAATTCGTGTGCATTTTACCATGCAACACTGCACATACATACATACACATTTAATTACATATGTGTGTACCTAAGTGTATATATAGTATAAACTGCCAACTTGCCGGCGAATTTCTTGATTCGTCTTTTTAAAATCGAGTTTAAGTGCGCTTTGCGGCTGAAGGCGTTAATAATTGCATAATCTTATGTTTGTTTACATTGGCATACGTAATATCTAACAGTAAATTACAGAGCACCACATAGCGTAACTTAGCACATCCAACAATTATTTAATGGCAGCGTTAATCATATTTTTTATTTTAATTTTATTGCGATTTAAACACCAGTACCCGCAATTCGCCCCCGTTTAAACCGTAGTGCCGCTGAAAAGTCGGAAGATTTATGCAGCAATTAATTCCTACCGATGTAAGATAAATGGCAATAAAAACTTGTTAAACTCTAGACAAACAGATTCCCTCGAAATTTATTCCGACAAATGATTGCTTAGCAGCACGGAAAGGTTTTTACAACGGTTGTGAAATACTGAAATGCCACACACACCCGCACCCACAAACACATATGCATACAAAATTACATGGGGCGTAGGTGAGAAAAGCTAAGCTTTACAAATATGTTAGGTTAGGTTGCGATTTAATAAGCTACAGTTCTACAGCTGCATACAAACACACATACATATTGATGTGTTTTATGGAAGGCATATCTAGAGCTTGTAGACTCATTATAATAAGCCAATTACTTTGTATATCCTATATACTATCTATTTCTACATATTCTTCCGTGGTACGCAGGTACATGTGACTTCCGAAGAAAATCATCCATTTATGTCAGACCAATGCATTATTACAGGTGCTCGACGCTTTATACATATATACCTCGGTCTATGCATGATATAATTAGAGGTTACGGCGGCTTAATGCTGTTACTTATTTTGCAACGCGTTTGACAGAAAAATACATTAGTTTGACGTCATTAACGAAAGGACGGAAGAAGTTGTTTACAATTACGAAGGAAGTTTGACAATTTGTTTCAATTATGACGCGCAGTTTTGTAATCTTGTCTAAGGTGTCAGATTGGTTGTGACAGTACAAATTTCCTGACTCAATTTTTTGTAGAATGTAAGGAATTATATGTGAGTAATCATGAAACCAATTTGACTGCATGACATACATATGTATTGTTAATTAATTAATTAATATCAGAGCTCGGCCTAGATTGGCAATGTGACCGAGAAATGGAGATCCATGGCGTGTTAAGTACAACGTTTTTCTTCCCCAGTAGAGAATATACCAATGACGCTGTAATCGACAATACCAACCTTTGTATTCACCGATAGATCAAAAGTGAAGCAGCAACAAGAGCAGGCTTCTTCTCTAGCAAGGCAGAAGGCAGCATCGATCTTTATGACAACAATTCCAATAATGGCCTTCCCTTTTCAACAAACCGACTAATGTCAAAATTATACAGAATACACCTGCACCTAACGAACAAACGGTCCTACCCCCATCGAAGCATCACGTTTCCCTAGCATACCGCATATTACTTTGCTTTCCTAATTTTTGGCATTTGTTGTGGAAGTAAATAAACAATAAACATCGTAATCACAATTTGCGTAACGTACAGACCAAAAGAATATTTATTAATTTCCCTTACTTACTAATCGTGTCTGCGTTGAGACTATTTTTGATAACATATCATCAAGGCTTCAACAAATTTAGCCGCTTCCATAAATAAATATTTATTTATATCTTCTTAAAAGTATTTACTTTAAGAATACCATTGCTGCAAAGAAAACTTATGGCCAAGATTTAATATAAGAATTAATAATATATTTAGTATCATTTTACAGGAACGAAAGAACGGGAACTTGTCGGGCAAATTAATGGATGTTAATACAGAGTGTCCATTCTCTTTAACGAAAAAGGAAATCAGAGAATAAGAGGAGACGGTATTGTTTTAATTTATCAAATCAATTCCGTTTTGCATGTGACGATGAGCGCTTGACTAGGAAATCATTAACACGCCGAGGACCAGAAAACGAAAGTGTGTAAACAATCTCTGCGAAATTTTAGAGATTACTGTAATGTGAATTCAAATCACAGTATGCTAGAGAACCAAACTCAAACATTCCTAAAATTTTGAATTCTTTATACACCCTACTCTTCTTATCGAAGACTTACCTTTGTTGACATTTTTTTCTCATGTAATTTTAATCTTAATTAATAAACTTTAGTTACGCACATATACCGACTCTCAAGGGATCGATTTCCTTTAGGGTCATTATGTTAAATGGGTCTTCAAACTAACATATGTATATATGTTTGCATATGTATGTACCTGAATATTTGATCTCGCCTGCGTATAAGAATTTACTTAAGAATGTATGTATGTATGTATGTATAGACGAGTGTATGTATGTATATATGTATGTGCGCATTCACGTGTAGGCAATTGCATTTAATCGAATTTATTTTGGTGCCTTGCAATTTGTAAACAAAAACGAGAAGAAACACGCAGCCAAAGTAAATGATCTGTTTAGGTCAGGGACCATAATAGAGGCAGTCTGCTTGGGGGATCGAAAAGAAAACTATTTTTAGCATATCCTGTTGTGCAGTGAGTTAGTTATGGAATGAAGGCGCATTTGACAAACAGTGCGTGAGTGAGCGGAGCGCATATTTTTACAATTCGGCATTATCCATAATATATCTGAATATTTGTATATTGTAATAAAGAAAGTAAAAACATAAATGAAAAATTAAAAGCGAACAACAATAGGAAAAAAGTTAGAATAAAATCTTAAACCAAAAAATAATAATAATGAAGAAAATATAAAAAAAAAAAAATTAACGTAAAAATTTACGATATACATAAATATTATTAAAAAAACATATAAATAAAAATATATTACAAAAAATATATTATAAAAATATATTACAAAAAATATATTATAAAAATATATTACAAAAAATATATTATAAAGAAATATATATTTAAAAAAATAATTAATAACATACTTTTAATTTGCTGGCGCCATGTCTTCATCGTTTGGTATGCGTGGCATTGGTCAAAATTTCGGTTTCAAACTTTGTTGTTGTCGTGTGTGCACTTGCGTCAATTTCGGCTTCGTGAATTCACGTGTGGGCCTCCTCAAAATACTACAACTAACTTTGGCTTTTCTATGTGAGGGCTTACTAGTGCGTTATGGCGTGCCAGCAGCCGATACAATTGGACAAGCTTTGACCAGCATGCTGACGACGACCGCCTACTGCTTCACAACCACAGCCATACTGATGATATGCTATTGTTTCTCGGAAAAGTCCTCCAGTCTTATTAGACAATCACTCTTTGTAGGTGGCGTTTAAGTGATACCAGAAATATTTGTTTAATAAATATAAATCCAACTGTTTCGCAGACTTTTTTCTTATGTGAAATATTTTATTTCTTCTCTAGGAGACGCTATTCAATGCAGTCGCCTGCAGCATGTACTTCAGCTCATCCAGTTATATGGGTTTTGCATGTGTGGTGTGGCTGCAACCGCAGTTTATGGTGCGTCCCGGTTTTTGGGCCTATCCCGCAATGACAGCGGCTTACGTGAGTATAATTGTTATACTGGCATACAATATAATTAATTATAACATTACTTTTACAGTATATGGGCTATGCGGCGGGCATTTTACATGCCATCGATGCCTATTTGGCTTTTAGATATTACAGAGGAAGTCGCTGACTTGAAGGTTAAGTATAGCAAAATAGTTGTTATGACTTTATTTAAAACATGTATGTATGTATGTATGTATTAAATACGCATTAGTTTGTAAGAAATCCACATAAAAATTAGGTTATTTAAGTATGGTGTGTGGCACACCTAAGGCACTTGTGGCACATACGTGTGCATATTTCTCTTATCAGTAATATAAATATTTGGTGGAAGTTTTATATACATAATAATGTTAATTAAAATAATAATTTAAATAATTAAACAGTAACATAATTGATATATATACAGTTAGTGACTAAAATATGACAACAAATAATTATAAATATTTTTTTAATAATGAAATATAATGTTATCAACTACTATAAAATAATGTTTAGCAAGAAAAATAAATAAAAATAGAAAACAAGTATTATTTAAAACATGACTTATTTGCCACTAGTACTCAAGTGAATACAGATAATGCGCCTGAGCTCTCTTGTCACTTTTAGGAGATTATTTTTAGTCCACATTTCACATAGTTTTAGTCGATTTTTTTAAGCGCCTTGAATTTTCTGCAAAAATATATTTTTTATTTATGCTTTCTCTAATACTAAACTTAACTTACTTCAGTTTTTTGTAAGCCTCGTCAGATTCGTAGTCAGCTTTCAGCAAAGCTATGCGCACCCAACGCGGACGCTCGTGTATCACTTTGTGTATAACGAATTTCAAGCCCAACAGCAGATGTTCGAATAGTATGAATGTGATATCGGGCATTTGGGGAAACAGTTTTGAGAAAAATCCTCTGTAAAAAACGGAGTTAGTATTAGTATTGGATATATTTTAAATTTTTTGTTTTTTGGGCCCTAATCAGGGTTGCGACTTTTTTAATTAAAAAAATTAATGTTTGAATATGAAAATCTAATTTTTAAGCCCAAAATAGGAATCAAATTGTGAAATTCTGATTTTTATCTGAAATATTTGGAACTAAAATTGCAAGATCCGGAATTAAAAATTTAAAAAATAAATGTGTAACCTCAAAATCAGATCTGTTCTAAAGTATTGAAGATGATGGCACAGTGCGAGCTCTAGTTCGAAATTTTAAAAAACCGAAGTACGCAAGCGCGATAAATGTAAATGAAATTTTTTTTAATTGAATTATAAACTTGGAACTAATAATTACTTTTTTATCCGGTATTTGTGATTAAATAATTTCTTTTTCAATCCGGTAATAGGGCTTCAAAATTTATTTTTAATTTTTTAATCCAGTATTTGGAAATAGAAAATATTTTGAAATTAAGATTTTCGACATTACTAACTAAATAAAAATTTATTTAAAGATTAATTAAATTATTTTTTAATACGTCATTTGCAACCCTGGCCCTAATATAAAGCATAACACTCTTGCATATTCCCACAAATTGCTAGGAAGCTTTTTTGCAGCCGCGACAACAGTTTTTTAGACTTGTAATATGATGTTTAATTATCAATTTAATATAGATCGACCTATTTGAATAATACTGTTTAAATATAGTCGCACTCACTTCACATTGGGCTGCAAATAAAGCAAACCACAGTTACTAAGGATCGCCATCACCGAAAGTAACTCAAAAGCCGACTGCCAAGCACCAGTATTCTTCGCGCGTCTTCCGAACGGACGTTTGAATATATTACAAAGCTAAAATGGAAGCACATCAAGTTACGATACATACAAGATGTAAACAAAAATAGCAATTGACCTTAAACAAATCGATATGCATGGCGAAAATGTTGTTGATTAACGCGCCCAAAGCAGCAAACGGCGCTACTGCGGCGAACAGCACCACATATCCAAACTGTATACACATCTGCAGGTAGTCCTCATAGGTCGATTGATACTGATCGAGACCAGCTTCATAGAAACATTGTTCGTAGCGTGCCAAATCGCTGACATTAGTCTTCACATTCTCATCGATTTCTCGTTGCATATACTTTACGAATTTCTGACGCACAACAGCCAAGAGTGGAATGCCAATTTCTTGTGCAATGCAAACAATCTGTTGAGATAAAAAATAAAAGCAGTATGTAGTATATTTTTGAAGGAAGAAAATATTTAAGCTGGAACAACGTACCTGAAAGATGAGCAACTGCATCATTAGTTGATATTTCAACTGTTTCAAATCATGCAGAACAAATGCAATGTAGAACAGCGAAAAGAAGTTGTTGACAATTTCAAAAAGCATTAACTTATTCACACGATGACGATCGTATTGAGAGCGTGTGCGATGGTTTTCCTGATCAGTTAAGAAGGTAGCTAACTTCTCGTAAGCCCACGAGAAAATAGCGATGAGTATTGATTGTACGATAACGGGTATGTATAGCAACCACGAGTCCGGACCTTAAAACATTAAAATATATTTAGAAAAAGAAGATGTTTTAAGAGTATTTTCACACCCACCAAAATCTGCTAATACTTCAGCTTCTATTTGAAACTGATACAGAGCAAAATAAGACGCCGCTGCGACGCACATTAGCACCACCGGATATGAAACGCAGTACATTTGCAAATAAGTGTAGCGCATGGGATATTGCAGCATCATTTTGCCCGTTACGGGATCCGGTTTTAGTACGCCATGATACGCTGAGCGCGGTTTGTCCAAGCTACTCATCTCAATATTACCCCAACGGTATGAATAACCAGAGCACTTGCGCTTCCACAGTTCCAGAAAAATCTAAATCATAAAGAATAGTATTATTAATTTAAGGCGAGAGCGAGTAATTTTAAATTATTGTATTTTCATAAAAAATGCAACTACCGTTGTCCAAAGCACATAGAAACTGCAAACCAATGACAAATTCACATTCCACACACATTGCAGCATACCGAAAATGGCCGGAAATATCAGCGCCTTCGTGTAGAACTCAGTAAAACCGAAATAGAGGGCAATGCTGGCGCCGAAATAGTTGCATATATCTTCAATGGGCAAATGGCGTCGCCTCCAATCAAATGCGAATCTATCTAAATACTCCTACAAATAACAGTAGAAAGATAGAGCATAAATAAATAATATATAAATTTGCAATACTTACAATATTGTGCACTGGGAAAAAATCTTCAACTATTCCATTTTTTATATAGGACAGAATTGCTGGCTTAACGATATCTTTAATCAGCACTGGTCCCTCGAATTCACGCACGATATCTGCAGGGGTCATACCAGGCAGCAAATAATCGGATATGCAATCGCAATTAAACTTCTGCATGCTGCCGGTGATGGTGAGCTTACTCAGTTCGGCCTCATCGGCGAATCTCAGCAGTGTATCCGTAGAGGCAGATAGATAGAGGTATTTTTCAGTTTTGCTACGATGGAAGACAGGAAATGTTGTTAAATATATTTCACTTGAATGATCATCAAACAATTTTAGATTAGACGAGAATATTTAAAAATCACGGAGACCTTGATTCTCTTTTATTATTACGATTTTGATATTTCTTTTAATTACTATATTACTTAAAATTAAGCACATTAAGGGAAAATTCATGTAAGCAGATTATTTTTTATATGCAGTTATGAGAGGTTAGGAAATGGCAGACACACGCACACAAACCATTAATTTGCACTTACCTTACAACCTCAAGCGTTGTAAGCACTTTAAATTCTTGTATTATCTTCTCCACATCTTGGCAGTGGCGCAATTTGGCCTTGTCCGAGAAAATTATTACGGCGTATGTCTGAAAAAATTCATAGCAATTGAAATATGTAAAACTTAAATGGGGTGAGGTCATTTACCTTCTCGAAATCGGGTACATCAATGGACTGCTTTTGTCTTATGCTCCGTTGGCGCCGGAACAACTGATTTTCAATAATCGAGGTAATGCGTGGACCTTGTAAAACAATAATAAGTTGAAATTAAGTATTTCATAACCATTTGGAGAAATAGAAATTTTGTAAATTCAAAATACACACTTTTGGCACCATCTGACATTTTTCACTCTTTATTGTATTAATAAATATATGTATCTAATAATTTTGGCCACCTCTTCACCACCAACAATTATCACCTACAACAACTTTTTGGCAATGTATGAATATGCAGCAAAAATACTTCAAAAATACATAAATACATTATAAGTATGAACCTACTTGATATGGTGTAAGAGAAATAAACAAATAAACAATAAACATGCTGTAAGAATTGTCAAAATCACTAAACACCAACAACAACAATTCGATATAACGTTGTCATCTTTGCCGGCATTTGTGTTTTTGTTACGAAGGGGCGCCTTTTCGCCCTTTGGTGGCTTGCTAGCAGCACCGCCTTGCATGCGATCCCATTCCCATAGAACTTCAGCTTCCGGATCAGGATTGTAATTTGTGCTTTCTGTAAGAAGGGAAAAAAATCGTTTTGTATTTTTTAAATTAAAAATATTAAAATGTAGATTATAATACTGGGTGAATTTGGAGCGCTGTGAGGGAAAAACATTTGTAATTAGGGCAAATGATTTTTGTCCAATTGGCAGCACCACTGTTATTCTATAGAAATGTCAATTGAACGTGATTTCCAAACTTTACACCGTTTGTGTTTTTCTTTTTCCTTCGCTGTTATTGTTATTTGGAAATCGTCTTTCGCTAATCGTTGTGATGCAATAGAAAGTGTTGTTGGTTTTTATTTAATAAATTCCGCAGGTGAAAGTGAAAATTGCAGCTGTGAAAAAATAAAACAAATATTTTTCTATCAAAAGAGCAGAGAAAATTGTGAAATTGTTTTCAAAACTAAAGTGTGAAGTGTGGAAAATCGAAATGTAATTGAAATGGAGCAATCGAATAAAGTGAAAGATCCATAAAGTAAAGGAGTATTTCATTCAGGTAATATGAGCTTACGTTAGAGGACTTTGAAATTTACACTTTGTATTGATCGGCGCTTTCATATAGGCAATTATATATTTGCCGGTTGCATGACTTTTGTTCTCAACGTTCTTTACAGCAACGATTGCCGACCTCGCCGCAACAACTGACATTACTGCACTACCTAACCTAGAAAGAGCGATCGGGCGTAACCAAAGCAATGGTTGAGAGCGTATGAACAAATATTAAATTTCTGGTATAAAATAATACAAGGCGCTCAAACAAGATGCAGGGCTTAATTCCAAAATGGTCAAACATTCGTGTGCTTCCCTTTCGTATGACTACCTCGCAAAAGGTAATTACAGTTTGTGTTAACGTTTTTAATTATAACGTATATTTATATACTAAGTATAATTTTTTCACAAACAGGTTGTTTTCTTCTCGCTAACGGCGGGCGTAGCTTTACTTGGTGTGCTCGCACGCTTTCTACGGCGTAGAAAACCACCGCGTCCGCCTCGTCGTACGCGCAAATATACCGGCCGTCGTACACGAAACAGTATGCGCAGCCCTAACGATATGATATCTATAGCCGGTTCTAAGGCATCTGCACGTTCCGGCAGTCCACCCGGATCTACGGTCGCCTATTCAGACCGCATGTCACTTGCCTCTGGATCCATAGGTGCTGGAGCACTTGTGTCTACTTCGCAAAGTCAGACAGGTGCTATAGTTGTACACTTAACCGCACAACAGTTAGGTGTAATGGGCATGGAGGCTTTGGATACAGTTATAAATTATTGGGAAGATGCTTTAGCTGCGCACAATTCACCGGGTGGAGTGCCAGCATTACTCACCACTGCAGAAGAGTCTGAATTTTGTCGTGAAATACAAAATTTACTTGACATGGCTTACACGCTGCAGGAACAAAGTGAATTACTATTCTTGGATCAGCGTTCCGTGCTGTTTCGGGACGAACCGTCTATAGATGAGTTAGAAGAAGATGGTCACACGCTAGATGATGGCACAGAGGACGACAAACGATCACACAGATCTGTTATGAGTCGTACAGGTTCCGACCCAAATTTCGATTCGGCGGAAAGTTTTGCTTCGGCTTTAGACCAGGTTGCCGATATGCGCGATTTCGAGGAATTTGTAGACACATCGTATGATCAATATCCACTATACAATGCAGCGTTAAAACAACACGACGAAACGCCTATACCTTACCGCACTATACGCACTGATCTGGTGAACTGTTCCAGTGACACGGAATATTTGGTGAAATTGCACTGCGTGCGTTTGGCATTTCAATACTTGTTCAAGGTTAGTGCTTGGGAACTGACATTTATATATTTTTAGAGTTTGATATCTGATTTCCATAAGGTTGCTCATTTTAAGTATGCATCTCTTACAGGATCCAGCAATCGGACAATGGGTCTGCGACACAGGACGTCAAATACTTACCGACCTACTTTGTCTGGGCGATAAGGACACCAAGGAATTTCTCGTTGGTTACGAGGATATGATCAATTATTTGCAAAATCCAAATAATTGGGATGAGATACAAAAAGAGCTGGAGGCGCGTAGTGTTAAAGCTATGACTTTTTACGATATTTGTTTGGACTTCATTGTGTTGGACTCGTTTAGAGATCTGGATGCGCCACCCGCCAGTGTTACGGCGGTCGTACAAAATCGTTTTCTCTCCAATGGATTCAAAGAAATGGTAAGTTATAAAATTTTATTCAAATTATGTATGTGATATACTTTTTTTTAACGAAATCGGACTCTTAAGACGCTTGACAACGGAAATTGCAACATACGAACATAACGCACGTGTGTATAATATGACAACAAAACACGTATTTATTGTTAAAGCAACAACAATATAAAGCCCACACGCATATTAGACGATAAGCGAACGGCTTTGCTGCTAATATGAAAATCACTGTTATATTAAAATGTTGCATATCTTTAGGCGCTCAATTTAAACATTTTCTAATTTTCATTTGCAGGCGCTCAGCACTGCAGTTTGGTCTGTGCTAAAAGCCAAAAAACATGGACTCAAGTATACTAACGGATTTATGGCACATTTTTATGTCATCTCCGAGCAGTTATCACCACTCATGGCCTGGGGTTTCTTTGGACCCGATGAAAATTTGCGCGACATTTGCCATTACTTCCGCGATCAAATGTTAGGATTTCTAGCGGATATATTTAGTTTTCAGGCTAGCCGTTATACAACTGTCGAAGTGTTCGCCGATGATATACTGCAACATATGAAGACGCGTGTTAATAATATTGGTGTGAAGTTTAGTCAATAGTTGCATAACAACAGATACAAGCAACAACAAAAACACATACAATTTGACGATTTACAAAATAAACTAAATCAAATAGATTTGAAAGTACTTAGAAGTGATTACAAAACTGTTTTGTTTATCGGTTTAAGTATATTTTAGTTAAGACTTTAATTTTAGCATTGAACAATTCAAAATATCAGCTACAAACGTTGTAGTGCAAGCGTGTTGAAAATATTTTTTTTTTTTTTAATATACTTACATATGTAGATATATATATAGAAATATTTTGTTTTTGCAACGTATAATGTACAACCAATTCCATAATGTTGTGAACAGCTTTTACTATTCCAATTGTCGGCGCGTGTACTTGCTCAATTTATGTATATGAAATGTTTTTACGTGTGGGGTCTCTACCGCCATTTTAGTGTGTTCCTCACCATGGAAGCAATGTACACGCGCTAGATTTTCTTATTTTCTTGTTAATTTTTGTTTTGTAGGTTATAAGAAGAAATTTTTTATAAAACGAAATATAAATGAAATGTGAATTAAATAATTATATGATGTAAGAGATTGTTATTAAAAATTTAAATGAATATTTCTTTATTGATATATATATATTTTTTTTTAATTTAGTACAAAATGTATAAAAATTGTTACTAGGTCCACAATAAGCCCTTAACATATAGATGCCGTAAATATTTCATAATTATTTACGGCCTACGCTGTAACGGTTGAGTGGAAGTTATATTTTCTTACAAACTACGTAGCCAAATAAGCAAACACAACTACATACATACTCGTACACTTAGAGCCGTTTTCATAATGCCTGGCTAGCAACCATCTGTTAGTGAAGTCAAGTAAGACTACTTCTTTCTGTTCTAACCAGACGTTGAGAAAAGGGTCCTTAATCGTTAAAAAAACACCAAAATTTCTTAATATGTACAATATGCTATACTTTAAAAAAGATATTAAGAACAAAAAAGGAAAAACTTCTGGAATTATTGTTAACAAGTAGCAAAAGCATTTAAACTCTTTATAATTATTCTCTACACACATTCGTTGTGAAATTTTCTTTATTTTATATACAATAAAATTACATATTATATCAGTAATATTTCAACTAAAATATATAGTCAATTTATTTTGTAAAAAAATAACCTAATCTTTTCAAAATAATTGTTAAACATCACTGTAAAGCCTACAAATCAGGGCGTCGAAGTTGTGGGACGTTTCTGGACAAAAAGTGAATTACAAATACAAAAGACTGGTTGTAAAGCTGTACATACAAACATTTGTGGATAGAAATATATGAAGTAAATACTTGTAAATAAAGCATTGTGTGCAATATGAAGTGTCCATCGGTGAAGGAGTGGATCTCCTTTCTTGAAATTATAATTGCGGTATGAGTGATAACATATACATACATACATATGTATATGCACAATAATATCACTTCTTACATTCAAACATACAATGTAGGTGCTCTGTCTGCTTGCCATTTCCCTGCTGTCGTGTGTGATAAACTTCCCGGACGATATGAATATGTTCTTGTATCAGTGCTCCTTGGCTACAACAATGGTGCTCTGCTTGATCTTTGGCTTCAGTACTTGGTTCTACAGTTCTAACTATCCGAAAACACGTTTTCATGTGCGCATATTTGTAAGTACCTACATACTCGTGTATCTGTATATTATAAGGGTGCTGGAGTAGGGGAAGTTGCTTTCATTTTCATTACATTTTCAGATTGTTATTGTACTATGGACGATGTTTGTTTTTGGACTTGTCACCGCGATCCTATTTGATATGCAATACTTCGGAAAATATATATACGGTCATTTCGAGCGCGATATTTTCGATAAAACGGATTATCTGATCTTGTATATTGCTATGCTGCTTGGCATCATTGCACTGGTTTTACTCTTTGTCGTCAATATAATATTAACTGTAGGCGTTTGTCGAAGAGCTAGAAAGAATCGTAAATAAAATTAGTGCTACCTATATGTTGATATGCAGTGTATAAATCCATGTGAAGTAAGTGGGTGTTGGTCTCTACATTTATTGGATAAGAATGAGTGGAATAGCTCGTTCAAACATTTTGCAAAGCTGTGATGACACTTGTGATATCTTTTCACTTTCTCCTCGACTGTCCAGCGTTCGCTATCGATATTAGCCGCCTCAACAAATTTAGAATCGTCTCGAAACGCTCCGTCGATACATAAGGGTCCCTTCATCCTCACTTAAGAGCTTCTGACATCCCAAACACCGGTGTATCAAGTGTAAGTCGAATCGCTATCTGTTTGAAGAGATCAACCCGAAACCTAGCTCGCGTTTAAGTGTAGTTTTGTCGAATATTTCGCTGATCTCGCCTTGGTTGAAGATAAAAGTCATGTAAATAAATCTCCTTTATATAAACGTTTTAACAGCACTTCTGAACGTTGCCCTCCTTATAATCTCAAATCGTGCTTACTGATTTAGATTGAAAGAGAGGAGCAATTTTGAACCCGCTGTATCTAGTGACAAAATGAGACAGATCGACTTTGCTAAGGTCCGTTACTTGTGATTTGTAGCGCCAACCCAGAATTTAAACGATAACATTGTGGTAATTGTAAGTCCAATTCAGAGTTCTAGACATCCAAGTACCGAATATCGATAGATAGATAATGATATAATATGTTCGGTTTCGGGAAAGCTTAAAAAAATTTGACGTGTTCTTTTAATTTAAAGTTTTACATAAAAATACATTCTACACGAAATATTTATTTTTGTTAAAATTTTACATAAACATACATATGTATATATGTACATAGCAAAACATGTATACAATAGACGAGTATTTATAAAAAATGTTGAAAGTACTTATATCATTTTTTAGTAAGTATTTTTGGTTTGCTTTTGTATTTAATTCTTTCTGTTTCTGCATTTTCGGACTTTTGCCAACTATGACTGAAAAATGCTCACACAATTTGAAATAAGTATGTATGTATGTATGTAGATTCCGCTCTGTGCTTCCTAAATATTTAAATAAATCTTATATTTATTATAACTTAATTAATCGTAGTAAAAAAAGACGAAGAATTCCAGCAATGAACACGCTCGGAAACGCTCCACACACGAAGTGAAATTAAACGTTACAAATTCGGTGGTTTCAGTTGGCCAACTTTAGATGCCACGATATGATCGGTGAGCCAAGAATGCGCTAATGAAGTAGAGCACCGTGTTCACAAGTCCCATAATACCGGCCGCCATGTATGCATCGTATTGCTTGCCGTATCGGAAGCGTCTGTCGTTCAACTGAATGACGAGATTCAACGAAGCGGCTAGCAGCAAAATGGCCGCTACGCTGTGATAGATCAGTTCCTATTGGCAGAGAAAAATACCGTTAAAAATGCTGTGTATATATTTCTAACCCATTCCAGTTGGTGCAACTTACATAAATGGTCTTCGATATAATGCCGCCCGTACTGAGCGATGTTAAACAGGATAGAAGAAGGCAAAATGTTCCTATCAGGAATGTCGTGACCATGAGGAAGAAGAAGATTTCAGCCGAAGTGGCACTTCCGTTCCAGTAATAGCCGAAAATACCGACTGTGGCAATGCCGATCAGCTGTTTGGGATGACAAATCGTAAGTTAAAGTGATTTTGAATTTTTACAAAGTTAAGTTGATTAATATTCAACATATATGTACATATATTTAAAAAAAATTCGATTCCGCATGCACCGATAAGCGGTCACGAGGTTTTACATATTTATATCCAATATATGTTAATTCAAAGTCACTCACCAATTCGAATAATTTTAATAGACCCGAAAATGACTTCAAGTATCCAGTATTAAGTACAATATAGGATGTATTTGTCGTGCTGGTGGTCGTTCTGGTGATTGTCACTGAGTGAGACATGTTTCCGGTTTTTTTTTTTATAAATGCGTTAGGGTGCTGAGAGGGTACAGGAGTTCTTTTTTAGCTGGAAGTACACAAACGACTGAAACTGTTAAACAATCTTAAAATACAAGGGATAAAAAATTATATTGTTATAAATATATATTTGTTATACAAGTATATATTTATTATATCTTTGACAATTTAGAGCGATTAAGTCGAATTCCAATATGAATCCTGACTTCAGTAGCAATCCTTCTAGGTTTTTTTAGACATAAAGTTTCAAATCAAGTTTAAAAGAAAACCGTGTAGATTTTTGAGTAGAGAGAGAGAGAGAAAGAGAAAGTACAATATCCTCAAGATCTTGAAGCGCTAAATATCCGAAAGGTTGAGTGAGTTTTATAAGAATAATATTAATAAACGAAAAAAAAATCAGAGGTTTGCCATAGCAATATTTACTATAATTCGAATTTTTATATGGGCTTGACTAGGTCTCGAATTTATTAACTCCCTGAGTGGTAGTCTCAAATATCACAAGCATTTTTACCGGCGTGCCGACATGTCTAAAACAAGGAGGTGTTAAAAAATTCAGAATTTTTTTAAACAAAATTTATAATTTTGTACACAAATTCGCTTGGAAGCGAGTCTGAAAAACGGTTCATTGGTCGCAAAAACATACACATGCGAAGACCTAGATACATATATATGTATATTATTATGTATTTATTTACTTTTTAAATAATTTGTGTATATTTTTAGATCTGTACAAATATATAAGAACACATATAGTACTCATATAACTAGGTATTCGTGCTTTGTAATTCGAAATGTGTACACAGCGTTGACTCACGATATTCTATACAAATCCTGAAATTAAGTACAATTTTTGAAATAAAATATTCCATTTCAAATATTTCCAGATAAATTTATTCTCTAATATACTAAATACAAAATCTAAGCGTTTCAGCTTTTTAATAAATTTTTTAACATTTGAAAAACAAAATCGCTAAATTTTCTTGAGTGACCAATCGAACATACAACTGGTATAACTTACATAAACTGGCATAATCAAATAATCAAAATAGAATAGCAAGCGTGTTTCCAACTTTAACGTGACAAAAATAAATTATGTGATTTTCGGACTCGTACTCCATTTTATTCCACTGAAGAATTTTCTCAAAGCATTGCTGCGCGAAAATAACCTTGAATTCAAGCGGACACTTAAAATGCAATTATTTCAAAATAAGTAATATTTTTAAAAATAATATTTGACCTAGACTTGTCTTTTGCAATCAAAACGTGAAATTATCGCATGAAGGACTCATCGGCAATGCAATAATCGTTTACAAGTGGCATCGCAAATGTAGGCATGCATACATACATGCATATGTATGTGCATGTGTGTAAATTAAACGCCTACACAAATAGCAAAAACAAATACTAAATGTTTTTGAGAAAAAACTAATGTTTTTAATTGATTTCGACAATTTCCGTCTCACCCAAGAAGCTTACATTTGTTTGTATGTATGCGTAATGCAATGACAATTTTGACGTCATTTAATTTACAAAAATTACTTACGTGCATACTTATATACATACAAGCATATAAATTAAAGAAATTTATTGGCATTTATTTACCGATGTTTTTCTCTGTCGGTTGGAATGGCAGCTATAGTGTTCTAAACTGAAGCATATATTCGGAGATAATAATTTACATACATACTTATGTATGTCGAAATTTGCGAAGATATCTCCGCAAATAAAAAAGTTTTTCATGCAAGAACTTGATTTGGATCGTTCAGCTTGTACGACAGTTACATAATATAATGGTGCGATATCTCAAAAACTGAGAGACTATTTATCGTATATAATGATTCAGTTGTGATTTGATTTGATTCAGACAACTGCATTCTTGAGTGCGACCACAAGAAATGTGTTTTCTTGAAATATTTTCGAAAAGCACTCTTAGGTCACGGTGTTCGCAAGTTAAGGAGCACAGCTTAATCAATTTATGGCGTGATATCATTTGTGGTTTACATATGTATGTATGTAAGTATGATTTTACAAAACTGGAGCAAGAAAAAATTCTTACCATACATTCGTGGAGGCCCTGACCTAATTCTGTTACATACATACGAGAACAATTCGTCACCACTAACGAACATTTATGTATGTACTGCAGCAATTAAAATAAGTACATAATATACTTTATATATATATATATTTTTTTTTTACTTATTTATTTATTTAAGGAAATACAATTATAAATAATTATACTACCTATATGAAATAAATATGTTTTTCATAACAGAACAGAGCAACTGGCTTTTGCAAAACGTACCGGTTGCATATCATTTGCTTTATAGGTAGTTTATCGCGATGCGCCGATGTTGCGGATCAATGAATGGGCCAGTAGACGCTTGGCACAAATCAAACAATTTTTTTTTTTTTGTTTATATATGAGTGGGTGTGTAGACACAGCCATATACAGCGACTGCATATATGTATACATATGTATGTATGTATATAAGGCTAGGCAACGGTACAACAATAACAACGACATTCATAATTATTGATAAGTGAGAAATTCTGATTTCCACTTAAAAAAATTGATTCATTATTGTCTCGGCATGGCCACCAGCAGTTACTAGGTGTGTATGTGAAAAAGCTAAAGGGTATACTTATAGACACATACAAACATACAGATATTAATTTCATTTTGTTGGTGTAAAGAATTTCTTTGTTGTTTGCGGGACTTGCGAAAATGTGTTCTGTGATAAAGGTACTAATTAAAAGTTGTAAAGAAAACACTTATAAATAGACATACAACCATATGTATATATGTATGTACGAATGTACTTCCAGTGCCGTAAAAAATTATGAATGTTTGTTTATATCAGGATGTACATACATGTGTCATTAATATTTCAAATGAAATTGTAATTTTTTTGGACTTCGTTGCATTTAGCGAAAATTCCCTATGCCTTTTTAGACTGCATTATATAATATATACTACGGATTTTTTTTCCTAGATCTCTAACTACTATTTCTTTAAGTTTTTATTTTTGCTTAGTGTATTTAAATATTAAATATTTAGTTTTAACAACAAATTAAATGTAAACAGCTGATTTTGACAGTTTCTAATATAAGCTTTAAACGACCAAGTATTCATATACCTTATCAAATTTGAACTGGACTGGTCCGTGCAAACCGAATCGATAACCATTTTTTTTTTAGTTTGGTACAACCTTTGTTATGTTCGTATGAAATTTTATCTCCATTTGTCAATTAGGGTTGGCAGCTGTTTGTTTACCACGCGAAAGGTTGGCGATTTTTACTACGGAAAAAGAATTGAACAACGAGTTTGCTTGAAATTTTGTATTCTCAATGGAATCACGTTTATAAAATCATTGAAAATGTTGCAGAACTCTTTTTGGAAGTTAACTTTATCACGAACATGAGTATCTGGGTGACACAAAGCATTCAGCGGAGGTCGTGAAGTCATGGAAAACTTGTATCATGCGAGTCGTCCATCCACCGCTGTTCATGACAATAACAACAAGAAGTTAAGGAAACAATGAGATCCGTCATATTGGCATCAGAGAGATAGCAAAGGATCGCAACATTGCTTAGGAATAGACTCAACACCCCATCTAGACTCGTACCAAATGATCTGAATTTTTTGCAAAAACGACGTCGAGTAGAGGACGCAAAAGATATGCTTGACAACTTAGCTGAGATCCTATATTCATCAAACGCATAATTATTGGTGACGAGACATGACTTAATGAATATGACGACGAAACTGTCCAACAATCTAGCGAATGACGCGCTAAGAATGAGACGAAACCGTAATTCGCTTAAGGCACAGAAAACCATCCCAGCCGAGGCTTATAACACATGTATGGAAAATTGGTTATAAGCTTGGATTGGCTCTACAGGAGCCTATTTTGCAGACAATAATAAAGATTTGTATTTAAATACGGGGAAATGTAGTTTTTTTTGTCAGTCTGGGTCAAATTTGTTACCCGTAAACTAAATTTTTCATTTCAATAATAAAGCAACTATAGGCAACTGAAAAAAAGATCCTCCCTATTAACATTAAGAGTTCATGCTTGCAAAGAAATTTTTTGAGGTGTCTACCAAACAATTTTTTTGTAAAGTGAAAAAAGAAAAAAATAATCCTTCTTTTGACGAATCTCAATACATAAACATGCATCACATATTAATGGTTTACACGAATTAAAACATAATATAAAAAAAAGTTTTGATTCTTTGAATTTTTGTATATATAAATTATACCCATGGATGTATTGATTAATGGGGTCTGTAAACACTAAAAATATGGAACATAAAACAGATGGCGCTGTTTCAACGCGGCATCAATGAAACTTTTTAAAAAGAGCAATGAAGAATAGCTATATATATAGCTACAAGTATATATATACATATGTACTATATATATAATATACAAATTTTAAATATAAGAGTTAATGTAAAAATAATGATTTTATCATATCCACTTCATCCATTTTATCATATCCATGTATACATACATATACTATATATTTTTTTAATGCGTCTTGCAGTTATAAGCAACACATTACCAAAAAAAAACAAAAATGAAATATAAAAATTCCAGACATTCATTACAAAATATGGTGCCGCAGCACCAAAAACGTTCTGCGCCACAATCGTTAGTGTTTTCACGTATTTCTTGTTATTCGCAATTCAATATTTATTTTGATTCCACGGCACAATGCCGCATACAAACAAGTTCTGACTCCAGTTTCCTTGTAAATCGAAGTAAACAAACATATTGTATGTATATATGTATGAGCTTAAATACATGAATGTACATATGTAGAAGCATTAAATTCGCTTTTAATTCGGGTTATGAGGTAATCGCAAAAAAATGATCTCATCAATGGAATGCCATGAATTCTTCTGCCTTCAATTTTTAATGCTACTTTCATGAAATGTAAATATGTATGAATGACAACGACTTTAAACAATCGATCACACTTTTTATTGCAAAAATGCATAAACGCATGTACATATGTATGGATGTGTGTATATGTGTATGTTTACTAAATATGAATTTAATTGTGAGGAGAGAAGGGCAAATGGGTGGGTGAATTGCGTTCATTACAGCCTTCAGACATACATGGTATATGGTATATGTACATACCAAAATATTATATATTTACTGAGTTTATTTATTAAAATTTCGTAACATTAATTTTAACGAAACCGGAGGGACTGATTTCAAGCATTTTTGGATAGAAGAGTCAATACATTTCAGTTTTGTCAAATATAATTTGTTTTCCGTATAATTAAAATAGTTAATAATATTTTTGGGCGTAGCAATGGTCTGCTTCCGTCCATTGGCAATCCCAACAAGCTCAGAGTGTCATAGAATACCTGTTCAAAATTAAGATATTCCAGTTAGACATTCGAATATCTATTTATGTCTTTATTATCATAATTTTATTATAGTTATATTATCAAATACATACATATCTATCCCGACAAAGCGATTATACGCTGTGCAACATGTTTCGAGCGTATTAAAATCAATATAAGACATTTCGGTAACGCTTCATCGAATAAATTTATTCATTTGTGACGCCCCTGTGTAAACGGTTCGAACACTTACATATTTGCATACATACTTATATGTATGTAAGTAGTTGCATTCGGTATTTCGCATTTCCTGATTTCATTGCAATTGAAAAACATGAAAAACGCGCTTGAGCAGCTAAGGTGCAAGGTTGAGCAATTTAAATTTCTATTTAGACACATTATTTTCAAATACAAAATTTTACAAGTACAAATATGCATATTTATACATATCTTTTATAGTTTTTGTTGTGATTGTTAAAATGTGAATAAAATCTGGAAAATGCGAATTAATTAAATTTTGACGCAGAAATTTGATAAAAACAGCGGAAACAATTTGTATGTGTTTCGAAAATGGCGAAAAACTTGTAAATATGTCATAATAAAAACATTTTGAATTTTTTTTAATTGTTAGGCGGCAACTCTGCATATATATGTAAGTAGATCATTTCCGGTATCTATAAGTTAGCTACAAATGTACTTTACTCATAAAATTCGCTCAATAATGAGAGCGACACATATAAGATTCATATAAGTAAATTAAATTATCTCGAAAAAACAAGTCCAAAAGAGTAATTAACCATATAAAAGATCATCTTTGTAACTCATAAATAATATGGCATTTAATTATGTACTTGTATATGATGTGCATGTTCGAAGCGCCGCTTACGGCAAACCAATGAAAACGAAAGTGCAGTCACAATGAAACACGCACTGGAATTCGAAATTACATAACTGTACAAATATCCATACATAAAAATCCATTATTACAAAATGCAACGGCAATGCCTGCTTTGTCTACAACTGGGCCGTACGCGACTTGGGTGCGGCAGAGAAGCCGTTAACAAGTGATGCATTCAAAATGAAAAACAAAAACAATAAAACTATAAAACTATTTGACATTCCTTAATGCTCGGCGCTTAGTAAATTATATTTTTGTATTTTATTAAAAAATATCTATAAATAATTGCATATATCAATTACTTGATACATAATTATTTCTACTGAAGAAATTATATTTTATCAGTTGCTTAAACGCCGTTAACTTTTATTTGTTTTATGTACTGTTTCATGTGCATATGAACTACGACACTTCTGTGATACCTAGAATTTTACTTTTTTGCAGTTGTTGCTTTATCGACTCTTTTTCTTGCGAAAACTGTCAGCTTATATAAAATAAATATAAACTAGCACAAGAAAAAGTGTTAATTTCGGTTGCAAAGAAACTATAATTCAAATACAAAAGATTCCATACAAGAACTTGATTTTGATTATTCAGTTTGTATGGCAGCCATATGCTATAGTTATCCGGTGTGCACCATTTCTTCGGAGTTTGTGCCGTTGCCGTATTTTTTCTCTTTACTTTTGATGATCCTGTCAGAAATTCTGCTATCAGCTTACATTTTTTCATATATAGTATATATCCAGTATTCATATATGCACATACATACATTAGTTGTTACATTTTAGTTACAATTCTACGATAATAATGTTTATTTATTCGAGTGAAATGCAAATAAAAATGTTATAAACACCATTTTTTGCCGTTAGTCATTTTTGTGTTGGAGTCAGCTAAAGTAATAACTTTCAAGTACATAGAAGGTAAGAATATACCCACATACATATGTACGTACTTAAAATGAGTCATTAACAGCTCCAGCAAAAGCAGCAAATCTTAGTAAAAGTCGTAAAAAATGATGCCGTTAGCAATGGTTAATAACATTTCTTTGGAGTTACAGGGCGTATGAGAGACTATTTATACTCGTACAATATGTATGAGATCTCGTAATTCAATTCAGTCCAGTACTGAGTACTGGACAAAGTCTAACTGCTGTTTGTTAAACAAAATAAATGAAATTGAGAGCGCAAATTAATATTTCATTTTATTGAGAACCTGATTGTTTCAGCTTGCCAAAACCAAAACCAGCTGATGGCAGTAAGTTATTGAGATTTTGATAACAGAAATTGGAAATATGTACATATAGTTACATGTAAAAGTAAAAAAAAAAAAATACAAATAACAATAAAAAGCAATCAAAGTTTGCGAATTCCTGCTGGAATTTCTGTACATTTCGCTCTTTAGATATAATTATTATCTCTCTCGCTTCTGGATTTCTATATACTGAGTGAAAAGCAGCTGTTAAAAGAATTGGTCAAATTTTGAAAACCAAACGAAATGAAAAATAGCTTGTATTAAAAATAAATATTTTAGACTCTTGCCGAATCAAGCATCAATTTCAAAAAGTTGCTTGGTTTTCGGTATAAATGAAACGATATTAGGTTAAGCAGAAAAATTAGATACATTGTATATTTTTTCTCCGGTTCAACTTCAGTTATTGACAGCTCAACATAGAAACTCAGAAATCAACCGAGATCTGAGGAAATTAAAATCTAAAATAACCATTCACATTTGGGGCTTTGAAAATTCGATATTATACTTTTTAAATAGACGATACTTGAGATTTTAAATTTTAAATTTGATATCCAACAAATACATTTCATTATTAGCTTTTACAAATAAATTTTGTATGTAATAATTTAAAATTTGAATATTCAGTCCTCTGCCTGAAGGCATGAGATCATCTTAGCCAGTAAATATACTTGTACATACATATGTATGTATATGCCTGTGTGCGCGTGTTCTCACCTTATTTGAGCGTTCAGTGTGTTGGTTCGTACATATGTATGTATGTGTTTGTATGTTTACAAATGCGAAAAAGCAGAAGAAAAAGTAAAACAAACATAAAATCAAAATAGAATTTTGAAGATCGCACACAAGTAAAGTAAAGTGTATTTCCAAAATATTCACATTTCATTGCGGCATACATACGCACACACCCAAAAGAATACACACAACAAAATATAGAACATTATAACGGTATTTTTATAAAAACAAAAAAATAAATTTCAATACCCTAGCGACGTTAAAGGCGCACCCAGGTATATGGCTGAGGAGTTCTAAATAATTGCAATCATTTATTAATTGTTGGTTTGCATATGTATGTGTGCATGTATGCATGTGTGTATTGTTAGGGGTAAGTTCATTGGACACCCTGGAGTATTCCCAGTCACAGCTAGCCGTTTATATGCCAGAGAGGTATATATGTATGCAGATATGTAGGCAAGTATCTATCTATGTACCTAATTGCTCGAGGAAATTCGGACTTCTGGGCAGCCTGGCAGCTCTTTACTTAGTTAGTCAGCCGCATGCTCAATCACTTTACGCACACACTCACACACGATTTATAATACACTTATTTTCGGCTAAATTAGCGAATAAATAGAAAAAACCAACGCCCACACCCGAATAGCGGCGATAGACCAAGGTGACTACTGGCAGAGCAGATGGCAAAGTGGCGAGGACAATGGCGGTCGAATGGCAGCCAAATGATTTGAAACATTTGGTGGACCACAATACAAACAAAACAAAATATATATGTGTATAAGCCAACATTTTCGGGAGTGTAGATGCATATGGAATAGGGTGGGCAAAAAAAAAAAAAAATACCAAAATTTTGTTCGTTATTTCCGACGAAATTTTCACGGTATCTAAGGAAAAAATAGTAAAAAAAAATTTTTTTTTGGACCACCTTAATACTAATATTATAGAATTACATGTATGTAAAATTACTTAAACGCATTAACATGGGTGTACAATATGTATATATTTACTTATGTATATAGTATGTATGTACATATGTGTTCGTGATAATGTTTATAATTGCTTTTTCCTATATACATTGAGTTAAAAATTTTTTTTTTATCTAAAACGTTTAATATTATTACTTTTTTTATACATATTTATTTTTAATATATTTTTATTTATTGTAAATATTTCTTTTTTAATAATTGTTTGGTTTTTTATAAAGTCATATAGTTCCACTAAACTGCACCGTTATTTTAAACACAAACATATTTTTCTCATAAAAATTACAAAAAATAATTAACAAATTCGGCTTACATTTTCAAAAATGTTTATTTGTTTTTCGCTTTTGCGCTTTTATCAACGAATGTCAATTCTTCACTTATGATCGTTTGAGGAGCTTTTCTTTTTCACAACGTCTTTACGCGCGTACGCTTTAGGCAAAACTGAAACTGAAATTTCGCTTTTAACGCTCGAAAGTGTGAGTGCGGTGCGTCGTCTCTCGACCAATTCATGTAAGACATTCGGTGGTTTGTTTTGCTCAACCGGTGACGTCATATATTCCAACAAGTTGAAGTGATGACTAAAATGTTCCAACGCAATTACTAATACACATAAACGCATACCTTTATCAGGTATGTGTAAATAAGTGCGTTTTGTTGTAACAACGGAAGTTACATAGTTTGGCGACGACGCGCACCATGATCGCAAGCAGCACATATGTACAGGCGACGCATATAACCAATTGTATTATTATGTATTTTCAAACAAACAGGTAAATAAATTTAATATTATTGCTTAGGTAATGCCACCGAACTTGGGCATTCGGTTCAAACGTATGATTACTTCAGGTGATAATAATTTAGGGTGACCGTCTAAAACAATTTTTGTTTTCGATTTTTGGGTAAGCAACTGTAGACACGAATACTGAATGCGGTAAACTTGGGACTCGTACAATAACGTAAATTCTTGAAATTTGGCGGGCAATGTTCGAACAAGTGGAAAATCTAGGCAGAAGGCTGAATGTCAGGCTTCTGTGATGGACGACTTCGAGAACACTTATAAGAGTTTGGTCACCAGAATTACCAGATTTTACCGTATTTTTTTCTAGTTTTCTACAAGAAGTTGTAGTGAGAATTGAAAGCTTTCGAGGTCAACTTGAAAACGCTATCCAAAGGCAGAGAGAGAATATCAGTATATCAGAGAGAATATATCACTGCGTACTGCGTAAGTTGCAGGTGAGGAAGGTACACAACTATCGGAGTCCCTAACCATGGGTAGTGACTGCAAAAATCGTGTAATCATCTCAGAACAACTTACAACATAAGTCACTTCTAGCACTATCTACTGTGATGTTTTCGACGAACGCACAATTGTAGTGGCATATATACTTTAGAACCGTGACATACCGTAGAATCACCCAAAAGCAATATCAACAAAGACTCTGGCGATCTACTTATGACACATATGTACATATATCGGATTTCGTTACTCAGATTACAATTTTTCTTACGACCCAATCCCTTGTGGAAAAGTGTGTTTACCATGAGTTCAGCATAATTTTAATACATCAAGGAATATGGATATCAAAACAATGCTTAATACTAGCTTGAAAAAAAAGAGAGTTAATAATTGTAGTATATATATCTTGGACTGCCTTGTACGACAGCTATACAGAGTTATACTATATATTATATTGTATTATAATACACTTCACATATACAAAAGGTTCCTTAGAGGAACTTGATTCCTATCGTTCAGCTTGTATGACATCAATATGCCATTGTGATCCGATCTGAAAAATTTCTTCGACGATTCCATTATTGCTTTAGATAATAATTCGTTCCAAATCTCATGAACATATCTTTTGAAAAAGTATAATCGAAATGCAAGTGTGTCAATTGTGGAGCGTGAGATCATTGATTGCAAATAGTCAAGATTTTGAAGGTTCTAAACAATTATTATTATAATAACACATTACTTTATAGAATCGCATGCAATTTATGTAAATTTTATTAATAGATTTTGAATCAAGCATTTTGAGTGAGCAACTCAATTATAAAACGTACATATGTATGTATGTAAATGAAATGAGTAAACAGATACCGTACACGAATACATACTACATACATAAGTACAGGGTATGTGGAGGCTGAATTCTTCTGAGTCATTACGTTGTATTGTCTGGAAAAGTGAAATTTGTTTATCTTGTCGTATGAATGTTCGTCTTGCTCACTTTCGTATCGAAACATCCCCAAGCCGAAGGCAATAACCTTTCATACAAAGAAGCCAGGCTATGTTACCCTTCATGAAGGGTGGACCAAGAGTTTGTTTACCTTTCAAGCAGTAAGTTTGGCGTATGAGCACAGTAGGATGGGTTGGAGGGGTTAAAAAGTGTAATTGAAGCACTATCGAAAAGGCGAAATGAAGCGCCATCGATATAATTAATTGGAAAATGGATGTAATGCTCCAACTAGAACGTAATGACGTAACGAAAATGTATAACATGTAAGAGTTTACGAGCGTAACGAGAAGATGAGCGTTATAAATGATTGCCTGAAGAACTCCAGATTTCTTAACAGCCAAAAATATTGTTATACTTGTACTCAAGAAGTTTTGGGCACTGCGCTAACGATTTAAATAGTCTCAATCAGTGAAAATTTGCCACAACAATCCAATGACTTATTGCAATTTTTTGACACAAGGTTAAGAATATATCCAAAAGTGATGACCTTTAACTCGAAATAAAGTAACCCATTGGTTGTTTTTTAGCAATTAAATGACATTTGTGCTCGTGTATTTTCAATCAATAAGCAATTTATTCTCTCGCAATTTACAAGGATGAAAGCCGGAGACATACTTTCAGATGTTGGAGAAGCTTTCATCAGGACATAGCTATTACCAGAAAAAGATGCCCTCTGAATTTCATTGAAATACCTGCCAGATTGATAAACTTATATACATATGTATATGATATACTGAAATTTCGAAAATCCCTGTAGGTATATGGGGGCAAAGGAAATATTTATCCGATTCAACCCATTTTTGACACTCAGACATACTATCAACAGGAAAGCATTCTCTCTGAATTTCAATTATACATATCACACATTGACCGATATTTTCGGTAAATAGACAACTATAGGCACTGGGGTCCACATATTCGGTACCTCAGCTTGAACAGTTTTGATTCGATTTGGACAATGTTTAATCATAAAGTGGCACACTTTAATAGGGGCTATTTGTGCAAAGTTTTAACCCGATATATTAATTGTTTATTTTATTTGTATACCGGAATGTGAAAGAATCAGATGGTATTTAAAATTGTGTTATATGGGAAGTAGGCGTGGTTTTTATCCGATAATTTCCTCCATTTTCACAGTGTAATATGGGAAGGTTGTAAGAATGTTATGTAATATGTGATTTCATCTAAAAGTGGACCGGCTCCTATAAAGCCCTCTTGTGCCATCCTGGGTGTAAAATTTAATGTCTCTGACGCATTTAGTTATTGATTAATCGCACTTTTAGTAGTTTTTAATAAAACCGTTATATGGGGAATGGGCACGCCTACTTTTTCAAGATTTTCAAACCACATATGCCCCTACTTAATTAGATTCGTTGTGCCAAATTTGAGTTCTGTATCTTAATTTATGGCTTAGTTATAGTAATTTATACGTTGTCGATTAATGGCGTTTTGTGGGCGTGGCACTACAGTACCGTGGTCTGCAATATCAAACGTCTTATGGTGCCAAGGAACATGTGTACCAAGTTTCATAAAGATATCTCAATTTTAACTCAAGTTACAGCTTGCACAGACAGACAGACGGACAGACAGACGGACGGACAGACAGTCACCCGAATTTCAACTCGTCTCGTCATCCTGATCCTTTATTTAATATATACATAACCCTATATCTAACTCGATTAGTTTTAGGTGATACAAACAACCGTTAGGTGAACAAAACTATTATACTCTGTAGCAACATGTGAGAAGTGTATAAAAACGTGTCTCTGACATGAGAGAATATCTCCTTGTTGTTATTATTGTTGTAGCGACAGAATTCTGGCGAGTTGAGTCCGTTCCGGTTAGACCCGACTGTCGTGGAAACGGAGAGAGTAACTTGTCTCTAGTTTTCGCCTGGATTTAAAGTTGCCAAAAAGAAGAGCGAAGAAATAAGAGAAGTAACATTTTTCCGTTATAATTTTAATGCATGCTTTCCTTTATTATTATTTCTATTATTACATGTAGGTATTAATATTTGCAATACAATTCAGTATGACTTTATTGCTTGCAGTGCATATTAGTTTTTGTTTTTGTTTTGCCTACAAAATGAAATATCTGTAGCTTTCGTTAGCATACAGCACATAAACAATAAATATGTATGAGTGTATGTATGTGTATAAACATGGCCACTAGTGGTTAACTTTTTCGTTGATTTTATTGTTTAAAATTATGAATTCATATTTCGCAAAGTGTGACATTAATTACTGCCACTTAATAAACTTAGGCTGGCTGCTTAGATATAGCAATTCACAGTAAATTAGCGAAGGTTTAGGATAGGAGAACCATTAAAATATATAAATAACTTTTGAAATGCGTTGAAAGTCTCAGAGACTATAAAGTTACAAACTAAAACAAATTTTTATTTTTTTTGACAATTTCATTCTTCAACATATAATATATGCATTTAAGCGGCTTAAGGAATATTTTATTATTTGAATTCTTAAGCTAACGTTAAGTTCAGTGCATAACCTCAAATCCAGACATTTTTGCTTGCACCGATACCAATGAAAGTACGACGCTAAAACACACACCTTTCGCCATTGAAAAACTTATAGTTAATATTATAGCATATTGATTGATTAATAATCCAGAAGATTGCGCTACAAAGCGCTAAGTAGTTAAACAGTTAAATATATTGGTGTTTCTAATCTAAATTATCATCGAAATCGTGTGGTTTCGGCTCGGTTTTGGGTTCGGATTTAGGCGCCTCTGGTGTACTGTTGTTCAAGCCTTCGAACATCTTTGCGATATTTTTAAAACCAATTTTGTCACCAAACGCAGTTATTTTAGCGAATTTCGGATGGTTCTTGTATTTCTCAATATTTTGTGGACTCATTGTTATGTCTAGCAGCATCTGCTGCATCTCCTTGTCCTTAAGGTAAGCCAAAAATTCCGGATCCAAGCGTATATCATTTGCTGATCTTTCCTCTTGTGGCTGCTGTTGCTTACGCTCTTTAGCATGTGAACGTGCACTGTGCTGTGCCTTCTTGCTTTCACGCTCGGCACGCTTACGTTCCTGCTTAATGCGATGCTGTTCGAGTTTCTTGGCATTGGGTGTGACCTCACGCAACCATTCATCTGTCTCCTCATCGAAATCTAACTTGCAAGCTTGCCGTAAATCATTGGCAGATTTCTCCCAATTACCTAACAAACGATGGGCACGCCCACGGAACTTGTAGGCCGCCGCCGAATCACAATTCAACTCCAACGCTTTGTTACAGTCACGAATACAAGCATTGGGTTTCTTTAGTTTGAGGAATGCCTGACCGCGTTTGGCATAGAACAATGCATTGCCGGGATTCAGCTCGATAGCTTTGGTATATAATTCGATGGCCTGAACAAATTTCTGTTCGGAATAAGCAGCAGCGGCTTGTGAACGCAAATCGCTGGCCTGATCGATTTCCTCCTCTGTTGGTGTCTTATTCGAGTCACCCATCGGCTGATCGGCTTCGGTGTCGGCTTCAATAACACCTATAAATAAATAAAGGAAATGGCGAATACATCAGACGACTAATAGTGCGATATAAAATACTAGAAACACACTTGGTGGCTTTGCCTTGTTAACTCAAGCTGTTTATTTCATAATTGCAGCTAATTTTTTTTATTACACTTAAATATACATACATATGTACATATGCAAAATATATCGAATATGTGTATAACAAAAATTCCCAGCTTAATTAAAGCAAAATTCTCTTCATATGACACTAAGCTTAATTGTGTGAAATTTATATTATATTACTTAATATTATACAATTTATATTCTTACTAACAACTAAAAAATTTTTATCATACTTTAAAGCATATGAAAATTTTGTGCACGCTCTTCGCTTTCGTAGCCGGCGTTCATGATGTGCGGCTGGTGCACATAGCCGGCGGCTTGTGGCAGCAGCTGATAGGCAGCCGTGGGCATAAGTGCGGTTGGCAACTGTTGTTGTTGCTGTTGCTGTGGTTGCATTTGCGTTTGTGGCGGTGGTGGCGGTGGTTGTGCTGTTAGTTGCTGTTGGTGATGATATATTGTGGGCACAATAACAGGCGTAGGCGCTTGTGGCGCATAACGCTGCTGCAAGAAACGCATAGTTTCAGTTGCATTTGGCGTCAATTGCGTCCAAAAGCCACCTTCTTCGCCGGTGAATGTGGAAATGTTCGGATTGAGTTTTTTCGTTGCAGGCGCGGCGTTTATCTTGACTAGCATGCCGTCAACCGCCAATGTAGCAGCAACATTTACATTAGTGTTGCTTTTGGTAGTATCAATTTTAACTGTCTCAATGCATTTGCGCTGTGAGCTTACTTTGTGCGCATGCTTAGACGTCGGTTGCAAGAAAGCCAACTTGAAATCTTTATGGAATACCCTACGAAAGTAGCTGGGACTGAGCGCAATTTTATTTTGGCGTTCACAATCCTCCTTATATTCGGCATACATTTTCATTATGTTCAATGAGCTGTGTAGAAAGCGTGTTTTGTAATTTTTGTGTGGCACCCAAGTTGGATAGCTGTTGATATGTTCGCGCACACCGCCAATAAGTTCCTCCGAATATTTATTCTTTTTGCCAGTACGTCCACGCCGATCTTCGCCAGCGTACGCACCGGTCTGCTTATCGACATTCTTTTGTGCATTGGCGAGGAAGTGACTGCCGATGCAGAGCGTTGTATTGAAGAAACGTGAACAGACGCGCACATTTTCGCCGCGTTCGCCACGTAGAAAATATCGATTTGTATACACACGTACACGATTTGTCTTTCGGTGCTCTGCTGCAGTCGTGCTGGTGTTTTCATGCACTTCAACACGCGATAACACAAAGTCTTTGCGTCTTTTATAACTCAAACGCCAAAAGGCTGCACATAAGAGTGCACGTTGCTCTTCGGTAAATTTTGTGTGACATTTAAATCGACATGATTCGGCGCAATTGACTGGCTGTGGCACACGATCTTTCTTTACAGGGATACCTTTTCTGCTGGGACGATTATAAGATTTAGATTTCGTTTTCTGTACAGTTGTGGTCGGGCGTTCTGTATGTTCAGCTAACACTACTAAATTTTTAGCACCGTTGTTTTCCTGTGCGGCTAATGAGGAAGTATTTTCTATTGTACTTTCATCACTTTCTTTCTGCTGCATTGGTTCGTTTTCTGCACTTTGCCTATTTGTTGTGGAATACAGTATGCCAGTTTTATTTGTAGCCATCTTCTTCGTGGCAACATCTTTTATCTGTTCTCTTATATCTTCAGTCACCGAATTATCTGCACTAGAACCCGCATCTTCCACCGAGTTATCACGTCGCTGTTTCGCTATTTCACTTTTTAAACGCCGCCCCTCGCCGCTACCGCCACGCAAATCTATACCGGTATAATGACCTTTACCATCGTTGTTCTCTAGCGCATCCTTCACCAAGTAACCACTTATAACAAGTGTTTTTAAAAAGAAACCCAAGCACACCCTCACGCGTTCCCCATCGCTTGAAGGCATGAAATAGTGATTAGTGTGCTGGCGTGCCTCTTTTACTCTCTTTATTATGCGCATTTTGCCAAGCGGTTTTTTCTCTATACATGACAGCAAATAGTTTTTACGTTCGACGAAACCCAGTGACCAGAACTGTTTACACAATTTCAATCGTTGTTCTTCATCAATTTTACCACATTGTTTTTTGCATTTCCCATTGCAATTAATCGGTTTAGGTTTCCTAACTTTCTTCTCCGGTTTTAGTTCTGTGTAAAAATGCCGATTTTTTGTATAACGCTTCCCTTTCCTACTTCGTAATTTACGTCTACAACTACGAGTTTTTATTCGCGGAAGCACCATTTCGGAAGACTCGTCACTATCGCTATCGTCTTCGCCTTTATAATTTTCATCCTGTAAGTCTTCATTTTCGCAATCACTATCTATCTCGAATTTCAAAGTAACTGGCGCAGGATTAGTTTTGATAGGATCCTCCTCCCCAATATTATCCCTTTCATCAGTGTCATAAACAGCTTCAACCTGACACTCATACTCCTCGATATTGTTTTCTTCACAATCGGAGTTTTCCCGTTCAGTTTTTATAGGTTCTTGTTTTCTAATTACTCTAGTTTCCTCGAGATACACTGTACTTGTATTGATGAAATTATCGCCAATAATAGATCTATCCGCCAAATCCGGTCCACTCTTTTGCCTTTTCCGTTTATGTTTTGTTTTGGCTGAAAGCAAAAGTGCGTATACAAGAGCCGTGTCAGGCATAACTTGATAAGTAATATGATAATTAAAAAGTTTTCTACCTATAAAAAATTAATATAGTATCGACCCTATAATTTTCCTGACACGCCTCTGTACAGAAATTCGCAAAGCTACCTTAATAAATACAAATACTTCTTTTGGCAAAGTAATCAACTACCACATAAAACATAACCTTGTATAATTTATTTACCAACCCGTCATTTTAAAAAACTTACCTTCCATGTCCAATTCCACCTCCGGCTCAGGTTCCGATTCCTCCAATTCGGATTCCTCCGATTCATCAACATTCATGCCACTACCACCGGCTGTGTCCCCACCAAAGGGACATTTTCTATAAATCGAATCAAATTTTTTTACCCAAATGTTTTATACGTTTAAATGGGGGTAATTCTAATATAACTTACCCTCCAGCAGCACCAGTAGGCATCTTAAATTCACCAGTCGGTACTTTACCTCCAAATTTCTCCAAAAATTCTTTTACAAATTGTAATTGCGGCAAATTAAGCACTGTTGGATTTTCCGACACGAAATTTATAAAAAACTTCAACTTTTCCAAGTCAGCATGGGACAAATTAGGCATAGCCATTTTTGCGTATTTTTGTCTAATAAGATTCTCAAAGTGGTTCTAGACAATTATACTGATTGCTTTCTGTGTTAAGAACAAATAATATAATGTAGTTATCACGTCTCTGTTGTGTATTTCTTATAATTGAAAATTTCTTTACTTTAATTAGTCGGTAAAATGTTATCGCGAAACTTCTTTTTTGAGTAATGGCACAGGGTTGATTTTCTATTACAAGCGAAAAATAAACAATATTGCCATACACAACTTGGCGTGCCGTTCGCCAAAGTTCACACGTACCAAACTCCTTATATTTGTATCAAACTTTTAAAACCATAACGAAATCTTGAATATTGATTCCGTTTAGTTATTACTAATTGTTATTATATATTTTCTTATTAATTTGCGACTTAAAGCATTAATACCTATACGTTATGAAAGCAATATCTACAATATAGTATCGATAAATTTACGATCGATAATAATTACATATCTGTAAATTGGAGATTGAAGTTAAACAATCACTTTGAATAAAAGTTACCGCGCAAAATAAGAGGAAATATTAAAGAAATCTGTTTCATGTTTTTGGAACAAACGTTACAAAATGGCTCCGAAGCGTAAACGTAAAGTTCAAAATCAGCCTGAGGTATGTTTTTATTTATATAAGTGAAAGAATGAATTCGGTATAAATGATAATGTATTGATTTGTTCTATAATATTGTACTTTAATAGCAATTGACTCAGGGCGGTGCAGTAAATAAAACCAAGCTTTTAAAAACGGAGGATCCAGTTGTAGATGCTAATCTTCCAGTTTTGTATGTAGAACATTGCCGATCCTGAAACGTATTTCGCCGCCGCGCTCTTCAAGTTCACGCAGATCTGCTTGAACAATTGCGTGTACTAAAGCCAGATGTAGAACTTCAATTGCTTATGAACGTAGATCGTCCCCCTCGGCGTGGTTCCTTTGAGATATCTATTGCTACAAGCCCTACTGAGAAACGACAAGAAATATGGTCAGGCTTAAATAGGAAACCACGAGCACAAAAATTTCCACCTATTACTGAGTTAACTGAGGCAGCAGGTCGCGTTTTAGGTATAAATACTGTTAAGGACACGGCGGGTGAGAATAAAGCTCCTAAAGATCAAACTGAGCAAAAAGAGGCTACTAAATCGGGCAATAAGCGGAAACGTTCTACATAAAAAATATTTAAATTTTTGAAAACATTGGGTAGCATTTATGACTAGTGTTTGGTAAAATCTCTAAATGAGAAGCTAAACATTATGATTTTTTTTTTGCTCAAAATGATTGATGAAATTAAAATATGAGAAAAAAATATTCATACAGAAATCTATAATTTAAATGCTATTGCTATAAATTGGGAGAGGATTTATTTTTAGCAAATAAATATGTCTAACAGGCATTGTTATTTAAAAGAAGTACATACTGTAAGTTAAGTTGTCTACATCCTACTTCACGGTTATAATCAGGGAAGTAGAGAGATTCTGGCTTGGGGAGTATTAAGGATGAAACATTAATTGTTGGAGAAAAAACTTGTAACAGAGCACCGGGCCGCTCTGAGAACTCCTGGTCCGGGAGGAATTGTCCCTGATTTCTCCGCCTGTCGGTCGCTGGTTATAATTCGCTACTAATAAGCAACAATTAAATAAAATATTTCTTGAAATAATTACATTGAATCATATTTTTTTTAATTCTCGTCAAAAACTGAATTTTTGAAAATAAAATATATTTGTTCAAAAAGCTTGTTTACTCCATTTCTTATTATTTGTTTCTCACTTTAGATCGTTAGTGTCATTGCATTGTGCACATGAATTACCATCTACATTTTCACCTTCCGGAATGTCTTCGCCACTCTGTTTATATAAATCGAGCGTGTCTTGCAAATCATGTTGCGCGTCTATGAACTCTTGCTCTTCCATACCCTCTCCCGTATACCAATGCAAATGAGCTTTGCGCCTCAACATTATACTGCTGCCATCTAAAATACGTTGCAAGAGCTTATAGATAGCTGAAGTGTTACCAATGAAAGTTGCTGACATCTTAAGTCCTCTCGGCGGTATATCACATATGGCAGTCTTTATATTATTGGGTATCCATTCTACGAAACTACTCAAATTCTTGTTACGTACATTTGTCATTAATTGATCCACCTCGCGTGGAGACATGCGACCACGAAAAATACCAGCTGCAGTTAAAAGCTTTCCGTGACGCAAATCAACAGCACATAATAAGTTGTTGGATGAGAAGATTTGTTGTACCAACTCGGCCACCGTGCCCTGGGAAAACTCTTTTTGTTTGCAGCTAATAAGTGGTGCAAAACCAGGTATTAGGAAATGTAATTGGGGAAACGGTACCATGTTGACGTAGAGCTTACGAAGTCCAGCGTTAAGTTGACCTGGAAACCGCAAGCAGGTGGTTATGCCTGACATGGTAAGTGCCACAATATGATTTATGTGTTCATAACCGCTGACGGCCATTTTCAAATTCCGTGAGACAATTTGGAAAAGCGCCTCATTGTCGAGGCAGAATGTTAAATGGGAATTATGAATAAGCGACGGCATACTCAGCAAGGCATTATAAGGTTCAACCACTACTTGTGACATTTGAGGTGAAGGTATCGAGACATAATTCGATATAAGATTATCGGGATATTCATCCACAAGCGCATTCATGACGAGAGCTGTTAAACCGGAACCCGTGCCGCCCCCTATTGAGTGTAGGATTTGAAATCCTTGCAATGAGTCCACAGATTCTGCTTCACGTCGTATTGAGTTTAACACGGCGTCCAGAATTTCTGCGCCATCCGTGTGATAACCTCGAGCAAAGTTGTTTCCGGCACTATCAGTGCCAGCTACGAAATTTTCGGGTCTGTACAACGAAGAGCGCTTGTGTAGGTTTTCAATTGTAGTCGCCTCAGTATCCACACAAATAGCTCGTGCATAGAATCGTTTACTCGCGGTGGCATTAAAAAAGACATTGATGCGTTCCAATTGTAAAGCGCTAGTGCCCTGAAAGCGTCCAGATGCATAGTCTACACCATGTTCATGAGAGATCACATGCCAGAACTGGTGATAAAGACTTTTTTATAACGTCTGCGTACATAAGTACATAAATTTATTAGCTTACAGCATCACCTATAGAATTTCCGCTGGCACCAATTTGGATAGTAATAATTTCGCGCATTTTCAAACTCTTTATGGAACTTCGAATTTATTTACAGGTAATTTTGTGAATATGTATGATTTTTTGCGATGATTTTTTCTAAATTTGTTTTTCGTACATTTTATATTTTACTAAAATTATATTATATTTCTATATCTATTTCTGACATTTGCTAAGAAATCGTTTTTTTTTTTGCTTGGAATGTCTAAAAAATTCAATATTCGTGAGTATTTGTTTGATACTTTTGTTACGCTTCACCTTACTAAAGTTTTTTTTTTAAGTTCATATACTTACATAACATTCATGAATATCTCCAAGTATATAAATTGAAAACAGGTGGCTCTCTTTTGGACAAAATGATTATTGGCGAAATGCATATTTTCAAAGGCTTACAAATTATATGGAAATATTCAATTACTAATGTAAAACAATATACATTTATGGTATATTGTTATTATACACACAATGGCAGCAAATCTAAATCAGCCGTATCCGTAACGCCCTCACGAACTCGTTCAACTTTTTCATCGCCATCATCAACTCCATTCTTGCCTTTTTCATTGTGTGTACTATAATTTAAATACATTATTATACTCGTACTTCATCCGACAGAGCTAGCTACTCATCCTTTTTCCCAGCTGACAAGAAATTAAACAAACGATTGACTTCATTGGCAACCAAGTTATCCAACACAACACCGTTGGCATCAATAAAATTGGCACATGATTTAGTGCTGCTTACTTCGCGGACACCCTTAGTATCTGTTACTGTAAAAGTGAGTGTGTATTTGTCATCGTATTTCTTCATATCGGAGCTAGCTTCCCAGGTTCGTGGTCCATTGTTGCCGTTCTTTTGGACTGCAACCGCAAAAGTACCTTTTTCCCGGAATGTTGTATGAAGTGTGAGAATTCCCATTAGCGCGAAATATGCAATTACGCTAAAGAGTAAGACTGGGCGAGACTCTGGGAATGGGTGTGTGTAGTCCCAACCATGCGCCAGCACTGCAACACCTACGGCCAGTGCGCACAACACCAGCCGGGTGTTGATCAAACCAAATTGTTCCTTTAATTGTGGACGATCGCATAAAAGACAATTCTTTACTGCATCATCTAGTGCATGTTTCACTGCAGATCCATCCCATTTGTTAATTTTTACAACCTGTAATGTAAAATCAAAATTATAAATTTAATGATTGATTGTGTGCCGTTGTATGTTGCTTGTCTGGGAGTTGACGTGTACAAAAATAGCACCTAGCGGCTTTCAAGTTACAAACGTCACTACCACGGAAAATCTTTTTTCTTGAGAAAAACTGTAACTCTCACCTCAATTTCAAGTTGTGGCTTCTCTTCTTTTTTATTAGTCATTACAAAATTAGTTCTTAAAACAGTAAAGTTAATAATGTGAAAAATATTTAACAACGCGATCACAATTTAATATCGGTACACGACAACAAATAATTTGCCGCTTGACAGATTGCGTATGGGGTGTTCAGTGAGTTAGCTGCTGTCACTTCTTTACAGGACATCTCGACAGGCAATGTACATTGCTAACCATCTATCAAATACATTGCCATTGAGATTGGAAATGTTCTTATCACCTTTTTTCTACAAATGTATATAATGGAAAAATAAAATTTTATATTTTAAGATTTAAATAATTGTTCCATAAAGTTTGTTTACCAATTCAATAATTAAATATGAGCAATGGTATTTACATATGCCAACAATTATCATTAATATATTAAACATGCATATACATACATATGTATGTATTTAATTACTATTTTCAATATTACTTTGCTAAATTTCAGTGTACGCAACATAACATAATACATTGGCATTACATCTTTGCTGGCACTATATGACCGAAGCTATGATATTGCTAATCATTAGCAATGTTGGATCTCCTTTGACAACATTTCTAGCGATTAAGATTTTTAGCAATCTTTAATTACTTGTCGAGATGCTCTGTTTCTACAAATAATGCAAATATCATCAGGGTTGCATTTCTTTGGAACAGCATAAAACTAAGCAATTATAACTAAAAAATTAGTTAAGAATTAAATTTAATATAATAATTAAAGTTGCTCAAAGTATAAAACTTAATAAAAAAATAATAATATATAATGAAGAAAAATTATAGATGAAATTAAATAAAGATAAAGTGGATTTTATATTTTTCGGTTCATAATTTTTAGTTTTAAATTTTTTATTTACTATACAAAATAATGCAATATGAGTTAGCCTTAATTATTGGAATAAATTAGTAAACTTCTATCACTTTTCTTATAATGCCTTCATTTGAGCAAATAAATCATCTAAATCCACATTAGCAGCAGCGGCAACTGTAGGTACACTTTCTGTGGTAGTTTCTGGTGCCTCATATGCTAAACGTAGACCTGTTGCAACTTCTTTGCTTGCACTTGTTGCTTCTGCCACAGCTGGAGAATCATCGACTAGTTCAATGCCCCATTCATTTGTTTCATGCAATGGCGTATCATCCTCTAAAACACTTTCTTCTGCTACTACTTTTGGTCGTGCTTGGTATTCTTTTTGACGTTCTTGACAGTGTCGGTCATCACATTGAGTATTCGGTTTCAGACTCATACGTGGAAAGAAATCGTTCATTGCGTTATAACCCAAGTAATCGGACACTTCCCCGAAATTGAGCAAATATTTGAGTGTGTTTTGTACTAACATACCAGCGGTTATACCCATAGTAGTGGGTAAGGAAGCAGCACACACTCCTTCACGCTTCAAAGTTTTCTCGTCAATATTTTCTGCTACAACTAAGGGTGGGGCACAACCAAAACATGCCGTTTCACCAGGCCGTATAAATTGTATATGACCGGAAACAGCATTCTCAGATACCCCTGATTCGAACCAATTTAAACCGAGCTCATTACATGCAGTGTTGATGGCCATGCGTGCCTCAAAGTTGTCAACACAACTTAAAACTAAATCAACTGGTGCATCAGGTTGTATACCCCCGTGAGATATAGTATTCAAGAATTTATCGAATGATTCTACAGTAGTTATGTTATAGTTGTGAGTTTCGATCCGTACATCAGGATTAATAAAGCTTAAGGTGCGCGCAGCTGCTTCCACTTTGGACAAACCGGCCTGATCTGGTGTGAAAAATAGTCGATTCATATTTGCTAGTTCCACTTTGTCATAGTCAAAAAGTATCAATTTGCCGATGCCACACCTAGTTCATTATTAAAATACAAAAATTAGTATGTTTTTCATATTAAAATCTGTATCCGTGTGTATCCCCCAATTATCGCTAACCTTGTTAACATATCAGCTGTTACGCTACCAACACCACCAATTCCGACCACAGCCACGGTTTTTTCACGTATTCGCTCATACTCCTTAACAATTCCCATACGTTGTAGCGCCATAAGACGACTATAAGGATTAGAGTCCACTACTTCTGCAGACATTTTATCAATTCGCTCTCGTGCTGCGCGTGTCGCGCTTTTCTGCTGCTCCAATTCATTTTTCAGTTCGGCGATTTTCGCCTGTAGTTCATCGATGGCCGACATTAAAACTTGCTATTGAATTTAAATTTATTTTTGAGCTATTTTAATGGCACAGCACTATGATAAGAATTTGTTTGCGTGTCACTTTCACTCTTAGGGACTCAATTGACCAAACTTGACAAACTGCATTTACTACTGTCAAATGGAGCAGCTGTTGTTTTTTGTTTTGTTAGAAAAAGAGCTGCCAATTTTCAATAATAATTGTAAACAAAGCAGGTGAGAAAGTAATAAGAAAATAACGGAAACGGAATCTATCGGAAACCGAGTTTCGTGTACAGGAAGAAATATCGAATAAGATTACGAAGTTGTTGTGTTTGCGGACATGTTTTTGCTAACTGTACGAATATAATTCTAAAGATAAGTAAAAAAAATATATATATAGATATTAACGGCGAGATTTCACTGATAACTTGATAAATACGTATTTTTCGTATTGAAATCATAAATTTAGACTGGTATGCGGTAACAGTGTTTACATAAGAATAAAATGGAAAGGCATAAAATGGTAATGCGTGTGTGAAAAGTATACGGAAAAGGAAACGTGAAATGGAAACCATGAAGGCAGCAAAGTTGGTTGAATTTTGTTAAGCGAACGAAATTATTTCTCCAAAATTTTACAAAATTACTTTTATTTTATTTGTTAGCACATTTGTAAAGTGTGAAGTTTTATTTTAGCAAAAGCTAGCGCGCACATTTTACATACGTAATATTTGTGCAACCCGATAACGATGTGTTGTGAAACATTTTTGACGTAATGTATGTATTTCCACAACCTAATCTTTATACTATATATTTTATAGTCTGCAATTATTTGTTTTCATATTTACAAATGTATACATATTAATATAGTTACATGATTCAGTTTAGAATTTTTCTCCATAGTAAAGATAAACACACACAAGTAATGAGTTTGCTTGGCAAATATTTAAACAACCTTCTCTACTATTTGTGGTGATTCTAAATAGCTGATGATTTTTTAATAAAAATGTCTAAATCTCTGACTGTTGTAAGAAAACTAAGCCATTTCGCCACAGCGGGCTATATTTGTGGTAATTTATTTACTTTTAAATAAAAACAATGTTCAAGTTGATTTTGTAACAACAATTCAAAGCCAAAGTTTCAAATATTGTTTAGTTTATTGTTTATTTGTTAATAAAAATATATTTTTCACAAATAATAGTCTTAATAATAGAATAAATAAGCCCACATAATTTAATAATAGTTACACATTTGGACATGTACAAAATTTGTACACAGATGCACATGTAAACAAAAAACATTCTTATTTCATAACCATCTTCCTGGTATTTGGTAAAAATGCTGACATAATTGCAGCCGCTAAAATTGAAAAAAAAGTGTTTCAGATTTATAAGCAAAGAGTGAATATTTCCAAAAATTTCATTGCAACTTACACCACATCACGGTCGTGAGCATAATGAATGGTGGCACACAGCCAAGTGACATGAAAATTGGAAACAATATATTGCCCAATATAGATCCAACGCGTCCAATCATCATTGCCAAAGAAACCACCATTGTTCTGTAAAAGTGAAACAAAATTTAAGTGGGATTTATTATTATAGACATAAAATACTTGTAGTATTTTTTAAAGAAATAAATGAGTGCAACTAAATAGATATATTATAAAACTTACCTCAACGATGTTGGAAATAGATCGATCGATGAGCTAAGAATGGACATGGCTGATATGCTGCCCATTGTCACCGATATTGCAGCAACAATTGATGTACTCAAAGAGGATACTGAGAAATATAGACCGATTGCACAAAGTCCAGCTACTGTGGCACCAATCGCTATTGAAAAAAATTAATTATAAATAAATGTTCACTTTTTGTTGCTCTTTTTTCGGCACTTACTAAGCATTATTTTACTGCCAATTCGATTAACAATGAAACCAGCCAAAAAATAGCCTATGAAACTAGCTACTGCCACCGTTATATTGTTGGTATAGGAGGCGGCTGTAATAACCTATAAAATAATTTAATTTTCATTTAATATAAATAAAAAACGGCGGGCATATTTCAAATGAAACGAATGAAAATGATTGAAAAATATATTTATGTCAAAATAATTTTCTTTTTCATAACTTACAACTTCACATTTTGACGTTTCCAAATTTGCCCAATCACTTTTCAGCAATTGCGTCTTGTTGACACTGTACTCCAAAATGTTACACATTGTAGAACCAACAGTGCCATACATTTGCTCATATTCCTCAATAGAAGCAAACATTTGTGGAATCCATAAACGCAAGGTATTTTGGCTAAAAATAAATTAAATTATAATAATACCTATGAGCCATTAATAATTTTGTAAACGGTATGCTTACCCAAATAAAATAGCGAAATTCATGAGATAAACGCGAGCGGACAGGCCAAGATAAGGTTTGGAAAGTAGCGGACGTAATTGCTCCCAACCTTGACGCAAGCTCACTTTGGGCTTTTTCTCTTTTACGTGTTCTTCCTTCTCCTTTGTAATCGAACTTTCAATTGTAGCTATATTCACAGTCGAGGCATCGCTCTCCTTTGCTGCACTAGGTAGCTCATTCATGAGTTCCTTGATCTATTAAACAAATTAAATGCAATTGAAAATTGGCATTTTCCTTAATAATTAAAATTTATTGTTGTTATAAATCTAATAATAATATAGACAGAATGTTGCCTTACCGGAAAATCTTCACGCGGCTTCCGATGGTTAAGCATGTAGATTTGCTGAAAAGCACGCATAGCTTCCGCATTGCGACCTTGTGACATTAAAAACTTCGGGCTTTCGGGAAAGAAATTGAGCAAAATACCGCCAAGTAGAGAGGGCGTCATGGTGATCGCCAAAAATACTTGCCAGGAATGAACTGCGAACAAATATGAAATTGATACAAAATGTAGAAAAGCAAAAACAGAGAATAAGAGATTGCGTAAAATTTATAAATAATAAATCTTCGAAGAATGACTTAAATCAATAAAAATTATGTTAAAAGAAAAAGTTATCACAAAGTACCACTTACACTGCAGACCCATCAGTTCGAAATCCCAGTGTTTGGGTAAAACCGTTAGAGCGAGTATTGGCAGCAATATGTTGCCCACGGAAAACATTAGGCCCATAAGCATGACAATGCGCGAACGAAATTTCTTGCCATGTAATTCAGTCAAGTAACTCATAAGTATCGCGAAGGGACCACACATGCTGCGGAAGGTAAAAAATTTGACAATTTAAAGTACATACAAAGAAAATAAGCATATCATATTTAATTACATAAAACCGGCTATGTATTTGAAGACCATCAGCTGTATGACGTTTTGACTGCTAACTGCACCTAATCCCGGTATAAGATTACTTAGGTAACCGATAATGAGTAGGTTTTTGCGGCCTTTCGTGTCGGCCAAATAACCCCACATCACGGCCGAACTGATCATGCCTATTGAATATTAAAATATATTGTGTCATAGTGAGATCATTATAACGGTTGTAACTTGTGAATAAATAACTACTTATGACTAAATTGTTATGATAAAATATGTTTTAACGTTATTCTTAAATATGTTTTGCTTTAATGTAATTAATATCGAAAAATATTTTCAAGCTTTCAACAAATAAAACAGTTTCCAGTTTTAAACTGCTAGTATCGACTGTGATATTAAAATCTTAAGCTTTCTAAATTATTTAATCACAACATATGTAGTATATAGCACATTGTTTAAGAAAAAATATATACAAATATACTTAATTCAATATTCAGTAGTAAAAATAATTTGTTTTTTATATTTAAATAAAACCTTCAAAATTTGACATCTTACGAAATAAAGTGGCCAGATGATTACATTCACTCGCACATATTTTTTGTGTTACAAACTTCGTGGCAAACTTATTATGCCCTGTTCAGGGTACAATGCATTATATAATGCACAAAAGTTATTTACAATTTTAGCAATAGGAAAATCTTAGTAAGTAGAAGTTGCATTATATACTTATGTATTGTATATAAAATGAAGAAATACTGATTCATCTATCCCTAATAGTTCATACTGCTTAGAATTTACCCATTTATTCTTACCTGCATAGGTGATCGCATTTAGCAGTCCCTTATCTAGCAGCGTTAGCTTGAGATCACATTCAGCACTCGGCAATATGAATGACATAGTCGACGTCTCGGCCACCGTGGCTATTGCAGCGGGACACGCGCAGATCAATAGCAAAATGTTGAATGTGCCAAAACCCGCTACTTCCATAGCCGTCTCAAAATCCGCTGGCACATCTTTCTTTTGCTCGTGCTCTGTTTGCTTCGCAGAGCTTTGCAGGACGTTTGAGAGCGTTCGATTTGGCATGGCGTTATTGACGGCTGTAGAAAAATTTCCATTACGAAACCAAATTTAACAAGTGCGCACAAAAAAGACCAGGCGCTATCATTGAATGTTATTTACCAGGCGCTTTCTCTGTTGTCGTTTCTGCGGTCATTTCTTTTAATATCTTGCTTTTATTCTAAATTCACACGCGTATTAATATTTTTTCGATAACATTAATTTCTTCTTTGTTTTGTTTTTTGTTTGGTTTTTTTCTTAAATAATTTTTTTTTTTTGTTGTCACGGTGAGCAATTGTATATTTTTGTAGTTGCTCACTTTTGGCTAGCCACGCTTCGAATTGCCGTGCTTGTCATTTGCCAATGGAATTGGCTTGTCTGAGGTGATCTTACAACCAGTAGCATCTTTTGTACTCCTTACATTGCCGTTGTTGTTGTTATTTTCGTTCTGTTTATTAGCTAAATTATATTTACTTTGTAGAGAAATGTTATCAAGATTAGCAACAGCGTTTATCTGAGTGACAGATACCCATATGTATGTTGGTATTATGTAAATATGTATTTGAAGTTATGTGGGAAAACCACCAACTTGTGTTACTTATTCAAGACAATTAACGTGATAAGCTTCCTGCCACGATTTGTTGTGTGGTGTTTTCAGGATAAACAGTACTACCGTAAATATTATATTTACAAAAGATTGAAAAAGAAATACTGGAACATAAATAAACGAAAGGCTTAGAACATTCGTTTACACAGTAAACTTTCAAATGACCTTTAACCCACTAGAGAGAAAGTATTAGGCTCTACAACACCCAACTTTGTTTAGTTTTACCGATAAAAATATCATCATTATTGCCATCAGCTTTTACCGATGTCGTGGTATTGAATTTTTTATTATTTTTATTTTTTTGAAAAAGTAAAGTTTAGGTAAGATAGTATAGCAATTGTTGTATATTCGACATTTTTACCTCTTGATCAAATCTGAACCGGACTGACAGAAAATAACAACAATTTCGACGTATTTGATAAAAATTTTTATTGTTGAAAGTTTTTTTCGATAATATTTTCGTGATGCGCTTAAATTTAATAACCACTGATGACAAATATGGCAATTAGACAACGAAAAAACAGTTATAGACTTAAGAAATTTGTCATCAGCTCTTTTGCATTTCTCTTTTAATATTTCTGCGCCACAGGCCAGATGCATTGCATCAGATTTCTAATGCAAATATAATGAAAGCATTTTCGCAATCTAGCATAAACACAAATACAGTTATAGTAAATATGTAGTTTGACGTAAAAAATTCTAAACAGTTTTCATTATCAAATAAATATGCATTAATGTCCGTTTTTTCAAAATGTCTACATATGTCTACAGATGTGTGTGTGCGTTTTGCATACGAAAAGGTTGGGCACCCTGAACCAGAAAATTTTACTTGCTCGCATTTTGATTTCTTGGTATTAGCGAAACATTAAGTTGATAGCGAGTTTGAAATAATCTTAAATCATTTAGAAAATCTTAAAATACGCCCTGAACTATTAAGGTATTAGGCCCATCTAAGATTTTCAAAAAATCGAAAAAACTCTAAAAAAGTTTTTAGTTAAGTTTTTCAAGCTGTTCAAGTGAGATTCATGTTTGAATCGACCATTCAAGTTAACCTAACCCAGCTTAAGATCCCGGTTTACATTTTGGTTGAGACAGCACCAGACATGGTTACAATCAGCTTCGGCCGTAGAGGTCCTCTTGAAAACAGTGATTCCGAAGGTTGGTCCAGTAGCCAACATTTTCTATCAAAATCAGGTTTAATACAATCTGGAAGAATTAAAGTAAAGCAATTTTTAGGGCTCTAAATTGAGCTATCACCTTATTTAATACAAGAAAAAATAATAAGTACATACATTAAAAGCAACCTAGGCTTTTTAGTTTATGAAAGATGCCGTTATAAGGCATATATGTTTCTTCTGAAAATGGAAAACGAAAATAGAAACACAAGAAATTGCATTTGAGCAACCCTTTATATAAAAGCTTTAACATTTCATCAGTAGCTATCTTAATCCATTCTATCTTTGCGCAGCTGTGACGTTTTCTCACGTCAGTGCCGTGAATTATTGTCATAAATAAATATAGCGTAAACTACTTATAAACTTTTCCATAGCAGCAGCTCCTCTGCCTACATTTTTATGATAATTTAAATATTTTTCTACATTTTTTTGGCAAAACTTTGTTTTAAGTCAATATTAAATGGTTACTAAGCAGGCACGAGTATAGCAGAACCGCTTTTAACTCGTCTCGAGGGAAGTGAGTTTTTTTTTATTTTTATTTCAAACTTATTCAAATGCTAAGGTCTATACAGTGACATTTTATAAGTAAGTGGTGACGACATCATTCTGAACATTGTTTTCAAGTTAAATATAAAGTATCGCTTGAAAGAGGGATGAGAGTTTTTGCAGTTATTAAAGAGATAACAATAAGTCCGCTGGCATCAAAGGAAATATGCCATTTTATATCGCTAACTCATTGCATTCAATTATGAAATATTCAGGAAATTATCTATTTATAGTACAAACGAATAGAAAAAATAATAATAATATAAATATAAATAAATAACAAGTAAGAAAGGCCGAGGTTCGAGTGTCACCGAACATTTCATACTCTTGCAACTTGCAAGAATCAGAGGCGGGGAATAACCTTCAGGTGTTGGCAAAACTTTATATTAAGAAATGCAGCAAAAAGGTTCAACTTCATTGTTCGATGAAATAGTGAATGGATTACAATCAAATTTGGTGTCATATTAACTTATTTTGAAGGCCATAGACTCACTTAGTATTATATCTATATTTTACTTCCCGTCAACGAAAATTATACCAAAATCATTGGGGGCATAGAAATGGCAGGTCGATATATGTGGTATAAAGTCAACTGGAAGTTCGAAAATCTTTATATTAGGTATATGGGGGCTAAGGGCAGTATTAATCCGATTCAACCCATTTTTGACACAAGGCTATATTATTATAAAAAAACCATTTTCTCCGAATTTTACATTTCCAGTATTTTATGGGCGTGGCAGTGGTTCGATTGCGCCCATCTACGAACTCCTCCTCACTTTTTTGGAACACATGTACCAAGTTTCATTAAGATATCTCAAGTTTTACGCAGGTTACCGCTTGCACCGACGGACAGACGGACGGACGGACAGACAGACAGTCACTCAGAATTCAACTCGTCTCGCCATCCTGATCATTTATATATATAACTCCATAGATATGGATTATCTCGATTAGTTTTAGGTGATACAAACAACCATTAAATTTGAACTTAAATCTCTAATGCCAACCAAAGAAATTTGTGTTCCATTATCAACTATTCGAAATCTTTATTTAGCAATAGTGTGGCTAAAGAACAACAAAACACCTGAAGCCAATGTGATATCGGCAGAGTTAGGAGTATGACAAGAAAGCCTATCAGAGGGTTGCCTATCTCAAATGATCCAAAATGTACGCCAACTTTCGTGGAGTGCTAAAAGTGGAGAAAAGAGAAAGTTGTCTTGAGCGCATAATGCTGATCTGATCTGATTGGAGCCTCAAGGTGGATTTTGGGTACTTAAACTTTGTCAAACTTAAAAATACCGAACTCACCGCACTTTCCGCAATGGCAAATAAAAACACAAAATTTTGTGATTTTAAAATTTAAATAATTTATTGTTTTATTTTTCTTTTATAATATGGAACAATACAATACACAATTTAAAGAGTACATTTTTGTTATTTTTTTTGGTGTGGAAATTGCACCGTGATTTTTTTTATATGTATGTATATATTTGGTTTTTCGCTTTTCACTTTTAAATGTGTGTACTTATTATTTAATAAAATTGTTTGTAGATAATGCTCGAATACATAAACATCCAAACTATGTGTGTATATATATAATATGTATATACTATATATGTATGTTTTTATATATATATATGTATATTGAATGTATATATACTTTATATGAATTTATATATAACTAATATAAGTATGTATATAAGTATGATTTCCGTTAATCTCACTTCTCAATTTTCTATTGTGTTTTTTTATTTGTTTTTTAATTTTTGCCCTTTAAAATGTTGTTTTTCGCTTATTTTAAGTCAAAGTTGTGTGTTTTTTTTTTAATTTTTAATATTTAAGTTGATGGGTTTAGCAGAAAGTATATCAACTGTGTGTCAGCATACGTTTATGTAATGCCTTCTTCTTCTTTAGTTTCGTGTTCCGTAATGAATGGTTTGCAACTTGACTTTTTATTGGCTAGTAGTTAATAATGTATTTGTTTTTAACACACATTTTTTTTTAGTTCTTGTTTTTTTATTTATAGATTTTTTTGTTTTGTTTTGGAGTATAGAAATATGTATTGTATGTATTCCAGCATAAATATATTTACATACAACACAATGCAAGCATTAGTAATATATGTATGTATGTATGTAATACTAGTATATTCCCAGTGTAGATGAGTATATTTAGTTACAAAGGACTAATTGTAGTTTCTGTTCGCTCTTCGGCTCACTTTCATTCCTTAGCGTGTTGAGATTTTCCTTAGATATTTTATTATATTTTTTTTTGTTTTTTTTTTTGGTTTTTATGCTTTATAAAGTGGTGTAAAAGATTGGGGTTAACTTGAGTTTTGCTTATGTGTGAGTGAATGTGTAGCATCTAAGCGGTAGTACGCGTATATGTAAGGGCTAGTAAGACTTAAGCATGTAAATTTTATCGAATTTGGGAACATAGCCTTCTATAACCTGATTAACGCATCACAAGCATTGAAACACAATGCCTTTTTAATACAAAAAATAAATTGTCTTAATTTAATTATTAATAAAATAAGAGTTTAACATTAAATATTTGTATACTTGTGTTTTAGGAAGTTCAGTACCATACTAAAACTCTTTTGGAAGTATGTGTGTATGTACATATGTATGTATATAGAGTTGAGCTGAAATAATCTGCCTTATGTTCAGATACAAAAAGTCGAATGTGGAATTTAAGTATTTGGTATGTATTTTAATTGCTGAAAAGTAGAATTGCTGTAAGGCTTCTCGTTTTTATGTATGTATTTTTGTGCATAACCTCAAATTTAATTGCGTAAATTTTGCATAAAGAGCTTTGTAGTTGTAGTAGCTATTGTTTTCATTAAAACTAAAAATTATTGTTTTTTTTCAGAACATTTGCTTTGCTTTTTCTTTGATTTTTTCTTGTAAACAAACACATCTTTTCTTCTAAAAATAACACTTTTTGGGTATATTCGGGCTTAGCCTCACTATTTCGCCGATATATTTTTGGTGAAAATTTTAAGTTTCGTAGTTTAGTTTCTAAAAGTTGTTGTAGAAAGTACAAAAAAAAAGTTATATTTTTTGCTAATAAATAATTGCTTGTTCTACAAATTCATCTTGTTGTTTTTACTTATTGATTTCTGTTGCTATTGTTTCACCTACAGTTAATATTTCTTGTGCCGAATTTAACACATTCCTTCCATTACACTGGTGTGTGTATATTTGTGGGTGTAAAATTGTTAAATTTAGCTTTTTCAATAAATTCGTTAGGGCAATGGACTAAGACACAGCAATAATTTTCAATGAATAATTCGTAAAGATATTTTTTTTTTGATTTTTTTTTTTTTTAATTTTTATATATATATATATTGTTTTTTTTTGAATACGATTTTTTGGCATTGTATGCATTTTTTAATTTTTTTAAATAGAAATAATCAGCAAAAACGCAGTAAAACTCACTTTGTTTAATTTTTGGCGTTGAAATATGCATTACATTTGTTTCAGATAAGTTTCTTATAGTTTTGACACTTGAAAATGAAACAAACGCGTTTTCATAAATCATTTACAACTATTTCTTTATAAGTTTGGTTTAAATTTTTTTGGTTTGCTTTGTTTTGCTTTTAATTGCGGGTGTAAACATTAACACATGTTTGCTCAATAAAACTCATTTTTTTGTCTACTTTTTATGTTCTTTTTATAATTTTTTTTGCTTTTTTTAATTATTTGTTTTATTTAAAAATTAATTACAATAACCCCAGCTACTTAAATAAATGTATATTTTATATTTTGTTTTTGTTGCTGCCTCTATAATTGCATAAAATTGTTTAAATAGTTGTGGGTATACATACATTTGTCTTGTATATTCAATAAATATATGTTTGTTTATATGTATGCATGTTTGTATGTAATGCTTGTATATATATGTAGGTATGTATATGTTTTCTGATTATTAATTGTTGTTAATTAAGTGGTTGTTCCGCATAACTTTGCCTCTACTTTACTTAGTTATGCTTTCAAACATAAACTTCTTTTAATATTCATGCCGAAGTATATGCTGTCTTGTATGTGTCATTTACATGGTATTTATGTATATTTATATAAATTATTTATAAATCTTAAAAGGCTTCGCTTACACAATTAATCTCAATTTTTTTTGGTTTTTGTTGTTTTTATGCATTTATGTAGGTGCATATTTTTATTGCTGTTTTAATCCAAAGAAACATTGAAGCCATTATCATTCTGTTATAATAAAAAAATATTTATGTATACATATATGGTATATATATATATATATTTTTTTTTTTTGTGTAAATTAGAAACAGTGCTATACTCTTCTTAAGTACAGAAAATACAATAAATATTATCAACATTACATTTTGTTTAGTCATTTCGTTTATTTTTATTTGGATTGAATGCTTTTGCTCATAACAATTGTTTTACTTATATATTACAATATTGGTTTTCTTTTGTTTGTTGTTTTTTTTTACTACATGTTGGCGATAAATTTGTCAGAAAAGCTTTCGATATCTAAATGTGTACGTGTATGCATTTATATATGAATTCATGTATACAATATTCAATAATTATATGTAGTTTATAAAGTTAAGCTTTCTACGCACATTCATCACTAGTTTCTTTACACTTTAATATTCCTCATCACCGAAATCATCCCTGACCAATGTCATTCCTTGGGATTGTTGATAAACCTCTTTCGAGTTTACAAATTTGTTTTTATTATCTATTTTTTTTTTACAAACTATTATTAAATTTGTTTGATATGTTGGCATTAAAAAAGGGCATTTGAGTTTTTTGAAAAAAGTTTGTCGACAAAAATTTTTAATTCGTTAAAAAAAAAATGCAGTGATTTCAACGCAGGTCATTTAAGTTTAAGTTAGTAAAATGTTAATTCCTCAGTTAATGCACCGAAATTGCGCTTTCAAATGTCGTATAGAAAAACCTATAGCTTAATATTGCATGTGAATAGCACAATTTCAGAGCTGTATTACATATAACTACATAAATATCTTGGACGTTTGTCTAATGTTAATAAATCACTTTCGAGATTGTAAACAAATATTATATTGAACGCTTTCATACACACCTACATATGTACATATACGCGCTGAGCTTTCACATTTTAAACGTTTTAGTGCATTTACGCTATATGTACATATTTCACATAATTTATATGTAATTTTCCGTCTTAACGCTTTAATTACAATTTCGAAAGTGATCAAATTATTCTGAAATATTTTTTATATAATTATTTTATTTTTGTTTATGGGAGACATTATTCCTTTTACTCCATAAAAACATTTTATGTTTAACGCTCGCCTTTAACTTTCTTCTTTTCCTGCCCCTCATTCATTCATTTCATTTTGTGTTCGCTAAAAAGGTAAAGTTTCTTTAGTAAAAATTAGGCTTCGTTTTCCTTTCAACACACAGATTGTTGGCTGCTTTAAGTGATTTGAGCTTTTAATTCTAATTTACAGTTTGCAGGCGGTATTTAAAATCATTTAGCTTTACCTACTTTTTTGAGTTTACTTCCTGGGGGTTCAATTCTATTCATTCTTTCTGCTGTTTTCGTCTGCTTTTCTCGTTATAGTGGTTTGAAAATTTAATTGAATCGCAAATTATAAATCTTCTTGCATTGTTTGCTTGTATAGTTACAGTTTTTTTGTTTGCATTTTTGTTTCATTAAAAAGTGGCCAAAGCTTATTGTCAGAAGCGAATATACGAATGTATACTACTATTTTTATTTTCATTTTGTTTTCTTCTTTTTTTTGCAATTAAATATGTGTATCTTAATATCATCAATTTCCATTAAAACTATTAAAAAATTACGTAACATGAGTGAACTCTAAAAATATTTTGTTTTCTACATACGTACTTTTTCGTTTTATTTTGTCACTTTGTTGTTTTTGGTTGCTTTGGAAAATTTTTTTAAATATTTCTTTTTCATCATACTATTTGGTAAACTATTTACTATTTTATTGCTAAATTCCTTAAAAATTAGAAGTATTTTTTTTTATAAAAATTTACAAAATCATTTTTAGTCTAAAAATTCTGTTGCCGAAGAAAAAATAATCTTTTCATAAGAGTTCATTTGAATATGTATTTATTTTTCATTTGTGTGTGTACAACTAAAAAGAAAACTTCAGCACTTAATCCAGAAATTTTAGGTGAAACGAAAAATATTTGACGCCAAACTAAATTATTTTCAAATATTAATTATCAATTAAATTGTTGATAATATATAGTTTATGTCACAAAACTGAAGAAGAAGCACACATATTGTGCAAACTGTTAAAAAATACATAGTGGCGAAATAATCGTTAAAAATATCGAATAGCGGAAAACTTAATCGAATGCTAACGAAAATGTTATTTTCGCTTCCATGCAAGCGTATGAAGTTTGTGTGCTCAACTTTATTATGATTTGTGGTTGAAATATATTCGGCACGTATTTTTCTTAAAATACAAAAGCGAGTAAATAAAATGTGATACTACAAGTATGATAAAATGAATAGAAAGTCCTCCGAGGAATAACAAGAAGTGGGAGGAATAACTATTTCTGTTTTCTTTTATTTCATAGCCTTGCCACTTCCAGTTTAATCATTTTGCAAAGAAATAATTAAGAAATATTTTAGAACAAGTTAATTAAACTAACGTAAATTTTTTGGAAAAATACATACATATACAAGTACAATTGATTGCTTCTATATATTTTGCGTTTTGTAAATTTCTACCAATAATTATTAATATATTTTAGATTTTCAAAATACAAAACACGTCAACGTTTATAATTAGTACAATGTAGAATCATATTTCGATCTAATAATAAAAGTTTACAATATTTGTAAGTATATAAATAAATTAGGTATTTTGAATGCAGTGTTATATTAGTTAATATTATTTTATGAAATATACGATTAACATACTTTTAAAGTATCGAAACTATCTAAAGTGGTGAGGCATAAAAGTGGGCATTTGGGCATGGAGCACCAGTGCCACTGGGACGTGGTGTATACGAGTATGTAAATAGGTATGTATTGTATTAGTCTCGTTATGATAAATTTAAAAAAGTTCAATATTCTTCAGCTACCGAAATCGATATCTATAATACGAGTACAACTTTTATTGTTATCTAGTGTAAAAATACTTCGCAAAAAACTATTATTATTTGTTCGTATTGTAAGTACATATGTACATCTTTAAGTATGTACACATATACATACGTAATATGCACTACCACAAAACACATCTCTTCAAATGAAATAAAGAAAGAAATAAAAAATATATAATATATAATAATTTTGATTCTTAATACCTGATTGCATTAACTGTTAATTGTTGGTGTGTATATGTTTAAATTTATATATTATCATTATTAAGTAGTATATAGTAGTAATGTATATAGTAATTAGTAGTTAAATAGTTACTGGCTTGCATTTGTATTGTAGTAGTTTGCAAATTACATTTTATTTTCATTTTCAAGGTATTTATTTAAACTTGACGTTAATTGAATTTTTTTTTCGCTTTTTTATTTTTACAATATTTTGTAAATTATTTCAAATAGTTGTTTTTAATTGTGTTTTCTGACAAATTTGTATTTTTTTGCTTACTTAATTTAAACATTTTTGTAGTTACAGTTAACACTTTCAAACTCCTGTAAAGGTAGGTACATACATACTTAAATATGTATTATAATATGTGTTTATTTTATTTTTTGCTTACAATTTTTCAAACTTTTATTTCGTTTTTAGGTTTTAGTGAAAAATTTTAAGTTCTTTTCTTTTCTTTTCATTTTATTATATTTAATTTGTAATTATGCTGATAAACACTTTCAAAAACATTGTGCTTTTTCCATTTTTATTTGTTTTGTAAACTCTAATATGTAAATATACAACTTCTACCCATAAAATTCTAAATACAATATACAATATATGTTTTTGTTTCTATAATATGATTCGCAAGTGAGCAAAAATATACCTAGTTTGTATATATTTATGTATATGTATGTATTATATACATTAATTTTGCAGTACTTATATGCACGATATAATTTTATTATTATTTTTTGTCTATGAGTAAAATTGTTTTCATGCAAGTTTTGTTAGTCCGTTTGGACACATAAATTGCCCTCCATGTTTGTTTTTGCATCTTTGTTTTCCCACTATGTACGTATGTGTGTCAGTTGGTTTGGTGAAATGCTATTTTACGTAAACTTTGTAAATTTCAATTGTGTTGGCGTACTTTATATGAGCGAAAGTCCCAGGAAAAAGTTTAATTCATTAGAAAATAAAATTAATTATTACGTGTAATTTTGAAAGATTGTTATTATTCTTATGTTATCTGAATTTAACTACTAGTAGTGTCTGGAGTGCAAATAGTTTTCTACTTTTGTCTCAACAGTCAGCGTTAAGAGCAGATGAAAATGTTTGTTGAGCCTTTGAAATTGGGATTCTTCAAGAAAAAATATAACTTGTATAACACAAGCTAAACAAAGACTTGCATTGTAGAAATTTTACTCTTTAATTTTGCAATTAACTTTTTCCTTAAAAAGTGTCACTTGTCACAACCATAGTTAAAACGTAAACATTTCAATAATTTTCCAAAAATATCCCATATTTTAGTACCGAACATAAATTCAGGAATTTTCTCAAAATTTCTTTTAAATTTTTTCTTTTTTAACTTCGACGTTTAAAAAATAAGTCAACATAAATGTACAGGATGAACCAAAAGCACAAAAAAGTAACACTAATCGACAATTTGCTGGGCCAATCGATCGAACTTATGATTTGTTTGAATATCGTTGGCTTTGTATGCATTTATTTAATAATCATGTGTTTTTTGAAAACAGTAAGAGTTTCAATTATATCGGCATTTATGTATGTATGTATACAGTTTTCTTAAATATTAATTTTTTTGTTTTATTTTTTTTCTTTGCATGTACAAATATCAGAAATTAGAAAGTATAGTATATATTAGATTTGTTGTAAATATGCACCATTTTGTAATAATTTTTCAGCTATTTAAGTATATGCTCATAAACAGTTGTGCTTCTACTCACCTAGAAAGTTTTCAATAAATACAGTTACAAGTAAAATTTGCAAAAATATCTATTGTTATAAGTAATACAGTAAATGGCTGCATGTATGTGTGTACAAAAAGTACATACATATGTACATAGGTAAGAATCCGTATGCTAAATAAGTATGTTTGCTGATACAAAAAATTTAGGATTGTGGCAATTCTTTCTTTATTCATCTTTGCAATGGCAATTCCTTCAATAATTTTGTATTTGTAAACAGGTTTATTGCTTTTTATTACAAATTTGTTACTTTGGGTTAAAAAAAAAACTAATAAATAAAAATTGTATAATAATAAAATAAATTTTAATCTACTCACAGTTTAAAAAGTGAATAAATAAAATTATTCAACAAATTTAAACCTTTTTAGTTATTTTCTTGCTTGTAAGTCATCAATGACATTTATTCTGTAGTTTTCTAGACATTTGGGAAGACATTAACTTGTAAAACTGTGTTAATATTTAAGAGCATTTAATATTTTGTTTGTTTTTTTTTTTGTTGTAAACTGGACTTATTCTGTTTCATGTACGTGTCACTACAGCTAAGTTTTCAAATGTGTTTAAAAAGTAGTAGTTTTTCTTGCGGCTTTTAAACATTCCATGAATCCTTAAATATTGATTAAAGCATTTTAATATTTATTGAGTAAGTATTTATTTATTAAAGTTGAATGCTTTGTTGTTATTTGATTTAGCTGCAGTTAGTAATGCGTCCAATCAAAGAACAACGTGAAAAATCTGCAAGTGCAAAGCGTTGATATACATTTTTGTTAAATTGTAAGAACGTAGTTGTGATTTTAAGGTTTTTTTTTTGTTTTCTTATTAAATTTGTTGCACATTTGAGTACGTTTTTGCTTGCGTTGCTTTCTATAATTGATTGATTTTTTGTTGACAAATTCAAAGTTCGTTTCATAAATCTTTTGATTACAGTTATCGTTAATGATTTTGTTGTCTTTGTTTTTAAGTATACAATTATTACTATAATATCTTATTTGTTGTCAAATTTTATTTTTTTCTTATTTTATTACAAATACTATATCTATGTATACATATATGTTTCGAGAACATGAATCTCAAAATTTTTTTTTATAATTTTTCGGAACAGTTTACGAATATATTTCGATATTTTTTAACTTGCATTGTCTATTTTTACTCCTATTTAATGCTTTTGCTTGCGAAAAAATTGTTGGTTTGTGTGTGTTTAATATTAATTTTTTGTTTTTAAAATTTCATTGCTAGTAAATATAAACTTTAATATTACAGTAAAAATATCAAATGGATGGAGTGATGTCTAAACATTATAAATATTCATCTATATTATTTCTATTTTTGTTATCTTTTTTATTCTCTTAAACTCCCCTTAAACCACTGCTGTAGTAAACAATTATTTTGTTACTTTTTCACTTTCCAACGGATTAGGAATTTGTTTGACTGTTGCTTCATTCTTAGCAGTTATTCTGTGATAAATTATCAAAATAAGTAAATGTTGAAAATTTTTGTAGATTATATTGAGTATTTTCACATTTGTTTTTCTTTTAAAACCTGCAAAATTGCTGCGTAGAAAGAGTAGCTGTACCTTTAAACTACTGTTAGTATGAAACCACTAAACTTTTAATATGATAAAAAGTATTTATACATTGCTCACCTGTATGCAGAATATCGATACATAACCAGTACACAAGCAAATGACGTGGCATCCCCATTTAGTTTTGACAAACGGCTATAACTAAAACGTACGGTACAGGCCGTCAAACGGAAATAGTTACAATTTGGAAGAATGCAAATTAAGACAATAACTGACTGCAAATTGAAGCAGTTACAGTGTAGAAAACGCATTTAAAGGTTTCTGTATAAAAATAGTGCGATGGGAGCGTGTAAAGTTGCGTGTTTATTTAAAAGTGTTTGTAGCCGGAGCGACACTTGCCTGCAACTGAAAAACTATAATTTAAATATGAAGTTATTTTTTGCGGTCTAAAAAGTAAGAATTTATTTTCTATGTTAAATTTACTCCTGCAAATGCATAGAAACATATGTATGTAGGCTTATTGCTAAAAATCAAATATCGGGCATACACATCATTAGGTAGTTCAAAAGTGGTGGCATCTGAAACAGTGGTAGTAGCAAATCAGACATTTAAAGTGTTAATTGGTTGAAAAAGCTGTTTATATATTGTCATTAGTTTACGAAATGCCATTAAAAATTCAATTTATGTTTCCAAATCAAAATAACGGCGTTCCTGTGAATTTTAATTTTATTCGTTACTGTTTTATAAGAAGTTTTATTTATTGTTTTTATTCCGTATTTTCATTTTCCAAAAATAAAATCATAAGAACTGTATAATTTTTGTTATTCAATATTTTATTATCTATCACAGGCAGGATCTTAATAATATGTTTAATAATGTCATGGAAAGTGTTTTCAATTTATAAGCAAGGGTTTGTTGATTAATGCAATTCTTTCGGTGTGACAATTCAAAAATAATATATGATATATATATGTGAAAAATTTTAAATATGGTATTTTCAAATTTTATTTTGTTCGCAAAAATAATTTTTGTAAGAAGTTATTAAAGTTTGGTAAGAAGAACGGTAGTTCCGAAAATTTTATTTTGTCTAATTGTACAATATATGCGCACGAAAGTGTGCATGTATTGAATTTATAACAAAAATATACATTGAGCAGATTTGTTGCTTCCTATTGAAGCACATAATTTATTTAAGACTATGGTGAATACGATTTTAATTTCAATATTTTTTATATAGCAAAAGTGCGCACAATCGTATAGTTGTAGTTGTAAACTTAGTAGAATGCAGTTACTGTAGTTGCTAAGAGCGCCTCGTGTAGCATTATGTTGGAATAATTCAACAAATTAATAAAATTTAGTTAGCAAATATTTACTGCTATCATTTAAATGTCATCTATAATGTATATATGTGTGTACATAATTACTTTCCAACTCACAAAATGTAAAATTATTTCCCGCCATTATGCTTTCAATATCAAAGAGTAAATTGTGGTGTAAAAAGCCTAAGGAATACAGTCACACATCAGCAAAAATTTAGATATACATTGATTTTCTCTACTCGTTGCGAATTCACAAATATTCAAATATGATTTAGATTTAATTTTCGCAACTTTTTTATTGATTTTTATTGTTGTGTGCTTAGCTTAATATTTGTTTTAAGTTTCACTTACGTTTCGAATAAATTATCAGATTTACACGTATTTGTCTTCTATTTATGTATGTATGTATGTATGTATATGTATATGCATATGTTTGAGTGTAATATCTTTTACTTATTTTTTTTATTTTGTATTTTGGTGGAAGGGGTACACTTGTTTTGGTGTTTGTTCTCAACTCTTCACTAATAAAAACTTACAAAGCCTCTATAGAAAAAACGTATTTATTTTTTTTCCATTTTAAATGATAATCCGTAAATAGAAAACATAATATACATATAATATTAATAGTAAAACGCCAACCGCCAAAATGGGCAAAAAGTATTAATACGCCATAAAATGGCATCTGAATTGCATTAGCTCTAATTTTTATGTATATTTACTAATTTAATTTTTATGTTAAATATCTTATTTATATTATTATTTTCAAAATCAAAAATTCTTGTTCAATTGATTATTGATTTGATTCAATATGTATGTATGTATATATTTTTGTTTTAATGAGGCAGCTTTTAATCACCTTCACCTTTTTCATCGCATTGATTCGCCGTTAGAAAGCGTCAGTGCTGTCAAACTGCAAAAATCGTCTTTCATGCATAACTTTGGCTTAAGAATTGTTTGTTGCATTAAATTTTCTATTTGTAAACATCAAATAACAGCTAATATATTGTTTTTCTTTTTTCATTTTAGATATGACACTTAACTACATACACAACACCAAAATGTAACACACAAATATACAAATATATTGTATTATTGGAATGTCTGCATTTTGAAAAAGTATATACACGAATTATGTGTGTATGCGTGACGAATCTGGCAAAACTTACGCTTTTTAACGGCTGCACTAATATCTCGCCGCATTACTCGCTGAAAAATAAAGTAAAATTTAATTGTTGCTTGTTTTGCCGCCTAAGTGTATTATTATATTTTGTTTACTTATTTTGTTATTATACAATATTTCTAAGTATATATTTAGTGTTGACAATTTGGAAAACCGTTTCTTTTCATGTAACTATTATTATTTGTATTATCTGCTTTAAAAATTTATTATTTTAATTTGCAAGTTTTTTGTTTTATAAATATGCTGTTTGCGGTTTAACTCCAACTTTATTCATATTTGACTCTGGTTCGTATAGCTGTTGTTTTTTGCTAAAGGATAATTTAACGCTTTTGCAGGATTTTTGCAATTCACATTACATATGTTTATCATATCATCATTTTATTGGTGAAATTACCATAAAGTATTTCCACTTACAAACTTCACTTTTGAAACTGATTCCTGTTTATATTTGTTTTTTCTGGCTCGCATTTATAATATTCGTAGTTGTGAAGTTGCCAGATTATTGTGATTATTATACTTTATACGTAGCACTTTTAGCTTCATCATTAACTTTATTACCTTATATTAATTTTAATTAGCTTGAGCATTTCCCCATACACCACTGAGCTATTCCACGTAACAGTTTCACTCGCTCGTACTCGTTTATACATAATTTCTATATTTTGTTGTTTGTGTGTAATTGCTGTGACATCTTTGAACCCAACGTTTAACTTGCCGTTTCCTGAATTTCGATTTAAAATTCTATTTATGAATGCATGCTTATTGTTTAAAGTACATTCTTTTAGAAAAAATTAGAGGAATTTTTGATTTAAACTTTGTAAATTCATTAGTCATGCATTATGCTCTTACGTGACATTTGTGAAAATATGTAATGCTTTCTTTTTTTCATATTTCTTCTCAGCTGTCACATTTTTGTTGTGTTTTTTTGTTTTTGTAGTGTTAAAGCCGTGAATAATTTTTCTCTCAACATCTTATATTTACTTTTTAGTTACTAAATATTATCTTATTTTTGCTTAAAAAGTTTAAAGCCTTTAATCTTACAAAGATTGCATTTATTTGTTGTTATTTTGGCGCTAATATGTAAGTTGGTTGTTGTTTGTTTAGGAGCTTCTTTGCAGGTTTTTTGTTATTGTTTTGGTTTTATATTTTTTAAATAAGTCGTTTATATTTATATAATTGCTGTATTTGTGTTTTTGCCCTAAAATTATGAATTTACTTAAGATTTGCTTATTTTCACTCTGCTTTTTGTTTTCATTTAATGTATAATATTTTTCTTTAAAGTTTTTGTTTTTTGTTTTTAACATTAAACATTACATTTTGATGTGCAAAAACACTAAATTGGTTACTTACATATTTATGTATATATTTTTTTAAATTTTTTCCATATATATGAGTATAACTTTGTCTAAAACATGCGAGCTGCATTTCGATTTTACTTAACATTTAATACATAGTTTTGTTTTTCTTTTACGCCCATTATGTGTAACGCAACAGTTTTAAAATTGTATATTTAATAAATATTGACTATTTTTTTTAGAGTTTTTTCTTTACTTCTCTACCAAAATATCATTATGTATGGTATTGGCAATTTTAGCCATTTTCTTTTGTTTGTGTTTTTTGTTCGGTTCACAACATATGTTAGGTATGTAAGGTTTTGGTTGTAATTTATGTTTAATATAAGTACCTAAATACAATACAAATATAATTACTGAGCCAACGGACTCTCTGTTGTAAGGTTGCATTTTGGACAATTCAATCGGTACTTAAGAATGTTCGTACACGTTTAATTTAATTAATACACAATACATAAATACTAATATGTATGTATATATTTTTAATATACATATGTATATATACTTATTAATGTAAATATATATTAATATATAGTTTATATATATATATTTTTAGTAATTTATATATATGATTTATTGTATATGGTTTTAGTTTCCATTGATATATACTGGGTATATATACTGGATATATGTATGTGTATGTATATCACCTAAAATTAAAACACACAATGTACATAAAAACAATTTAAAGGGAAATAGACACAGGCAATCTCTCAGTTACTTTATATTTAGACACTCATGAATAGTGGAAAAAAGTTTTTATATATATTTTCTTCAAAAACTTTGCGTCAAAAAACTAAAAAAGTGCTAGTAGTGCTGTTTGCGAATATAATAAAATTACTGATGCTTTTTCGGGCTTATAAAATAGCCGACGCGTTGCTTATTTGAGTTTCGCCGATTATCCAATAAATATTTTTGAAATTACTGATTTCGAGATTACGGTACAGATAATACACTAACATACTTCTAATTTACTTTAAATATTTCAAAATTTTATTTAAAAAATAGACAAGCATAAGTATGTTGCTTTAGACGCACAATCTTTTAGGTTTAGACACAGCAGTTTCTCTATTTAATTTTAAACTAATACACACACATGTTTATATAGTTAATTTTTCAATGATTCCCTGCAAATTTGTGCAGGCAAGTTGCTTCAATAGGTTTAGTTATAAAATATCGCGTGTTTCTTTAAATTTTAATATTTTGTTAGATATTTTAATAATTATTTTTTTTTGTTGTTACAACTACCATCAATTTAATTATGCAGTTGTTCTAATGCTTTCAAAAATTACATTTATTGCTTTTTGTTTACTCGTTTTGTTGACATTCACTTTGTTTTGCTATTCACTTTGATTTTTAATTTGTTTTTAATTTATCATATATTTTGGTATAGTTATTTTCACTTTTTATACTTTTCTTTTTAACTCATAATGGACTCAAAGTAGGCGTCAGCACTGCTTATTATTGGCAAATAAAAATACTTAGAAATTTATTCTAAACTGCAACATAATTTTACGCATGACTGTTGTATCTGTGCATATGCGCTGACAATTCAAATGCTTGGATAGTAAAAACTATTTCTATAATACTTATTTTTTTTGAATAGCTGTTAGCATTGAAAAATTTCTTCGCTTTGGTCAATCTGTATTTTTTATTTGTGTGTTTTATACATATACTTTTTCAATTTCAAGTTACAGAACTATGTGTAGCCGGATTTTACTTCGTTGCACAACATCTACCATTACATATACATATATACTTTGATGTATGAATTCTTCTTACGTGTATTTTTTTTTTATTGATTTTTTATTATTTCAGAGTTATATGGTATATTTTTCACTTACTACAATTATAACCCAGAGAACTGTTGTGTGTTTGCTATATTAATCGGTTATATTTTTTCTGTTTAAATACTGTTTCTTACTTCTTAATATTTGTTTCTATATATGTATGTATGTAGAAAAAGTTCATGATAAATATTGTAAATTACAGCATACAAATTGTGATTTATTTTATCATTAATCAGGGAGAGATCTGCTAAAAATAGGAAGATTTTTGTCTTACGTCATTTTCATCCTTCTGCTTGATTTACAAAAGAATTGATTTTTATTTGCACCCACATATGTATTTTTGTATGTATATAATGAATGTACTTTGTTACTTTTGTATTGCACTAATGTGTAATTAATTTTTTTTAGAGAAAATATAGGAAGAAAATGTATTGTAGTTATTAGTTTGCATGCAGCTGTCAAAATGTCACTTCTTTAGATATACCTGTACTATATATATGTTATGTGTTCATATGCTATTACATATTCAACGTGGCGTTTCCGTTACACAAAGCCGTCTTATTAATATTCAAAAGGACAAAGAATTCTTATCCTCCTTGCCTCTGTTGCGTTTGCAGTTGTTGTTGTTAACAATGATTTTTAATTGTTCATAATTGTTATTTTAATTAAAATACTAGAAAAATAAGTGACTCCTGTTTTTTTTACTACGTTTTATCTGTTTGTTGCCATTGTCAACATGCCATTATTTCGTTACTATTTTGTGTTTATTTCGTTTTTTGTCTTTCTAAATCTGAATTTGTGCTGGTTTCATTTAAATAGTAGTAATTTTATTTACATACTATGTATGTATTTAACTATCATTTGCTTAAATTGTCAAACATGTTATTATTTGATAAAACTATGGCACTAAATTTTTTTTACATTGTTCGCTAGTACTTGAATATTTATTTTGTTGATATTTTTTGATATTAAATGCTTTGCAAACAATTATACGCTCAAGTATGAATTTGCGCTGTTATTCCGTTATTGTTGAAATATTATTTAAATTTGTGCTTACAAATATTTTGCAGAGTTCAGAAACATCGCTGTGGCGTGAGTAAAACAGAAGTAAAAGAATGTTGTGTAAAACTGTCAAATTTTAATGTGTGTATTGCCATATTTTCATCAACACTAAATATTTGAAAATACAGAAAATCAATCAAATAATTAAATTTTTCATTTATTATATAAAGTATAACAAAAATTATAAACAGTTTTATCCAATTGCTTGTTGTTGTTGTTTGTCGTTAAAATATTAAGTATTGTAATCGTTGCCTTTTAATGAAGTTTGCGATATTTGGTGATATTTTAAAACATTTAAAATTCCGTTAAAAATAATCTGGTAAGGCCGAACAAAATATTTTTATCAACGGAAATAGAAAGAAAAAATTCAAATCATAAAATTCTAAATACGCTGTGCGTATGGTGCAATGAACACATAAGTTCTAAAAAATAATAATTATATTAAATTGGAGCTAAAATGTTTCACCACCCGTGTGGATGTTTGTAAACACAACGATGATCCTCTTAAGGATTTCGAAATGCCTCCGAACGATTAATTCGGTTTATGCAAAGCTTCTACACTTCTACTACACTACAGGAATACGGCTGAGTGATTGAAAATGCACGACTGGGTGCAACCGCTGTTATAACAATTAATTTAATTTTAAATTTGATTTGAACTAACGATCTTACGCGTGGTGTCTCCCTTCTAAATTAAAGCAATTCATTGAAAATATGCAAATGTACAATAATATTAAAAAAAAACATTAACTCACGGTTTCGTCAACTTACAGTGCGATGTACGTTTAAAGCAATTGTATTTTCGTTCCGACTCCGTGACAGCGTTTAAATCATTATATAAACATAAATTTAAATTATTTAAAATAACTTTCACCTGAAAACTTATATGGTAAAATAAAAATAAAAAAACAACGTTAAAAAATAAAACAACGAAGTTTTGGTGTAATATTTCATTTGCAATTTTATTAAAATAAAAAAAATTAAAATTGAAACAAAAATTACAATCGCTTTAAAGATAAATGATAAAATCGTTGGCATATAAATTGAATATTATTTAAAAATATTTCTTTAAAATATATGTATGTATATTAAAATAATAAAACTGGAACACAACACATGAGAGAAAATATTTTTATACGTAGATATGTCTCTACATATATGATATTATAGTGTATATTTTATGTAAAATGCAGTGCAAAATAATTATTTGCTTTTGTATGCACACGATTGAAGAAGTTTGGATATAACAGAAACGCGCCGCCACAATTAAAAGCTAAATAACAGTAAATAAGATAAATATAAACATTAAACTAAAATAAAAAAAAACCTTTTCATTACTATTATTTTTTGCTTCGTACAAGCGTACATAATTGAAAAAAACATAATGGAAGTATTTTTCTTGTAACTACTTAGTAAATTAATTGCATTTCGCACACTTTTTGTTCTAATAAAGAATTCTTCTTAACACAAAATATAAAATCGCGTGTATGTGTGTGTGTGCTTACTGCTGCGCATACCACACTCCACTTTGAATTGCGGCTATTATTTAAAAACTAAAATTAACAAATTATTTCATAAAAACATGGCGGGTATGTGTGTGTATGTGTTGGAGTGTATTGTTTTTGTATGCGTACACAATTGCATGCATACGTATGTACTGTCTTCATTTTATCTCATATTAATTTCAATTATTAGTACTTGTTTCGCATAATTTGGCAATTGTTGAACAACAGTACATAGGCCGGCATGTCAACGCGCACACATTTATATGTGATATAATTGAGTGTGTGTGTGTGTGTGTGTGTGTCTTTACAGCAAATATAATATGTTTGTTGCTTAATTATTATTTGTCTTAAAGATGATTTGCTTAACACATTTTTGCTTATAACGAAACGCCGCTTTCTTTATTGCATTGCTTGCTTATTTGTTTATTTTCTATTCTTGCTTTTGTTTGAGGAACTTGTACACCACAGATACATAAGCAATTTGTTTTTGTTGTGTTTGTTGCTATTGCTTGGTTTGTTTTATGACATTTCTGCCATTTTGTTTAAGAACAGAAATTTCTTAAAATATTCAATATGTGTTATTTCTTTGTTTTTGTAAATGTTGCAATATTTCACTATATTTATTTGTTGGATTTTTATCTTGACGCTTAACTGTGTCTACTATACTACACACGTGTATATTTATATAGATATTTGTATAAGGTATACTTTTTTTGTTTTTGTTATTGTTTTAAGTAATTCTTGTTTTTGTTTTTTATTGCTAATTAAAATATTGGTTTATAAATAAAATAAGGGTAGTAGATTGTTTAAGCGAATGTAAGTAAATCATTGTAATTAATTGACTTTTCTCGGTAATACATGTGTATGTATGTATATATATTTAAAAACATTATAGCAATGTGTTTGTCGTTGTTGCAGCTGCTAGTAGTTTTTTTCAGTTCTGCACAACATTTTATACGTTAAAGTAGCTTGGTTTGATAAAAAAAAGTTTCCGAGTTGATAAAAAATATAAAATTACTAAATTTTATAATAAAAAAAAACGTATTATTTTTTTATTCTAATTCATTTAAATTACATTAAAATTTTAAATTTCAATTAGTATATAGTCTATGAAATTTCTAAATAACAAAAACAAAAAAAAATGTTTTGCTTATTTTTAATTGTATTCAGCTTTTTATTGTTTGAAAATTAATTTTTTTTGCACAATAATCTCAAGCAAATTATTTAATATTCAACTCAAACCAAAAGCTACTGCAATTCGGCATAAATGGCGCACATTTTTGTTGTACTGAAATATTTTCATACTTTGAGCGGAAATTGTTCGCATACATACTCGCATTTATTTTTATACATATTTTTTTTATTTATTTTTATTTTACATTATTTACATATTGCATTCATTGGTTTTCTGCATTTATTTATATATAATTAGTATGTTTGTAGTTATTGCATTTTATTATATTTGTCTTATTTTTTATTGATTTTTTCTATGACAACTCGTTCGGATTTTTGGCTTCTTTTATACATAATAGTTTCTTTAAATTTGTTGACCTAATTGAATTTTGGTTATGATTTCTTATGGATGCTGTATATGTATATATGTATCTATGTACGTAGTAATGTTATGTTTGTAAGTATGTGTGCATTGTCATTTTCATTGCCTGAATTTGTAATAAATTTTTTGTTTCACTTTGCGTGTTAAAGGCAAATAAAAAATATCATCGAAAAATTGACAGACACTAAATTTCAATGTTTTCCATTTATATTATATAATATGTATATATGGTATGTATACATATGTGTGAGTATATGCATAAGTTTACACTCTCAGCTCCTTTTTATTACTCTTATTAGTATTGTTGTGTTTAAACTTGAATGTAGGTGTGTATAAGTGTATATGTATGTTTTGTGGTTTGTTTGGGCTCTTAACTCCTTTTATGTATGTATTATAAGTTTCATAAGTATATAGTAATTGTATATGAATCTTTTCACTATTTGACTATAATTTCCGTAAAGTTTGTAGTTTTATATATACATACTGATTTTTTAATATGCATATATGTATTTAGGTGTGTATGTATATGCTGTATATAATTATTATTTTTAAACGCTAATTTCTTTAATCTTTCTAGTCGTAAAATGTATGTATGCATGTATGTCGTGTTTTTTTCATTATTTTTGTTTTTGTAGATAGTAAAGAGGAATAGCAATTAGATCTCATTAGTTTCTTTCTAGTTTTCTACAAAAATGTTACGATTAACTCCCTCCACAAGTCACAACAACTGCTGCAAATACAACACTACACATTTTATCTGGTAAATATACATACAAACATCTTTGTCATGTATGTATATATACATATATTTTTCTATGCTGCACTGACTCACACCGATCCATTTGTATCAATTTCTTTTCTTCAACCGCTTATATTTTTTTGTTGGGTTTTAATATTTTTTCATTCGTGCTTGTTGCATTGTATGTAAAGTAAACGAGTTTTGTAAAAAAAAAAAAAAAATAAGAAAAAACTTATTTAATATTTATAGCCTTTTTTAAATTCATGATGAAAGCGTATTTATGGGCGCCAATTGGGTGGTGGGAGTATGGAGACGGCGATGCGTAATAAAAAAATGAAAAAAAAGAACATTTATAGAAAAATAAAAAATTTAAAGGTAAACAAAAAAATAATTATAAAAAACATAAAATATTATTTTTATAAAGTAAAAAAAATTGAAACAAAATAACAAAAACACAAATAAATAAATCAAAAAATTACTAATAAAAAACAATAAATAAATTTAAAAATTAACAAATATGTATATTAAGCCACAAATTCCTTAAAATTCTGTTTTAAACTTTGAAAGAAAAAATATAAAAATATTTATAAAAACTCTTTCCAAATCATATTTTTTCACGAATCAATGAGTCACAGAGCTGTACCGTGCATAAATTGGCTAAAGAAACGGAAATGTAAAAATAACGAAGCAGCATAAGATCGAAAAACATGTGTGTTGCTATTATCGAAATTTAAAAAAAAATTGTGCTAGGACAATACAATAAAAATATATATATTTTTGGCACTACTTAACAGTGAAAAATATGTATTGGTCATAATAAAATAATTATTATAGGATAAAAAATTTTGAATCTTAACTACTAGCATATTTTTGCCTAATAAAAATAAAATAACTTACAAAAAACACTTTGGAATTTTCTCGTATACATATTTTTGAAAATACTGTTATAAAAATTTCTTATAGAGAGAAACTGTAGTACACGTTAAATTTCGTTGAAATATTGCATTAATTTATTAACCGCAAAATTAAAATTAAATTATTTATGAAGTGTTTAAAATTTTCGAAAAATTAGATCATTTGCGAATTCTAATTTGTTAAATACTTAAGACTTTTTGTGAACAAACTTTTATGAAATGTAAACTTTAATAAAACGTAATCTTTGGCAGCAATTGAAGAAAGAAACTACAGTACGCATATTTTTCTACATCAAAAGTTTTTGGCAATTAAATTTTGAAAAAATTGAGAAGACTTTAAGGGCTGAAAATTAAATTTTAAAAATGAAAGAAATTAACAAATTAAAATATATTGAAACAAAAAATGTAATGATACAATAAAATAATTATTATGATAAATAAGTTAAAAAAAAATTATGATACAAAAAAATAATTAATATAATAAATAAAATTATAAAAAAATTCAATTTTAACATTTTAAAATAAAAAATAATTATTATTGTGATAAATAAAGAAATTTTAACAAATTGAAATCATGTAAAAAAAAATTAATAATTATAAAAAATAAATAAACAAATTGTAAAAGCCCGAAGACATTTTAAATTTGAAGTTTGTACTCACAATTTATAGATGTAAATATGTATTACATACAAAAGCAAGTTAAAACTTAGCTAATAATATTTGTTTTTTTTTTTTTAATTTATAGTTGACTTTTTTGCAACTAAGCCACAATTTTAATTTTACTAATTTTGTATTACACACAATTTTTGGCTAAAAAAATTGTTATTTAATCTGTTTTAGCATTTCCGTTTCCCTCAACTCATTTCATCGTCACAAAATAATAATAAAATAATGAAAAATTAAAAAAAAATATTAATCAAACACATTCGCCGCAGTTTCTTATGTTTACTTATAACAAAGAAAATAATTTTAACATTTTAAAATTAAACAAGGTGGGCACTTTATTACGGATAAATTCAGTTAAATTTTCGAAATACTAAAAGCATTATATAAACGTGGTCATATTTATAGTATTTTGAGACTGCACACAATATGAACAAAACTCGGACTGAGTACATTAAGTGCAATTTGTTGTAATTTTTGTAACCATTCTGTAGTTTGTCTTGCCAGCACATTCGTCATAACATTTCATTTGTGTGTTTTAACATTTCAAAAATACTCTAAAGAGTCACGAAAAACTAGGAGGATTGCTTACATGTTAATCGAAAGTCATTTCACTTTGTATGTATTTTCATCGTTTATATACTAACTGCATGTATATACATATATATATATATGCTTTTGTGTAAATATTAAACATTGTAAGCAAGAATACTAAACTTAGCTTTAAATAATTGCAAAACAAAACAAAAAATATTCAAAATTGTAAATGTAAATATAAGTTGTAAAATCCTTTCAAGGTAAATAGTCTCGTTTTGTTTGCTTCAATTTGTTTGTTTGTTTCGTTTCGCTTATTTATACCATACAACAGTTACGTTTCCCGCTGCACCTACGCTTCAGCACACAAATCGTAAATCGTGTGATTTTGGCATGTATGTATGTATGGATGTGAGAACGACGAAATTATTTTATGATTGACTCACATTTGTTTTAATTGACTAATTAATAATACGAAATAGTTAATAATAATAGTGCACGTTGAAAACAAGAAAAACTTTTTATATATAAATAAGTATATGTGTATTCACAACAATAAAATTAATTTTTTTAACTTGCCCTTTACCTACTGTTTATCAAACAGTTTTTTTTTCGCTTCGCTGAATTTTAAACTTTTTTTTATTTTTTTTTAATTTTTTGTAGTTTTTCATTAACCTTTTTGTTTTTGGTTGCCATTTTTTTTTTTGCACTATAGACTTAACAAAACGTGTAAACTAATGCATTTAATACAATTAAGAGTTATAAAATAAGTTCGTGTGTACAAACAATAGTGATGTACCATATACTTCTCTTGTGTATATGTCTAATTATAAATACACGATTTTATGTAAAAAAAAATGTACGTATATATGTGTTTGTGTAAATTTATGTATATAATAAGCATATTTAAATTTTTCAACTTTTTTATAGTAATTCAAAAACAATGTTTTATTTGAAGAATAAAAGTAAAATTAATTCAAATAAAATAGTTACATATATTAATCGGAAAAGCTTGGTGGAAAGCGTAAACAATTTCTTTATGTAGGGTCTACTTGACTGGATTTAATTTTTTTTGTAAAACTATAAAATATATATTCGCAGCACATTTAACACACAAATTCTCTATTTAACGCAAATTGAAATATCTCGACTGTAATAAAGTTGGTAAAACTAAATATCAAAAAAAAAAATAATAAATTAAAAAAAAAAAATTAATAAATTAAAAAAAAAAATAATAAATTAAAAAAAACAAAATAAATAATAAATATCAAAAAAAAAAAATTATAAAAAAATATAATAAAACAAAAAAAAATATTAAAAAAAATAATAAAACAAAAAAAAAATATAAAGAAAAGATAAAACAAAAATATATACAAAAAAAATAAAACCAAATAAAATATTAAAAAACATTATCAAATAAAAAAAATATAATAGAAATTAAAAAAAAAAAAAAAGTACAAAAATTAAAATTTGTATTATAATTAAAAGTTTATAATAAAATATAAATATCAACAATATTTTAAAACGATTTGAGTGCAAAAATATAATTTAATGTAAATAGTTTTTTTTTCGTTTTTCTGTAATATAAAAAGTAATAAAAAAATAGTTATAAATAAAAACTAAAATAAAAAATGGCAATACTTTCAAAATTAAATTAAAAAGATTTACTCAAAAATGTAATTATCACAATTAACTTTATTTGTAAATAAAAAAATTCATTTTTAACAAGATTAAATAAATTATATATAAAAATATTTAGCCATACAACTTTACACTGCTCTATTGACATTTTATTTGCGTTAAACAAGAATCAGTTTGCGCATACTAACCGCCTCTAAATAATAAACGTCGAGGGCACTTTACAACAGTAATTTTTTTAATAAATGCTATACTTTTTTCGCTTAATTTAAAATTACGGCTTTTTTGAGAGCAATAAAATATTATGAAAAATATAAATTAAATATTTAAGTATAAAAAATATATATGTATATATGCAAATTCTTGGTTAATGTCATAAATCTAAAAATTTATATTTGGTTTTTATATTTTAATACATATACCTCGTAACAACAATAAAAATCAAATTTCTAGTATAAAAACACACAAGTCGAAAAGGTTTATTTTTAGAAGCGGCTATGCAGCTGGCAAACCCGTACGTATAAAAATAAGTAAAGGTGGAAATGTTTGTGTGTGTAGGCATGAGTAATGTATGTATATGTAAATATGTATAAATTCTAAACACTTAATTGCGAAAAAGGAATATAATAAAGAGGTCGCTAAGTTCTACAAATGTGCAATTGTCGATTTCACTTTCATTCATAAACAGCATTGCATGTTTGCTGCAAAACCACAAACATAGTAAAATATTTCAACTTACACTAAATGTTTTTTTTTCTTTGTATTTATTTTATATATATTTTTTTTTATTTTAAATTTAATAAAAAGGTAAAAGCACAGCAAAGTGACGTTTTATCGATTATAAATTTTTCGAGCACGAATTCAACATTTTAACAATTTATAATTAATTTTTTTTTTTCGTTTTTTTCTTTGTTTTTTATTTCTTTTTAATAATATTTTGCTTTTGATAAACTATTTATATATGTTAAGATTTTGTATAACTTAAATATTTGTTTTAATAAAACTTTCATTGGAACGAAGAAAAACCTTCCTACAAAAACTAAAATAGCGTCAAGTACGAAAGTCTCACTAACACAACAAGGACATCATTAAAAGCGCATTACGTTGATTCACTTAATATTTAATAAAAACTAAAACTAATATATAATAGAGTGTTAAAAATACATATACATATGTATGTTTATAAATAAAGACTATAAATTTTCACCGTTGTAATATTGAACAAAAAAAAAGAAACAATTATTTCTTTCATTTTGATAAAAAAAAAAATATTCACAAATTTCAAGATTTTAAACTAAAGTAACATTTAAGCAAAAAACTCAAAACAAATTTAATAAAAAAAAATGCAAATCGAATACATTAAAACTAAAAAGTATACATAATTACAATATATTATGAAAACACTTTAAATTAAAATTAAAGCAATAAAATTTGTAATTTAGTTTGTTTGTGTTGAGTGGAAGTGAAAAATAATATCAATACGTTTTGGCATACAGCGCGAAAATGCAATTTGCTGCTGTTACTTGTTTGCTAGCTCCACCGCTACAATTTGCTCTCTTTCTTTCCCTCTCATCATGTCCATCTCTACATTTTTTCTAATTAATTAACAAAAAGTAAACAACTAAGCCTTAAATAGAAATATAAACTTATTTTTTTTTTTTTTAGAAAAAAAGAGAAAACAATGTTTATAGTAATTTTGTAGGATAAAAAAAAGTTTTGTTTGACAAAACCCAGTTCAAAGGGAAAACACAGCAGCAGATACATTTATAAGGGTTACAATTTCAATAAAATTATACGTATGCTAACTAAAAGCTAAGCAAATGTAAATTTTTTATGTATACACTTTAAAATTAAGCCACTCATTGATTGTGAGGGAACTAATTTTTGCATTTCTTCTCAGGTATTAATTTCTTTAGACAAACATATAAAATGCTGTTATAGCCACGCAATATTAATAATACGAATAGTTTAGTTTAGTTTTTGGCGCACAAGTGGCAAGTGTTTGAGTATGTGTGAAATGAAGAATTCGCAAATTTCATCAAATTTCAATAAAATTCGAAACAAAAACAATATTGTCACACTAAAATTCAGTTGGTAATTTTAAAATAATGCAGAGATGTCACACTTTTTGTTATTTTGTGCACGTAATTTAAAAGGGCTTAATTTATAAGTAATTTATAGTTTTTGTAAAAAAAATATCTAAACACATTTTCACCAGACATTTTTATATATATAAAGTATTTCACAATTTCACAAAGCTTTGCTTAATTTCTCGCTCAAGTTTGCTATTTCTCGCTAGGTGTGCGTGTAAATACGCACAAAAGTTTTGAATAAAATATATGTTTTTTTTTCTTATTTTTTTGTTTTGTTGTTTTAGCTTACATTTGCTGAAATTCGTCGTTGTGAATTTCAACTATGCATGTATATACGAACTACACTAACAATTATTGTAAATATTTTTTTAAGTCATCATACTAAGGCTATTTATAATTATAATAAAAATATCTAAAATAATAATAATAAAAATGACTTGAAAATATGCGATTATTGGTTGTATTTGTTATGGTTGTTGTTGATTTTGTATTTTTTTTTTTTTGATATTTAAAATATATGTATGTATATGTATATATTTGTTGTTTTTTATGTTTGTTTAGATAGCAATTGCCTTCCCACGACCGTACACTTCGCCGCTTGCTAATGCTACAAATACAATACATATTTTTTATTTGCTTTCTTAACTTCGCTTCATTTCACTTCAATAAAAGTCTTATAAGTATGTATACATTTACAAGTTGTAAAAATTAAAATAAAACAAAAAAAAATATTCAATTGAAAAATTAGTTTTACAAATAATATTGATTAAAAATTGCAATAAAAATTCTTAGGTAGCTTTTTTTGTTTTTTTTTACATTATTTGTTGTTTTTTTTACATATAATTATGTATTGAATTTGTAAATATACATATAATAATAATTTTAAAAGTTTCTGTTTCTTCGTTAATATGAAATAATGAAATAAAATAAAAATTATGTTAAAAATATTGATAATACAAAAAATGACAAGAAAATATTTGAAACACGCAAGTTGCTGGTATGTTTGTTTGTTGTAATTTAGTTGTTTTTCTCTTTCATTGAACATTTATGTATGTAATCAAAATAACTGCGCAAAAGCATAAACAGGAAAAAGAAATAAAATAAAATAAAGTACGCGTTTAGGCGGTCATAACAGTACAGTACCATTTGTTTACAAAATATTCATATTTTTTTTTTTTGGAATTCGCCGCCAATGTTGTAAAAGTAAAAGTATTTACACATTTGCATTTGTTTGTGTTAGTAGTTAAATTTGTTGTTCACAATATATGTGTATATGTATATAGAATATTTAATATTAAATTTCAAGAAAAAAAAAACTTTCGTTTTATAACATATAGAAAGTCGGATTCAAATAAACGTTTATGTATGTAAGCAACGCACAAAAAAATATGTAAAATATTTTAATTTGCTTTAAAAATGTAATATAGTAGTAATGTAATATTTAGTATTTAAAATTGTAATTTAATAATATTTAGTAATAATAATGTCTTGGAAAACCAGCCTTCTTAATGTTGTTGTTGTTGTTGAATTCGTTTTCTCAATTTCTTAGTTTGTAATGGTAAAAAATAATATATGTTTGTAATGTATGTATGAAGTTTTGTATTGCTTTTCTTTTACAAGCCGTTTGAAGAACAAACAAAAAAAAAGTTAAAATAAAAAACAAATGCAGTTCGAGCGCCACACACACTTTTTCAAGCATTGAAAATGTGCTAACGCTTCTTTTCGACGTCTTCATTAGATGGCAATGCATTCGTTGATTTATTTGGTCTCACCAATTTCAATTAAAAAATTTGTTAAAAGTATATTTAACTTTTTTTTCCTTTTAATGTGTTGTTTTGCTGCAAAATTGTATATAAAAAATAATAGCCACAAAACATAATAGTACAACTTATATACAATTTTGTTTTTTTCACAACTGCATACATACATACATACTTGTATGCATGTATTGTAATTAATTCGTTTCGTTTTCACAAAAACAAAAAAATGTTTTTTTTCTCTAATTTAAAATTATAAATGACTACGAAGCACCCTTTGCTGGCACTACATTTCGAATTGTCACTTGTCAACACTAAACTTGACACAATATCAATAACAATCGATTAAAAAGGAAGGTGAAAACAAGACAAACTGCCGGTATTTTTATTTAAATGCTTATTTCGATTTAATTAAATTAATTGCTGCAAATGCGATTGTATATTGTCGCAATCGCTCCTTATCAGCTGTTGCAATAACAAAAGCAAACAAAAACTATGTAATTAAGCAAGTGCATAAGTATATCGACTTGCAGGCAATACATCTGGCACAAATAGTACAACAGCAGCAAATGGTTGCTGCATACACCTCAAATAAGAAAGCCAACAAAACGGCGCCAGCAGCTGATTGATTAATTGAACTTATTTTTAGTGTTTCTACTTCCAACGCCTAAATGAGAACAAGCCAAATATGAGCGCCGATAACAATTTATAATTGCACGACAATTTCACTGCGCTTTTAAGTTGTATCACAGAATTGTTGCTGGCAATACTTTTTATTTTTTTTTTAAGAAATTTCAATTTTTGTCCAATTATTTTCCGTTATTTTTTCGCTTACTGTAAAGTTTTGCGTTTATTAATATTTTTGAAGTATTTACGCGAAATGTGTGCTGGATTAAAACGAAAATATTAAGTTAAGCAATATTTGGCAGGTTGTGGTGTTAGGTTTCAGCACAGTCAGCTTTTTCAACACAATTTTTTGTCTGAAATTATCACCGGATATACTATGTGCACAACACTGTACTGCCTTTTATCTAATGTATAAATTAATTACATAATTTTTTTGATAAATGCATGTGTACATAGATATATTTATATATATATCTATATACATACATCTACATTTATATCTAGGCGTGTATTGCAACAGCGTAGCATTTACTTTTTGGTTATTAAAAAACATCTTTTTTTGTTTTAAATATTATGGTAATCTGTAAATAAAAGCTTACTCGAAAAAATTATGATTACTTTTTGTTAAAAGCTTTTGTAAATTTGTTTCTTCAATATAGTGAACTGGTATAAATTTGAAAAGCAATCAAACTTGGAAAAGAGATCAAAAACAATATGTGTATATATGTTTGTGTGTGTAGGTTAAAGCTTGCTTTTACTAAATTTGAACAAGCTGGATGTATATAAATTTTTTTTTAAATTGATTTTTGGCGATTTTGTCATTTTTTAAATTTGATTTTTCTTCGTTTGAGATTTCAAATTGTCTAGTCGCAGTGTTGTGTTTTGGTGTTTTTTTTTTTGTATGTGTATGTTTGTATACTACATTTTTTTTGTTTGTTTATAATTGCTACAGTTACTTTTTATCCATTTGCATTTAGTCACGAATTCGTGAAAACCTCCTTTTAAAATAGCTACTTCATTTAGTTAATCGAATAATTCGTTTTCACTGGTACATTTAAAGTATGTAAGGTTATGTGACTGCACAATTTTTGTTTTTGGCCGCAGTAAAAGGAATTTACCTGCTAAAATGGTCACTGTTGTTGGGTCCACTGCATTTCGGTTTTGTTAGCTTGCAATTAGTGCTGCGCATGCGGTGGTTGTGGCAAAGCACGCTCACCAGCAACGCCAACACCACCACCACTGAATGCATGCGGTCCATTATTGTTGGCCGCTGCACCGACCACACCACCAGCACCAGCGCCATTCATCATCAACCAGAGATTTGATTTATTTTCCATTGAACGTGGCGCTGCAGACAGGTTATGCATTTGATTGTTGTGGTTGTTGTGCACGATGCCAGCCGTGATGTTGCAGTTGTTAGAGTTGGTACTGTTTAAAGTTTGTTGTTGTTGTTGTTGTTGCTGATAATGCGGCGCTGAATGATGGTGCTGATTGTGTGGTTGTGGATGATTGTATGGCTGTTGTTGATGATAAGCGTGTTGATGATTGCTGGCATTATGACTGTTGTTGTTGCTGCTATTTGTGCTGCCGTTGTTCGTTGTGTATCTACTGCTACTTGCGGTATTATTAACGTTATTGTTGGCAACAATGTTGCAATTGCCGTTTTCATAAAGGTTAACGGTATTGCCACTGTCACCGCCGGCAACACCAGCACCAATACCACTGGACATATTCATTGGTATGATATTTTTGTTGCAGCCGACATTAATGCTGCAATCGTTGTTGTTGTTATTGTTGCTAACGCTGATATTGCTACTGCTGGTTGTGGTTTTGATTTGCGATCAGTGAACGTAGAGCGTATTAAGTACCAACACATGGTGATTGTTCTTGGCCAAAGTGACCACATAACCTTCGGATGTTATCTTCAGGCCACAGCAACGTGAAACCTTTTGAATAGTGGAAGAAATATTGCATATATTGATTATTTTAGACGATAAAAAAAACTAGAGATAAAATGAAAATATAACAACAACATTGCAAATTACAGCATATAATATAACCTCAAAGTTTTTAGTACAAGTTTTTATCATAGAAATGCGCATAAATAAATTGACGCCAGAAAATATGTTACGAAGTATAAAATAGGTGTCACTTTAAATACTGTTATCGAACTCACCTTAACGTGGGGACATTCAAATTCAGATTGCAAAACGCCATCGCGCGAATAGCAGGCCACATGAAAGCGATTGCCATGCGAATCGCCAATTAAAATATCGCCTGCATTCGATATGTCGATGCCATTAGGGAAGCATGTGACTTTCTCATTACCGATGCGATACTGGAAAGTACCATCCTCTTGGAAGACAGCAACACAATGACCCTTGAAATCGCAGACATAAAAGTCATTGTCTAAAAAATGCAAAAAAAAAAAAAACAAAATTGACAATAAACGTTTACAATACATTTACATAAGACAATTAACGCATTACCTCGTATGGCAATATCGGACGGTTCGCGCATATAGTCGCTGCAATCAAACCAACGCACGAGCTCACCATCCTCGGATATAACGAAAACTGTTGGCGACACACTATCTACCGCCACAATATGACCCTTGGAGGTAACAGCTAGACCAGCGACAATATCAATGTATCTAAGAAAGTCCATATAAAGTGGAAGTTTAGGAATGAAAAAGTTTTAATTAACAGTTAAGTGGTGCACTACTCACCTGATGGCGATTTTGCGCATGAAATGTCCACACTTTGAGAATATCTGCATGCGTGAGCGTTCATTGCCACGATCACAAACGACAAATTTGCCATTGGTATGCATAACGGCGACTTTGCGGGGATACCATAGTTGACCCTCTTCCTTGCCGGGCACGCCAAATTGGAATTTAAGTGTACCGGTTTTGTCGAAAACCTCAATGCGATGATTATTCGTATCGGCGACGATGATCTCTTCGTCTACGCCCAAGCAAAAACCATGTGGTGAATTGAATTGACCCTTAGAGGTGCCTAGCGAACCGAATTTACAACGTATCTGCATGGGTGTTGCTTTGTTGCGACCAGTGACAATGTTGGTTGTGCCTGGTGCGGCGCCGGCATGGAAATTCGTAATGGACATATCGTCGACGGGTCCAGCGCCGAGTGGCCCGAGTGTTGATAGGCTGGGCGATGTGGCTGCGGGTAGGCAGAAATCTGGTAATATACAATCAATTCCGGGTGAAGCTCCGCTCGATAAAAGCTGATTCATGTCTGTGTGAAAATCTACTTGTATTATGCCAACAATAACAACGACAACAGAAAACGAAACGACGTTGTAATTACGACGTGGTGTGGTGGGTTGGCAAACACATTGGCATTGGTTTTTATTTATTTTTATGTATTTTTGTTTAATTCACAATTATGTTAATTTCATTTTTTTTTTTTTGTTGTGGATTGTGTGGATGGTGTGGTGGTAAATTAGGTAGAGCGGAACCAAGCGGAGCGATGCGCAAGGACGTTTGACAAATTTCAAGGAGATTTTTTTTTTTTTTTGTGGTAATAATAGTAGTAATAGTGATACAGTGGTTGTTGTGGTGGTGGTAGTGTGTGGAAGCCATTCGAAAATCAAAAATGATATGCAAGAATAAAGAAAGGATAAAAGGTAAATAGAAATCAAGAAAATATAAGGAAATAAAATTATAAAAACAAAAACAAGTAAATAACTTATGCTAAAGAAACGGTAATATTTTATAAAAATGATTTTAAAAAATTTTGAACTCAATCTTAGAAAAATAATATACAAAACTAGCCTAGTTCAACTAAGAAAAAAAAACACTACAGATAATTTCAACTATAGAAATACACATAAAAAAACTAATTTAGTATTATAAGTAAAATAAATTACACTCTGCTACAAAATAACTTAATGCACCGAATTCGAAAAACAAAAGTGCTATAAAAGTATGAGTGGCAGGTGGTGCAGGTCGTGATGGTGGTGAAAAAGTAGGCACTAAGTGACTAACGGTATCAATTAAAATGAGCATACCCAATTTCACACACTACAATTGCAAGAGCAGCGCTTATTTTCAATTGTACTTACCATTGTTATTAAGTCCCATTTTGGCAAGCGCCTGCAAATTATTGAAAGCGCGTTGATCACCCGACAGTATGTCCGCCAATGAGATCTGTTGATTCTGTGCCGACGATGCTGGCACTACCGCCTGGTGATGACCACCCGCGCCTGCGCCGGGGCCCACCAAGGCGTCGTTGAGCGTGACATCCGGTGTGGCCTCAGTGAGGCTGGCAAGACGTGACAAATTATACTCGAGAATACTGTTGTAAGCGCTTGGTGGTGGTGCACCACCGCCAACGCCGCCCGGATTATTCGGTCCATTCAGTCCACCATTGAGTGGGCCATTGAGGCCGCCATTCATACCACTACTGCCGCCGCCGCCACCGGCGCCACCAGCAGCTCCACCGCCCAGACCATTTAAGCCTTGGTTGAGCGAAGCGTTTATACCATTGCCTAGAGCGTTGTTGTTCAAGCCAACACCTAAATTATTACCAGCACCGCTTAATGGATTGCCGCCGATGGCATTGTGTCCGTGACCATGACCATGACCTTGATTGTGGCCATGCATTGGACCATGACCACCTGTGAGCGTATTCAAGCCGTTGGCAAGGCCTGTACCTGGCAAGCCACCACCGCCAACACCAACACAGCCTACGCCATCAAAACCGCCGCGAACACCGTTAACACCATGTACTGGTGGTTGTGTTGTTGGTGCTTGTGTTTGCTGTTGTTGTTGTTGTTGCTGCTGTTGTTGTTGTTGTTGTTGATGGGATATTTGATGATGCAATGTAGGTGGCTGATGTGGTGGCGAGTCCGGTGTCAATACATTCGGCATGAGGAAGCCATTGCCCAGTACCGAGAAGTCACCATCGAATGAACTTTGCATGGAAGTCGGTAAAGATATTGGGCTGCTGGCGGTAACAGAGCTGCCACCGGCCAATTGACCTTGTGAACCGCAAGTATTCATTCCACCACTACGACTGCTCATCATGGTCGGTGGCATGCCGGGTAGCGTGGGTGGTGGTGTGCTCTCCTTTGGTGATGGCGGAGTTGATTCAGTGCGGAATTTGCCAAATGTCTCCTGGGCGACCTGTTCGAATTTCTCCGCCTTGGTGTCGAAGGTCAGCGAATAGTTAATATCACACTTTGGTGTACTGTTGATCAGGTTTATAAATTGCGAGCTGATCAATTTCTTCATGGACAAAAATTCGGCGGCATTTGCTTGATCCAGCACACGCATGGTGAATTTGCAAGTGCTATCGATTTTGCCCATCGTATTTTCGATGTTCTGCAGCAAGTCCATAACTTTGAGCTCACGTTCCGAGTGCAATTTTCCCAACTCGGTTAGTGATTGATCGCGGCATTTCTCCAAGATCTTCTTGTAGCTCTGGTAGGTATCCTCAATGCGGGCGCGTGCCGAATCATGTTGGGTTTGAAGCTCAGTGAGCGCGCTGGAAAGATTCGAAGCGGCAGCATCACAATATTGCACCTGGAATTAAGCAGAAATCAAATTGAAAAATATAACAATTGCGCAAAAAGGAAATTGAAAATGAGTTACCTTTGATTTGGCTTCTTTCATCAAATTCTCAACATCAACACGCACTGACTTCTCGGCCATGGCGATAACATCATAGTGATGCTCGCTGCCCTTGTGATCGGCAATTAAGCAATCATTACAAACTGGTATTTGGCAATTGAAGCAATAGTACTTGAGATTTTCAGCGGTATGCACATTGCAAAAGAGCGGCTTGTGTATGGTCAATGGCTTGTCGGCCGTGGACTTTTGCAAGTCTTCAAGCTTAACCACTTCGTGATTCTCAAAGCAACGCATATACTTGTGAGCATTGTCGCAACCGCTGCACAAGAAATTAGCACAATCGCTGCAGCGTGAAATGGCCTTTTCCTTGCTCTTGCACGAAGTGCAGGACAATTGCTCCGATTCGATGGTGGAGAGATCGAGTATGTTGGTCAAAATGTAATCGCAAGTCAACGATTCAATGCCTTTGGCGCCAATCTGTACCGAAGATGTTAAGTTTGTTGTAAGTTATATCGTACAAGCCATATTTAAGGAGTTAATTTTATTAAGGCTTGAGCAGGTTAATGGTTTTAAAGCACGTTTTCTACTGCAAGCATAAGTCACTTTGCATTTACACTATATTTGTTGGTAGGAAAATTATGCTTGGAAAAATTAATATATTTTCAGGCGCATTTTTCTACCCATAAATATATACAAAGATTTTTGAGTTAGTCAAAATTTTTCTCAACTCTTATAATTTAGCATGAAGATTGCAGAAGATTTCTTATTATATACAAGCAATGCGCTAATTTGCTTACCATAGTCACTTGTTTGCACGTGGGACACTCGATAACAGACTTCAATGGCGGCATTAGTTCACCGGCGGTTGAAGTAGTGGACGATGCCGATGATGAATTGCCGTTTGACTCGTCAGTAAGCAGTTTCATCAGACAAGTTTCACAAAATACATGGAGGCATGAGAGCACGCGTGGTGTAACTAAACGCGAGCTGCAAGTAAAATTATGTTCAATTAATAAATGTCAACGTAAACTAAATATTTATGCTAAAATATATTTGCTTACCTGCAAATCTTGCAATTCTTATCCATGCCATCGGCGCCAATGGAGCTGCACGAGTCCTCCAACGAACCGGATTCCAAGTCATTGGCCTTCTTCTCGAACACCTCGCTAAACATATTGCCCGCCAAGGAGGAAGAACGCGATGAGACGCTCTTATGATCGCTGGTAACACTGCCGTTGCAGTTGAAATCGCGTGACATTGTTGCATTGCCATTACCTAACGGATCCGAGTCCATATCGAGCGTTAGCGAGCTGACAAGCTTTTCCACAATGGAATCAACAGCCGCACCGGTCGTCGTAGCAGTCGTATTGATATTCAAAGTAGCTACAGCGCTATTGCCACCACTTAGGAGAGCGCCAGGCGTCAAAAGTTGTTTCTCGGCGCAAGCGCTGAGCCCGAAATCGGAGTCCAACGTTGTTAAATTACCAACGAGCGCGTTGGCAGCAGCAGCAACAGCAGCAGAAGTGCCGGAAGTAGTGGTTACGTTCGAAGCGATGTCAGCAGAGGTATTGGTGGTAGTGGGATCAAAGGTGGAAATGGCGGTGATCGTTGCGATTGGTTGTTCCTCGAGTGATGCCATAAGTGGCGTTTGGTTTGTTAATTGGAGTTCAAAATAAATTAGACGAAAATTCCAGAAAATACGCGAAAAGTTGTGGCAAAAATTACTTGCAGTTAAATGCGTGCACGCAAAGCAGTTGAGTAGTGCTAATTGTAAAGCTTGAGAATCTCAGTAAAATTTGTTTTTGTTGTTATTATTGAGTTTACAAATATTTCAAAATTTGGTGGCAAAAACGGAAGATGATGGAGTTTCGGTGATTTGTATTAGGCAAAATGCGGCAAATGCCGTTTCTTTGATATATATATATATATGTATTGAGGTGTATATCTAGATTTTTTCCTTTAAATTTTTGTTGTTGAGTTAAATTTCGTTTTTAGTATTCCTCCTTCAGTTTATACTTCTTTAAGCTGATTTGATTTGTGTTGTTCAGAGATTTTGATATCCTTGTTGTTGTTGATTTTGGATTTTGTGAGTATGACTCTTTTCCGAATCTGTTGTTGTGTTTTTTAAGTGCTTGGCTTTGGTTTATATATATTTAAATTTAAAAAATAATACAAATATGGCGCTCGTATCTTTTCAAGTTATGAGAATAATATATATATACCTATATATATATATATTGTATATATGTAAATGACCAGGTCGACACGATTTTATAAATTAGAACGATGAATATATAAGTAGTAGTTGTTGTTGTTATAGTAAAAGCGATAACAAGTATAACGCGCGGGAAAGTTCGTGGTTTTTGTGGGAGCAAAATTTGCTTCTAAGCAGCTTCAATAAAAGAGAATATGCAAAATAACGCTGGAAAAATATTTATCGTATATATCGTCAATTAGTAAAATGGCTTGTTTTGCGAGTAAAGTCTTAATAGAATAGAAGATTGATGTACGCCTGCTGATACTTTGTAGATTATGTCCGGTTTGCAACTATAATAACGCAGAGTAGTAGATGAAATTCCACGGGATTTTGCTGCTTGCTTGGTCGGTCGGTCCTTATGTCTCAGCTTGGCGTTTGGCAATGTTCTTTTGATAATATAATTTTTTTTTGTTGTTTTTTTTTTATGGATTTTTGGTTTAAATATTTATTAATTTATGTATGTAGTTGTATTCGCTTTAAAATGGCGCCTTTTTCAGACTTCTGTGCAGCCACTGGTGGCACTAAATATTTCTGCGCGAAAATCCAAAAGCGGATTTAAGCACAAATTGAAGCCTCTAATGGGTGTCGTTGAGATTTGAGATTTGCTTATATTCAGAACGCAGAGTATATGCGGCTAGTTTGTCTTGATCTTTTGCCTGCTCTGTGTTGAGTTTTGCTTTGTTTTTGTTTTAGTAATTGTAAGTTACCAACAAAAAGTTGGCGTTTTACAAAGTTCTTTGTTCAATTTTTTGTTTTTTTTGTTTTACTTATAGTTTGAACTTATTTGTGTTTTTGTTATACATATATATATATATATATATGATTTAAAATAAAATATTGTAATATATATTATTAAGTGTATAATTAAAATATTTGTTATTTTTGTTTAAAACTGGTTTAAATTTGCTGTTTTGTGTGCTCCTTTTTTCAGCGTCGCACAATAAATTCCTTACTACTGCCTCCACGTCTTTTAAACGCTGTTCACCTCCGTCAATCTACGCAATTGCGCGTTAGCTTCCTGATTAATTTGTTCTACGATATTAATTATTGAATACTATTCAGATATATATGTAGGTATGTGTATATAGAATTGTAGAATAATTATTATTGTTCACACATTTGTCCACGAACTGATGAAATTTTTGTTTTTCGGGTACTTGCAGTTGCATAAGTAGTTTTGCTACACGTTGTCGTTGCTTGCTCCTCTACCAAGTTTCGAGTTTTTAGCGGAAAACAGTTTTCAGGTTCATGCACATAATCGATCAGCTGATCAATATGAGCGTTTGTTGTTTTGCTTGCAGCTGAATTAGTCGTTGCTCGAGTTACACGGGACCTTCTCTTGGTAGTTGTTCAAGTGCACGCGTATTTTGCTTTAGCCGCGTTTTCAAACTACTTTAGACAAAATTTCTTCCACTGCGTAACCAAAATTTCTGCTTTGTTCACTGCTCCTTCCTTTTTTGTTTGTATTGTATTTGTTAAGCGCTTCTAAAGAAAATCACACTCTTTAAATTATTCGTCTTTCTTCTTCCACTTCCTACTACTTCACACTGCCTTGTTAGCCTTTTGTATAATAAATACTCAGTTTATGTAGCCGCTTCTGCTGTTGATATAGCTGGGGTCTTTAGTGAACAGTCTATTGAACACCCAACGTCTGCAAAAATAATAGAAAAAATACAAAACTTTAGTTTTAAGCTTTTAAAGTTTTTGCTTTCCACTCGATATATGTATATCAATTATGTTTAATTTGAATTCAGCCGTATGTTTTATGAAAATAATAATGGCTTTTAGAAAATTTTACATTGACTACTGCGATTGTACGAAATAAACGAAGACAAGTGGAATTTTTTTGGGGCACTTGTAGAGCATTAAAATCAACTCGTCCACATACTTGTGGCAAGGAAAATTAAACGGAAATATTTTGTGTCGGTTTCAACTGTCATTTTGACATTTTTTTAAATGCAAACTGTAAATGTGTGAAGTATTTTCGGAGAAAGGTCTATTTGTAAAGAGTTTTATTACAGATTTGAATTTTCAGAAACAAGTGATTAAAAAATCAAGTTTTTTATTGAATAAATACACAAGTTTAACCCATTTCATATAGTTTAGTCAAATTATAATAAATAAATGCAGCGCTTTGCTCCCACGCGGCCCCACAGTTAATATATTATAAATTACAAGTAATTAAATTTCACTTAAAATCAGAAAAATGTGCTTATCAATTATAAAATTAGTATTCATACAGCAATCAAAAACAAATTTTAAATTTACAAAAAACCACAAAAAAACCGATATCGCTTGGTTTCTTTAAAACAAAATTAAGAAACTTCAATATCTTTAGAAGTGTAACGGCGAAGAATAATCCAAATGAAATGGAACGCTTAGCCCGCACTCGAAACCTCAATTAAAAATTTGTACATATTAAACGCATGGAACTTAAGCATGTTTAATGTAAATTTAAAATTTTACACGCAACCAAAAAACACGCAAATGGTATAGGGGAAAGCATACATTCATACATACATATATTTTGTACATACATATGTACATATAATTCGCCACTTGCTTCGCGTTCGCTGACTATAATAATTTCAAATTGCAGACTGCTTATGTCTTTTATTGAAAACGCTACACGTTGAGTATGCACATAAATTAGCTATTACGAATACAAAAGTACAGAGTTGAAACCTAAAGGAATGCACAAATTCGAAGATATATGTAAAATAATATAAAATACAATAATATTTCCAGAATGCATTATATTCTTGTTAAGCTTGGAAATAAATATACATATATACATATGTTTGTATATTAAAGTACATGTAAAACATACGTATGCACATACATAGAAAACTGACCACTTTCTGCTCGATCAAGCAAAGTATTTGTGTATGTATTGTATATAAAAATTGCAAATACGCGAAAGGAGAAAAGATCAGAATACACTAAACATGAAGTAAATACTTAAGTACACCAGTTTTTCATCACCATTCAAAAATAGTTCGAGCTCCATGTCAAATCATCAAATATGCCGAAAATTTACGCTGCAGAATATAATAAAAATTGATTATAAAAAATTATGCTTAATAAAGATACTAATCGGTCTGCGTTATAAATACAAACAGTTATTTTTTGTGATATTGTATTTTAGCTGTATCATAGAAAATCTATCCACTTTTCATATCATCAACAAGCCTACACAATCGAGAAAGCAAAACAAAAAAAAAAAAAACGAACGTATATGTAAATTAGAAGCTTTCCAAAGGCTATATGACTAGAAGTAGATAAAAATAGTGTATTAAAAAATTAAATTATCTCGTTTATCACGTATATACATATGTACGTCCTAGAGCAATAAAAACACTTCAGCAGCTAAACTAAAACGGATGAGGTACAAAAGTAGAAATTAGGTGCAAAGGTTAAAATCATCAATGCACAATAAAGGAAGTGAATAAATAATACTATGGGGGAGAGAACAGGTTAATATTAAATTGAGGAAGCTTACAATTCAGCCACAGAGTCTCAGCATAGCTAATCAGATAACATAGTGCATCTAATCAGCAAATACAGAGTATTTTGAAGCTCCCCCATTTTATCATAGAAAGTAACTACGGAACTAATTATAACAAAAAAAAACAAGTAGCTAAAGCAGCAGGCATAGCAATAATATATATGTACATAGGTATGTATGTACACGACAAATGTACTATGAAAAAAAGCAAACACGAGGGTTGAGATGTGACAAAAAAAATAAAAATAATAAACAATGAATGAAAATACGTATACGCAGCGTGTGCCAAGCATAGTGGACAACGCTGAGTTTAAATCTAGTTAGGTATCTATTATACCTATATGAATGATTTGTATGTGTGTGCACAAATGCTTACGGCATCGTGCACAATTCAAGACAGCTGAGTATGTGTATAACAATAGAATATAGAGCAGCAAAGGTAACGTAACCCCCAAGTCTCACTGCACAGCCAAAGATGACAGCTGAAACGGATTACACACAGCAAATATTGTATACGCTTTATATAATATTTGATTTATGAACGTTCTACATATGTAGGTGAATAATGTAATAGGTAGCATCATATTTTATAAGTAAAAATTTCAAGTCGTTCTAATAAAGTTACTGAATTAAAAGATGAAAAAAAAAACACGTAAACGCAAAAACTAATATTAGTTAACGGATGTGATATGCAAAAACAAATCTAACTAACAGATATATATACATATGTACAATTATATTTCTACGCAAATGCATAAATACCTTAGAGTCAAGGCCCAATATTTATAAAGGGCAAAATGTACCTAAAGGCGAATGTACGTATGTGCGCGCATGTGTTACTTACATATACATAAGTGTGTATTTAATTAATTTCTTCCGCACATTGACTATCAGTTTTAACACAAACAACGTTATAATATAAAAAATTAAACATTTTGATTTAAGTACAAAGAAAAACACAAGTTGTCACTACCTTCAGTTCTGTTCAGTAAACTTGCTTTATTGATATAATTGAATTAAAATAATTCGCGCGTGCCCAATTCTGTGTATAAAATGATTTGAATACTGGCATTCTGAAAGTCAAGGCAGTTACATAAAAAATATTCTAGGATGCATGCAAATCTTTGAGCATTTATAGCACCACGTCTATCAAACAAATTTTTAATCAACACCTTTACATTATAATATTGTAAAATCAAGTATACTGACTCTTTGTACCCACTTGCTGTCGACAAACAGCGAAAATATTTAACTTATTCCACCAAATTTTACTTTTTATTAATCAATCAATATTTGAATTTTCACTATTAGCATTTTGTCTGCGCGCCACACATACATACGTACACACATTACTTGCCAGAAAAGCGTGCATATTAGGTAACTTTTGCAGCTGCTCAAAACACAATTGTAGGCACGAAAATCTTTCAATTTTCATATATACATACATTGCAAGAAAATTTTATATATGCATTTAATTATGTGCTGTGCGTGATTGGTTTAGATAATATTGACAATAAGCAAAAAAAAACGTGTTCACTCGGTGCTCAGCACATACCAGCGATCCTGTAACCTTCAATGTTTGGTATACAAAGTGATGGCAACTCTGGGCGCTGCAAACTTGATTGTGATATTAGCATTCGTACTATTGAAATCTCTCATTTTCATATTTTTGCATTTTGGTACATATGTATATGAGAATACATCTGCATTCTGTCCTTTCATATTTGCCATTAAAATAGTTTTTGTAGTTGTTTATCCAAATTATTGCCAATTTAAGAAGTACACTGTTTCTGTGGCAATTTTTCCGGATCACATTGCTTTTAGTTTAAAATTAAATCATTTCAAATTTATGTCCTATTGTAATAAACTTAATATTTTAGTTGTCAACAAATCAGTAATTATTTATGTACATATTTATTCTAATCAAATAAGTTCTAATATTTCCATGCATGTAACCGAAAGACGATTACGACGACCTCTTGTCTGTTAAAACACAATTAAATTGTTGAATTATTCTGTAGACAATCAGTGCATGAAACTTTCGTACACACGTCGCAATCTCCTCAACATCGTAACGAGTGTTTTACACATCAGTTCGGGTTCCGGAAGGCCCTGTGGTCTGCCACCATGTAATAAGCAAGCCCACCACCACCCAACACGTACTACTACGGCACGCGTACAAATACATGCACAAAAAACCAAAACCCTCGTGCCCCTTGTGAAACAGCAAATCAGAATCATTATACTTTGACAACGCTCATGTGTCCTTGAAAGTATTTCTCCTTATTATGCTCATCGGTAGTGTCCTTCAACTTTTAAAACTCAATTTAAACACAATTTTCTTATATTTTACCAAGCGAAAAGCAAATATTTCAATGTTTTACACTTTTTTCACGCTATTTCTAGATTTTTTCGCAACGACCCCCTTCGCAGCACTGCCGCATAAAGAATTTTTCGTACCCATATACAGACTTTTCACACAAGATTTTTCAAATTGGAAATGCACAAATCTTACAAGTTTTTTGTTAAACATCCAATCTCAGCAGAATAGATAGATTATTTATTGCAAATTTATGCAAATTTTACTAAATTTTAACACTCACCTTTGCCATCACAAGATTTTTTCACTATTAATGGAATGGCGCAGGCTGCAAAGTAAAACTGTGTGCGGTGTGAAAAAATTTCACGAGCATTTTGCGCCGGTTCAGTAGGGGACATTGTTATTTCCACTTGGGCATTATTCACTGACAGCTGTCAGAATATGGTGCTGCCATTAAAGTATGCACTACATATTTTTATTGGAAGCTGCCTTGCAACTAGTTGTAAATTTTATAATGATCAAATAAACTGACCTTTAAAAAATTAACTTTGCTTTAATTTTGATTCGGTTATTATTTTCATTTAGATTCAAACATATAAACGCGACAATTTTTCATTGGTGTTGCCATTACTTTTGTTTTGATATGGAGACATTGAATAATTTGCAATTAGCATATGGCAACGTGTGAGAACTAAATGGGGCATTAATGCGAAAGAGAAAGTGGAGGAATAGAGAAATTGCCAATTCGAAAATAAAATGTAGAGTTAATTAATTTGGCGGTGTAAACAAGTCCAAATCGGTTTTAAATATAAATAATAAGAAGATCAAATAAACATGTCACAAGCTAATTCCATGAAGCAAATAGGCTCCCGTGTGGTAGGTGGTTCGGTGGAGCATATGGAATGGAGCAACAAAATGGATTTAATTGCTTATGGCACTGATAGAGGCAAGAAAATAATGCTTACGAATAAACGCGACAGTCGAAATTATATATTAGCATACATTTCACAGGAGAAGTTATAATACAGCGCTTGAGCTGGCAAAAGATAGTCACATTTCCCTCACTGGGAGAAGACGTCGCGGTACGTTCGCTCGGTTGGCAATTGGATGAAACTGTTTTAGCTGTCGGTGAGTGTTTTTTACTAACATGTTAATTGCCAATCATAATAGCACCTTTCTGGGCAGGGTACAGCAATGGACGTGTAACGCTGCTTGATGCCGAGCGCGAGGACCAAATATCTGTGCTTAACTTCGAAGAGGATATCAAGCGTGTGTATTTTAGCAAATCTATAAAAACATCTGATTACCGCAGCACTTACCGTAATCGCACAGAGGTTGGTTTTTTGGAATTTTTGTTTTACTTTATACTCGTATTTAATACAATCTATCATTAGCATACCTTTGATTTTTTTCTACCGCCATTGCCACCATTAAGTGGCATTGGCTCTTCCACCAAAATGGCAGAAGAGCAAAGATCTTTTGCTAAAGGTTCACCTTGCTTTCTTGTTGTTATTACGATTACCGGAAAAGTGCACTTGTTATTGCTTGGTGCATTGCGAGCCGGTCAAATAGACTTAAAAGAGCATATGATACATCCTGATAAATTCACGGTGCACGACGTGCGTTTAAGTGGCGATTTTAATGCCATGTATGCTTTGGTATCCGACGGTTCAGATCTTAAGGTACTACATTTTCATAACTCAGTGCTGCAGGAGTACATCTCACCCATGCTACATTTAGCGGTGCACTGCGCCAATGTACTAGAGACTAAGAAGTAGGTACAACCGTTACTTCAAATTTAATCTTCGTAAATCTTAATTATAATTAATTATTTAAGTTACATAAATGAAACAATACAGTGCATTATGGAAGCATGGGAAACAGTGCTATTAGAAATGGACAATAAGCTTACCAAATACGCGAATCAACAACCGGAAGGTTCGCTGTCCGCAGACTTTTTGGAATTACTCGTGTTTGGCTATGCCACACATGAAATTGAAGACTTCCTAAGGGAGTGAGTATATTTTTAATACATTTAACAATTGTTTATGTATTTGTTTTTGCAATTATATTTAGTGATTTAACCGAGAAGGGTCTGAAAAAGTTGGCAAATTCAGTTGATCTCAGCTACTCAACCGTGGAAAGTCTCATCACTAAGCAACTACAGAGCAGCGGTGTTAACATGTTCTATTTTCTCAACTCTTTAAAAGGTCTTAGCCGTATTACCCATTTCTTTGAGGTATTGGTATGCTTTATATAGTGGAGAAAAATTAAAATAGTTCGCTGAATTGCAGCCTTTACTCTCATGTGATGCCACACAAGAAGCGCTGCGTGTATGCGGCGCGTTTCTAATGAAAATATTGGAAGTGCAGCAAGTAATCGATCAGTGCGTGAACGACATGAAATTGTTTTTCTCATGGCTCTGTATAGCAATTCTGCGTCTACATCAACAAGACATACCCGAAGAGATGTCGCTAATCACGCCGGAGGACTCCATATATCTGGCAGAATATTTGAATAGCTTTGAGGATAGTGTTGTGGAGAATGGTATGCATATAGTGTATGTATTTTGATATTGTTTTATTAATCAACGCATTTTCAGAGGATGGTACTGTAACAAAGCGAAAATTTAATTTGGAAAAAGTGGGTCAGTATCTGGAGAATCGCAACTTGCAACAAATCGTCAAATCAGATCCGCATCATCTATGGCATCGTTTGCTAGAAGAAAATGAATGCTTACGGAATTGTTCCCTGCTATTTCCGCACCAAAAGGAAACTTCACTTATACAGGAACGTGATAAATTAATGACAGCTGTTGATACTGTCTTCAAACGTCCCAATGAGAGTATTAGTGGTAGTTTTACACTGGATGCTAGCATTATTTGTGCGGCGTTGCCCGAATCAGGTGACGATGCTAACCAAGCAGCCTGGGTGCATAGTTCGTTTTTTGTGAATGAGGAGGCAAATACGGATTTGTTAGTGACAACAATTAACTCTCATGAAACGCTTTTACTCGAATTCAATAAACAATTTACGCTACTCAGATGTGTACGCTTGAATTTACAACCCGGACCATTTACCAGTGAGGCACTGCGTGAGGATGTCTTTAGTACATTGCGATTTGTAGATTTGGAATTTTACAATGAGAGTATACTCTCGATATTGCTACATAGTAGCGCACAAAATGTTGACAAGCAGAGCTATTTTTTACAACTCACTCTGGAAGCGAGCAAGGGAAAGCAGACCCAGCATTTAATGCCGAATAATATTAACTTGTTGGACGTGGCTGTACCATGTCATGTACCAGATTTGTTGGAGGGCAACAGCTTGAAACCGCTTGAGGGCGTGTGCACACGTTTGGCAGTGTCGGGCAGTAGGAAGGTAAGTCAACTGAATAGAAATGTTAATATTATTTATAGAAAACGAATTAAAATTAAAGCAAAATATATTATTTAAAAAAAAATTATGATTAATAAAAAAAAATAAATTAATAATTACAAAAAATAATAAATTTAAAAAAGTAGTAAATAAAAATAAAAAAAAAATTAAAAAATAAAATTAAAATAAAAATTTTAAAAAATTAAAAAATAAAGTTAAAATAAAAATAAAAAAAATAAAGTTAAAAAAAAATAAAGTTAAAATAAAAATTAAAAAAATTAAGAAAAAATTAATAATAATTAAAAAAAAATTATTAATAAAGAAAATTAATTAAAATAAAAACAATTATTATATAAAAAAATATATAATATAATTTTAATTAAAAAAATTTAATACGAATTGAAAAATGATAATAATAAAAATAAATTCTAATTAAAAAAAAATTAATTTTTAATAAAAAAAATATTGATTAATTAATATTAAAAAAAAAAATTTATTATTAAAAAAAAAAATTTGAAAAAAGGGTTATTAATATGAATTAAAAATTTATATTTAAATTAAAAAAATGGTATTAATTAAAAATAATGGTATTAATTAAAAATAATGGTATTAATTAAAATAAAAACATTTTGCAGGTTGTCACCGTGTTGTCCGACCAATGCCGAAAAATGACGATTTTCGAAATGGAAATCGAAGATGATGAGGATGATACAGAAATGTCGCAAAATTCGCTGTTAGAAATAAGTAAAGAATCTGCGACTTCTTCAAATGAGTGAAATAAAACAGAGATTGCCTATTTATTTATATCTACTCATATTTTTCCTGCTTTTTATTCATATAGGAGTGGCATTTTGTAGTAGTTTTTTGTTTGTAAAAAAATTAGTTAAATAATATACACTAAATTATTTTTCGTAACAAAATGCAGCAAGTTACACGTACAAAAAACGATAACTACAATTTTGTAGGTTTACCTTAAAAAAAAACTTCAAAGCAAAATGATATCAGCATAAAAAACTTTTAGCCTGTACGCCATTTGTGCTTCACTTTCATTCTCACACATTAGTTCATTTCGTATTGATAAGCGCCATCTGAGTCTTCATCGCTCGACATGTTGCGCCGACGTCTTCGCTCTTCGCGTTTACTGCGCTTTTTACCACCCTTCTCTGCGGTTGTGTCATCTTTGTCATTCTTCTCTACATCCTTGGCAGGTGGTGGCACTTCTTCTACGATAGTCTCCACTTTCTCCTTGGACGTCGCGTCGTTGGCAGTAGCGGCCTCCTCTTCGCTCTTCTTTTGTGATTTCACCAATTCGCACAAATATTTATAGCGCACTAAACACTCCTCCTTGGACTTTTCTGGCACGCAGTTTGCGATTTTTTGCCAACGATCGCCAGTGGCATTTTTGCGATACTTAATAATAGCTGATTCCAGTGCGCGTTGCTGTTCTTGTGACCAATTTGTTTCCGGCACAAGTATTTGATTGTCAGTTGTGGTAGTTTTTTTCACCTTCTCCTTCTTCGCTACTTCTTGCACCTGTGTTGTAAACTCACTGCTTTGTTCCGAGCTTTGCCCTGGAAGACGATAGCCGTTCTCTTTCATTTTCGCTGCCATGAAAGTCACTTCTTGCACAGACCGATTCATTGTTTCGGCAATGATATTCCAACGTGCACTAGAGCCACCGGGATGTTTCTTCACTAAACGTATCAATTCAGTGAGATCTTCATCTGTCCAGAAACCGCCGCTCAGAGTTGCCTAAAATAGCATATTTAGTTATTGTTAGGAAATCTACGGAAAATTGGTTTTCTTTTTTACTTTTTGTTGTACAGGCTTAACGGCATCGTCTTCGGTCAATTCACGCGCCTGTATCTGCGAATAACCACGCAATTCTTCGTCCGTCTTTTCCGGCGCTGTGGTGTTTTGGCGTCGTTTACGGAGATTTTCCTTCTTTTCTTTTCGTAAACGTGCCTGTTCTTCCAATTCGCGTTCGAGCTCCTCTTGGCGCTTAACTTCCTCAAGTTCACTGTAAATATAATTCATATTAGTTTACGCATTTATAAAACAACGAGAAGAATATTCTTACAGTCGTCGTTTTTCCAAAGCAATCTCCTTAAGCTCATTAGCTTTACTAAATGCTTCTTTAATTGTGCTTGGCAAATGCCAAATGAAAAGTGGAATTTGGAACGGTAAAGTATTCTAAAACAGAAAATACACAATTTAGCATCATGT